GGGTAGACCAACTCAGTTAAGCAAGCAGATGAGCCATTAAGCAGTAATTACAACTCTGGTAGGAGTTGTTGTCCATTTCCTCTGTGTAGTATTGTCTGTTTATTAGCTCTTTTATAGTGCTAGTAATACACATTGTCTTTTTGTGTGGGGTTATTTATAGGATAGCGCTTTGAGCATTGCCTGTCTATTGTGGAAGTGATGGCCCTATAGACTACTCTCTTGGCTTAGCGGTCCCCACTTACTGAAGGGTAGCGAGGCACAAAGCTACACTACGCAATGCAATGTAACAGTGTAAGCTAAATCTGGGCTTTTGAATGAACAATAAAAAAGATTCAGGCTTGTAGCACATAAATTAAACCTCCCCCTTCGCTGGGAGCTGCACTTGACATGCACAGATATAGAACCTTTAAGTTGCTGTATTCTAATGCTCTGCAGTGATGTATTGCCTTGGCATTCAAAAAGAAGATAAACTAATTCTCTCCTCAGCACAAGTGCACTCTGAAGGCCGCACTGTGTGTTCGGTAATAATAAGGGCACTATTGAGTTCCTTCCCCTCTCTCACCCTCAATGCAGCTCATTCCTATTCTTATACTGCAGTTTAGTGAGAGATGCTATAGTCAGTGAAGGCTAATGAGGTGGGGAATTCTAAAAGTGTGTGAGCTCAGAAAATGTGCTGTAACCCACAGTGACACTGGGGGGGGATAAAAAAGAACAAAGCTTCCCCCTGGCAATAAAAAAGACACATTTCCATCTGTTTCCCTTCTTTTTTTTTAACAGTAGGAAGATTTTACTTTCTTCACCAATAGCTGACTCCTTACCTGCTCGATGATGCAAGTTTGGACAATTTCCTCCAATTCTCTTCCTCTCTTCCTCCTCCACATCCTCTAGCACAGTCTATTTTTGACGAGAAGCAGCATGAATTAGGCAGACAGACAGTGGGCGAGAGGATGAAAACAAATGGTACTCAATGAAGAAAATGGTATACATTATGGAGACAGTAGAAAAAAGATTGTGTGGTATAATCAAGGAGCAGATGGATTCTATACAATGCTTAATGTAATTTGCAACATTTATCTGTAGCATCCTAACAGATTGATGATTGCTTCAAAGCCTTTAAAGACATCCTGTATATTCTAGTGGTTTCCCTGTTCTAACTCAGTCTGATTGAACTCCTGAAGGACTTAATAATAGCATATGAGCATATTTTTGCAGACCCCCTAGTGACCCTTCTGCCGGCAGAATTAGTTTTGCTTTACAATACCGTGTGTATGACTCTCCACCAAGAATGTATTTGAAAATACATATATGTAACATATTTTAGGCCTTATCTTAAAACTATATAACATAAAATTATATCTCAGAAATCACACTGTAAAAAACATACTGTCAAATTTACAGTAATTTAATGGCAGCAGAGTTGCCGGTAAAGTACTGTTTATTTACGGCAATATATCTGTAGACCACTTAAATATTTTACAGTCTTTACTATAGATTAGTTTTACAGAGTTGTCTGGTATATTACTGTAAACCAATGCACCACTCTAAATGACCAGTCTTTTATGGTATGGTCCTGTAAAACTTTGCTTACTCATTATTGCTATGTCTTAACCAAGTTAAGGTAAGTTATAGGCTAATGGCTGAACGATGCTACTTAGCTATCATAGCTATACATGAGTTATGGGTGCAAAATTCTGGAAGTAGCAATATAAGGGGTCCAAATAAAGATGTAAGGGTGGCGGGGTTGCCATGTGGGGCCCCACACTACAGGTCCTAGTGAGAATGCTCCACTTGTTCTGTCAAAAGTCACAGCACTACCAAAAAATAAATGGGAGCTGTTGCCTTGTGGTCATGGTTTTAAGTGTTATACCAGATGCTACAGCTTCCGCAGTTCTTTTTCTGTTACTATTATCTTTGCTACAGTGCGCTAGCATCATTCCTCAAGTTGCAAAATAACCATTAAGGAGGCAGAAATGTTTCAACACTGATCCCTACAACCCCATCAGCATCCCTTAAGCACGTTTTTCGAAGAGTACAGTGTGTCCTGCTGAGTGTGCATGTAATTTATGGGCAATTTCATTGTTCAGCTCTTCCGCAGCGCAGTTTTGTTGCTCTGCCACCGGAACAGCTCCCAGTCTAATTAGAAACATTAAGTCAATCAGTCTTCTCTGCTCACGCCATCATGACTGCTTAGACAGCCCAACTGAGAGGCTTGTTTTATGTCACATACAGACGATGGCATTGGCTTTATTGAGCCAAGTAGAGAGAGCCAGACGGATCCACATGGTTTAGAGATCTGTGGGGACTCCTGAAGGAAGTCTCAGAATTCACACAGTAGCAATAAAAGATTCAAACAGTTAGGTTCATAGTGAGGAGTGCATGTAGATTGTCTTACAGCAAGTTGTATGGAATCTAGTGAAATCAGTCTCGCTCCTTATAATTCCTGTGAAATCACTTTGATTAAGCAGCATCCTTTTATAAAAGCTGCAGGTGTGATTCAGGAGCGGTTATGTATGATTTCTGTATTTTGTTTACCTTTGGCTTTGGCTCCACGTCATTAGTAGAACACTATAGGGTCCCAGCAGGCAGACACACACCTCATATCTTCTAGTTTGAATATCCACAGGAACTGACAAACAAAGTGTTTTAAAATAACCTTTAAAAAAGATAATCCCAATAAACCTACTGTGGGTGAAGCCGTGTTTGTTTGCATTGTCATGAGTCACTGGATATTATGAATAAAATGTTATATTGAGATTATGGTGTCAGATGGTTAAAGGTTCGTGGGTATATTCTGTGTGTTGTGAGAAGACAAATCAGCAATAGATTTAATGAATGGGTCGTATTAAAGCTGATTATTGTGTCCGTGTTTGAAAATGAACATTCTAACCCAGTGTTCAAATCCCAGCCATGGCAAATCCCACTGCTGGGACTGTGTTTGTGAAAGGGTTGAACAAGCTTCTCTGTGGTTATGACGTTACAAATGGATTAATCTTAAAGAACCTAATAAAGATACTGTCTTCTAAACAATAAAAACTGCTAAGTATTGGAAAATATTACAAACTTCTGTAACCTAAGATAAGCTCCATTAGTTTGCACTGAAGTCCCTGTAGTTACTGAATAATAAGCCTTAGTATGTATTCAGCCTGGAATGTTAATTAAATGTAAAGACTATATTCACATGAATGCTCTTCTCAGTATGCATGTGCAAAGTACAATGTACCTTTGACATGCGGAATGCCTTTGGCATAACTGCAGGTGGTGATTTCTCCGAATTTTCATTGCGTAAACCCAGATCAGTAAACTGATCAATGTGTCACAGAAAACAGCTATTTCTACCTTTTAAGGTGCTCTTCATCTTCAAAAATGTGATGTCTCTTTGCTGTTGTTGCATTTATTTGATATATAAAGAACTTGATCTAGCAAAGCTGTAAATTCATCCGTTTTTATTCTATTCTTAAAACATACTGAAAGTTTCACCGTAGCTGATTGTAGCAGAAAAATGTCAAAATGACCTGAGTACGGTCAGTTGAACAGCGCTGACTTAAGATTATAGGCCTTGCCAGGTATTTCCAATAGATGTCAGGGTGCTTTGAGAGAGCAAGGGGAATTTAGAAGCAAGAAGCTACTGCTACCATTGCACCATACTTTGCAATTTTGTCACAATGTGCATGCAGTCAGCTCAACCACAAGCTAAGATCCTTTTTTGCAGTGCTCTCTGTAAATGTGTAGACGTCTCTGTCTGTGCTGGTGGTACAGTAGTGCCTTGGGCTTCTCTGCAGCAACAATGGGGAATACAGCTGTCTGTAAAATCTCCCTGAATTCCAAATGGCTTCAATTCCTCAAACTTCTCATTACATTACACAGTTGTTTTAATGGAAGCCTGAGGCTTTCCTTGCATTTAAAATGCCTCTTCCACATTTTTATGGTGGCTGCGTGTGGGAGAGGATTTGTAATGACTTAATTTATTTTGCATTACACTCTCGCTCCATGAGTGAATGATATAATTGCTCTTAACTGCTTTACATGCCTGGCAATATATAAATGAGGTTTTCTTTTGAAGATTGACACCAGGACCTCTACACTTTGGAACAACTCTGCATATACTGAGTTAATGTATAACAGCTGTCTTCATGGTTAGCATTCTGATAAGAGGGAGGAGACACTCAAATCCAAGTCAAATAAAGGTTCCCACATGGTTCTTAACTTTGATGTATGGTTCTGTGAAAAACATCTAATTAGTATAGAGCCTTTACATTATGTGGAGGTTCTTAGAACATAATTGTCCATTTAAGGTGGAGTAATGTTTCAGCAAAAAAATCAAATATCCACACTTTTCCACAAATGTAGTAAATCAACCAAGACATGTTTGGTGTCCAAATGTGGCTATGTTATTTTAGCACTGGAGCTATGAGGCTAACAAATACTAGAAGTCAATAGTCACCCAAATTTTTCATAAATACGTCGCCAAAACTTCCTCTGTTCTGACTGCATTCAGATGTTTATTAAGGTTGCACAGACTTGTTTAATAGGGGTGAGGACACAGTATGAACTAAATAAATGGACAAAACACCTCTGTTGTTTGAAGTGACTGCCTGCAGGTTTAGCTGCACGGTGAAGTTTTGTTCATTTTTATAGTTCATTTTTATAGTATGACAGTAAGTCACACTGTATCCTAAACTACACTGAAATGTCTGTGTGACCTTAATGAAGGGCTGGAGGTGGTTTGAGTGGGTCGAGAGAAGTGTTGGGGATATATTTACAGAAAAGATTTTGGTGACTATTGATTTCAAGTGTTAGCATTGTTAGTCTAGTAGCTCCAGCACTGAAGTAAAAGAGCAAAATTTGGATATCAACTACATTTGGGTTAAGTGGAAAATTCTATAATCACTCCAAAACTATTCCTTTAACTTTTGAAGTAAAAAGATGTTCATTCACAATCATTTTTTAAATATATTACAAATGTAAAATGTGTCATGTCTCTCTGTGTTCTGTCTGTGCAGACCAATGACGCTTCAGGAAATACCTGGAACTGGCTGTACTTCATCCCCCTCATCATCATCGGCTCCTTCTTTATGCTCAACCTGGTCCTGGGTGTCTTATCAGGGTGAGTCGGTCTTCAAACAGCCAGACTTTTCAACACTCTTGCTTTTCTCTCTCTTTCTCTTTATTCATTGGTCCTTATCTTCTCTTGAGAGCCATTTGTTGGAGGTTATAGAGCCACAGGGATGCTGTATCTTCATGTGTCTAGGCTTGAGGCACTACATGGCTCAGCTAACAGACCACCCATTTCCTTTAGCAGGAAAAGCATGATGACTGACTGCCTCTCTAATGCTCACATACATGCATTCATACATACATGGGAGGGAATGTGGGGGAGTGAAAAGCTTAGTGAAGTGGCTGTAGTCTTTAAGCACTGCTTGCTTGAACAAGAGATGTTCCCTAAGGACGTACCTCTTTCCAGAAATATTACCATAATGAAATGGCTGTGCTGGTATAGAGATAGTGTTTTCCATCTCAGCAGAATGCCAGCCTCTATTCATTTACATTACCTCCCTGCGATGGCTGTTATAGAGGCAAGCTGGTAGTTTATATCATTATGAGCAGGGGTGGAAAATACTTAAGTAATGGTATTTCAAAGTATTCATTTGGAAAATGTATTTTTTTGCACAAGTATTACTGAAAATAAATACTTTTATAAGTTTCTAAGCAAAACTTTATACTTTCAAAGTACTCATTAAAAAACTTGGCATCTCATTCTAAATCCATAGACATTAATATGGTATTGGCCCCCCCTTTGCAGCTGTAACAGATTCCACTCTCCTGGAAAGCTTTCTACAAGACTTTGCAGTGTGTCTGTGGGAATTTTGCCCAATCATCCAGAAGAGCATTTGTGAGGTCAGACGCTGATGTTGGACGAGAGGGCCTGGCTTGCAATCTCCATTCTAGCTGATCCCAAAGGTGTTTGATGGGGTTGAGGTCAGGGCTCTGTCTGGGCCAGTCAAGTTCTTCCATACCAAACTCACCCAGCCATGTCTTCATGGACCTTGCTTTGTGCACTGGGGCTCAGTCATGCTGGAACAGAAAAGGGCCTTCCTCAAACTGTTTCTACAAAGTTAGAAGCATTCAGTTGTCTATATTGTCTTGGTTTGCTGAAGCATTAAGATTTCCTTTCACTGGAACTAAGGGGTCTAGGCCAACCCCTGAAAAACAACCCCATAGCATCATCCCTCCTCCCCCAAACTTTACAGTTGGCACAGTGCAGTCAGGGAGGTAATGTTCCTCTGACATTCACCAAATCCCGACTCATCCATCAGACTGCCAGATAGAGAAGCGTGATACGTCACTCCACAGAATACATTTCGAGTCCAGGGCAGTGTGCTTGGCTTTGTGCTTGGTGATATAAGGCTTATATGCAGCTGCTCAGCCATGGAAATCCATGCCATGAAGTTTCCAGCGCACAGTTTTTGTGCTGATGTTAATTTCAGAGGAGGTTTGGAACTCTACAGTTTTTGAGTCAGCAGAGTGTTGGTGACTTTTATTCACTATGCACCTCAGCGCTCGGTGACCTGCTCTGTAACTTTACGTGGTCTCCCACTTTGTGGCTGGGTTGCTGTGGTCACTAAACGCTTCCACTTTATAATAATATCACTCACAGTTGATCGTGGAATGTCTAGGAGGTAAATAAATTTCAAGAACCAACTTGTTGCAACAATGGCATCCTAACAGTACCTCGCTCAAATTCAGTGAGCTCCTTTGAATGACCTATTCTTTCACAAGTGTTTGTAAAGGCAGAATGCTTGGCTAGGGGCTTGATTTTATACACCTGTGGTAATGGGAAACTCCTGATTTCAGTGATTAAGAGGTGTGTCTCAATACTTTTGCCCTTATAATGTATATCAATCAAAATAATTACTTATTTCCTCATTATTTATATGTTGAAATAAAGGTTTATTTCTTATATAGTCTGAGTAATGCAGAACGTGATCAGCTCATGCCCAGCATTAAAGTTATTTTAATGTACAACAAAAAACCCAAATGTCTCCACAGTTAATTTAATTTTTTTTACAATATTTAATATTTACTTTTATATACTTGGGTTTGTTTAAATGTCAATACGTTCGCTTAAGTGGATTTTTTGCTCTGTACTTTGACTTTTAAATGAGTAAGATTTTGACAAACTTCCAATATTTTAACTTAAATACAGTTTTTCTGTATTTTTTCCACCCCATTACTGCTTTTTTCTGTTTTCTTTATCTTTTTTCTTTTGCACACAGGTGAATAGTTGTGGGCACACCTACATAAACAAAAACATACATTAAGTCTTTAACATTCATTTAATGCCAATTTAAAAGTGTCTTAGTTTAGTTCGTTCATCAGAAAAAGATAATACAGATAAGATTATAAAATCTTTGAATGTGTTACATTAATTCTTGCTTTCCAAAGCTTTATTCTTTCTTTCAAGAATTGTTAGTTATGGAATGCACTGGTCATTTCCCAGAACACTACACAATAAGCTGCAAAACCAGCCTGTTTTGAACACATCATGGTTGTGATGTCACAACCACAAACAAGCTTGATGCATATAACTATGCATCAAGCCTACAACAATTTAGCCACCTGCATGGGCTCTTTAAAAGTCTTCACACCTACAGTATTCAGATCATTGCTGCATAGCGTTTTTCAGGTCAACACAGTTCATAGCTTGTAAATTGGTGGGAATATGATCTTCATTTCCTTCATTGATTTAGCTTCTTTGTTCAGTTTTTCCCAAAGATGCCCCTTTTCCATTTTCAGAAGTGATGTGCCTCTGCTTGAAATCCATTTTGGGAATTTTCTTTCCACTCACTGAAAAATAAATTCAACAAAATAGTTGTCATTAAAAATGTCTGTATGTACGTATTTACATGTGATAATATGTATTATACAGATCAGTCGACTGAAATGGTTTACAGTCAGAGTTGAAAACACATTTCAGACTTTTAATTGACTTGGACTTTTTCCATTTTGCATTGAGTGACCTTTAACTTGAATTTTGTTTATTTTATTAAAACAAATGACTATACATACAATTTTATCACCACTAAAATAATCATAACAATACTCAAACTTTACCAAATGTTTTGCTAGTGAGAATTTTCACTTATTTTGGGTATAAGTCAAAAATGTGAGCCAGTACATGACAATCAGCTTTGAACAGCTGCACCCACATAAAATCATAATTTTTCATTAAAACACAAAAAGGTTTACTTAATTAAGAAAAATGTGTTTCAGTGTTGACAATTCTTAATGTTACACATTGATTTTTTTCAGACTTTGGGACACATTTACATTTCAATTTACATTCCAGTTTCAAAGCACTGGAATCTAAGTGCTCACCATGTGGCCATGAGGGACTAAAACTCTGTTTTAGTAGTTACATGAAGACATGGATAAGATAAGTCTGTCAAATTCACTTTATAAGTAATCAAAAAGATGTTTTAAAAACAACAAATTAAATATTACTTTAACAAATTGAACTTTAGGGGTTACGGCTTGAGACAGATACCTCCCAACGTAAAGTACCCTATAAATGATCATCCTGTATATATTTAGCTTATTACTATGTCAATTCATGCCTTGGGCTTTAATAGATCATAACATAATCCTTGTAAATAGACAAAGTCTGTGTACTACTGTGGTTCCACAGTTTGAACTGATTCAGTAACTCGTGTCTCCTGCATAATTTACAAAGAGAGAAACTTACTGGAGGGAATGTAGGCAATATCCAAACTTCCTATTCGTCTTCGAGATGGTGATGTAGAATATGTATGATCTTCTCTTTCATTCAGCTCCGTATCAGTCATTTTTCCAAGGGACCAATCCTGGGGCATTCTTGTCTCCCTCTCTTCTGGACTGAAGGGCTTCCTTATGTTACTGGCTGCCATGTTGTTTATCTCCAACAAAAGTCTCATCTGAGGTCCAGCTCTCCATTTGTGCTTGTCCAAAATTTTTCTCACACTTCATGACTTACAGTATGCTTACAAATGCTGTCTTCCGATAAATGTTTTCATGATGGTTTGGCTGGCTGATTACTAGAGGAGTACATGGGGTTTCCCAGAGAATCACTGAGCAAGTGAAATGTGGAAGTGAAACCTGGACACTGATGTTTTTGTCCCTTAGTGTTTGTCCTTTTGCTACAGTGACATTCTGGTTGTAAATCAACAGATCGGCAGTGTTGGGTTTTTGCTGGGGCGGATGGTGATCACATGGCGATGTTAAAGACGGCAACATTTCCAATAATAAAATGTTTACTGCAGTAACAGCCTACACTATTCTGGGAAGGCTTCATGCTAGATGCTCTGATGATTTGATTGCATTCAGCCACAAGAGCATTAGTGAGGTCAGATACTGACGTTGAATAATTAGTTCTGGATCACAAACGCCACTCCAACGCATCCCAGAGGAATTGGATAGTACTCCATCACACCAGATGCATTTCCACTGCTCAACAGCTCAAAGCTGAGGGGCATAAATCCAGCTCACTGACACTTGCTCTGGGCACTGTGACCTTTGACTCATGTTTGGCTGTTCCAGAGTGTCTCATTCCATTGGCATTGCTTTTAAAGGAGCTGTGAATAAACAGTTGAACACCTGTGTAAGCAGTGGGTGCACCTTGAAGTAACTGAATTCACTAATTAGAAGGGTTTGCTGTCATTTTCTGAGTACTTATTAATATGTACATTTGGTATTGTGATAACTATTCATTATAAAATAATTCAGTTATTTAGTTATAAATTAACTATCCATTTCAGGCATTGGGTCTTCACCTGAAAATTGAATTGGACGAATTAGAAACATTGATGCTGCATTTATATTACAGTGTTATTACAGTGGAGATAAGCGATTTTCATTTTGCCTCCTGCTGATTTCTATAGAGACAGACGGCAGCTGTGCATGGAGATTATGAAAGCCGGAGCAGAGAGAAGCAGGCAATGAAATGATGAAAGGCTAAGATTTTCCCAACTTTATGCAAATTAGATGCAAGTTTCATTGGGCATTGGCCAATTAGATTGTTCAAATGAGGTGTTTTTCACCATGAGTCAGGCCAATATTCGAACTACGCACTAATATCAGCATTGTGAGCATAGAGCAGGAAAAGCTCACCAATATTTCAGCAGTGAAATACGGCAGCAGTGCATACTAAGGGTCATTATGCAGGGACATCTGTGCAAACTGGTTGAACTATTCGTAGATTATAGAAGTGTGTAATAAAACTTTTGGGCCCACCAGTGGACCCTGGCTATTTAAGGAGTTAGTCAAAAGTTGAAACCACTGCGAATACAGGTGACGTCAACTCCCTGTTCGTTGGAATGTAGAGTCTCCTACATATAGATTCACCCCAAACACCCAACATCTTTTCGGAAAGATCATCTCTCTCATTCCTTTCTGTCTTCAGATGGTTTAATCCTTTCTCCTCTGGATTAAAGTGTTTTTAACTGCCACCTCTTTTATCATCTCCAGCAAATGTTTTGACCTGAGATTCATCTGTCCAGAATGTGGTACCTGCTGTCACACTTCATCCCACACTTGGGAGCTTCTTCTTCATACTACGTGCATTCTTTGATTGGCTTCTCTTTTCGTTTTCTTGCCGAAACAGCATGAAAGTGCATCTCCATACTCTTTGCAAAAGTTTCTTGAGAGCCTCCAGAGTTTGTCGATCTTTCTCTGTAAAAGTCTGACTTGCTGGTGGCATCATGAGCAGAGTATGTGTGCCTGCTGGGCAAACTGACATACTGTGAAACACTTGTTTTGCATTTTCTGAAGATGACAGTGACCGGCCTGGTGTGTCTACAGCTGAGACATGACACACAGCAACTTTCCCTCAATGCATCTCTGATGTTGGTTGGTATCTGGGCTCAAAATTCCTGGAGTTTATCAGCATAACTATACATGGATATCCTGGGCTGCTCTTCCTCGCTCTCTTCCCGGAAGTGCACCACCCAGCTCTGACAGTAGTGCACCTCGCTTGGTACTTGGTCAGAGAGAAGTAGTTTATTATTCACACTAATTAAGTGTATTTTATTTACATGGTGATTTCAAGTGGACAGACTGTTTGCAATTAGTTTCAGCATACATTTGTAAAGATTATTAATGTGGGATGAAATTAGCATTTAAAATCTGTGTGCTTACCCTTGAACACTTCTGTAGGACTTTGTCTTCTTACTTTCATCCTGTTTCTTTTGGCTGTTTTGAAACATTAAGTCCAACAATCATAATATAAGAAGTCCTGTGTGTTTTGTAAATACTACCTGTTTCCAGACTCCAGTTCATCTATCATATTCATAAGCTCTGTGCTCTGTGATCACTCTGGTTTTTGCAAGTAAGAACATGCTATCTTCGTCCACATTCTTCCATTATCCATGGCATTTCCTCAAATTCTGTCTATTTAGTCATGGCATTCTCCGTTAGCAGTCTGCGTGCATGAAATTAAAGCCATACCCGCTACTTTGCAACCCAGCCTGAACAGGCCTGAGTCTGATTTCTTAGATCGCAATAAGGTCTAGAAATCAGATAAAGAGAGCTGGATTTTAGCTCAGCAATCAGATTTCTCAGTGCATGTAAACTCTTACTCGGATTTCTTTCGATTTTCTCAGTCAGCGCATATGCAAAAGCAGACGGTGGTATTGGAAATAAGGGAGCAGCATTGCGCTGAAACCAGCTACAGACTTGATGAAATGAAGGATTTAAATATTCTTCATCTTCTAGATGATGTATGTTTATATTTTCAGGTAAAGTGACGCAATGTTTTTTTAAAAAAAGCAGCGGCATGAAGTTTGAGTTTTACATTTTGTTTACGTCAAGTCTTCTTCTGTGAGTTTATTGGCTGGTTGAAAAGCAGAAATCTGATTACTGCTTGACTCTTGTAGACCCGGAGTTTCACATTATCTCAAGTGAATGTAAACGCGTTGATCAGATTACTGACACAATCTAATTTTCTGCAGTTATCAGATTATTAATTGCGTGTAAACACACTCACTGACTTACCTGGAGAGAGGAGTTACTCTGACTCTGACACCGACATTTGCTTCTGGTTAGTAGCTTCTGTGTTTGCTTAAGCGACGACATGCCTGTCTTTCCTGCTTTCATGGCTCATGAGACAGTCGCAGCTCTACACATTATGAGCAGTTCGCTTTTCACCTGATCATAATGTTTTCACAATGAAGAGAGAGAAAGTGCATAAAAGAGAATCTGTGTGTGCAGAATTTCAGTAGGCATATTCCTTCAACTATAAACAAATCTGTCTACATAATAAAATCACTCATTAGAACACAAACACGAGCCCGACTTGAACCTGTTTTGTGTGAAAAATTGGACCGAAGCATTTTTTTAGGCCGCGGAGGTAGCAGATTTTATTGGATGTGTTGACAATGGGAACAGTCAAAAGAATTGCTTGCAGACATGGAGAGCAAAAGCCATGCTGTTTTCGACATCTACATTTTCTATGCTTGAGGTTTTCTTTTATCGTACCAGCCTGAAATGTAGACCACTGTTAGTTGCCTGCCATTTATTTCATTACATCTGACCATGTATCGCACTGTTGTTCTGGCTTCATTAATGTCAACTGCATTCATGGCAAAAATAATCCTCTGGAGGAAAACGAGAAACAGGGCTTATGTTCATTTGTAAGAACAATTTCTGATTTTAAGAATCAAAAACATATGTTATTCTTGTTATTGCTGTTCTTGTTGTTGTACATCTTCAGTAATTTTAGAAGTTAGCTGAAGGAAGGTTTTTGCTTACTGTGTGTGAATAGAAGTGGTGTGCACTCGTTAAAAAGTGCCTCATTGGTTCTATGACTTTTGGTTCCTTAAAGAACCATGTTTGAAAGAGATTTGTGAAGGACCCCCTATAGGTTTGAAGAACCTTCAGATTATATTAAAGTTCTGTACTAATTTAAGAGCTCTTCATAGAACCTTTGCAGTATGTAGAGATTCTTTAAACTTTAAAAAGGTTCTTCACACTCACACATCTCAAAAATGATTCTTCAATAAATGTTATTAACACAATATAATAACTGAGTTAGAAAGAAAGAACCAGAATAAATCTTGAAAGGAAGCTTTTCCTGGGTCACTGAATGCACTTTTAATTATTGTAACTCCCTTTTAACACGAGTACAGGTTGTTTGATATATTTAGAAGAGTCACAAGTTGATGTCCTTTTTCTTCCTCTTTTTTTCTTCCAGTGAACAAAAAGTGAAACTTTTTGGTTACTGGCTGACAGTTATTCACATGAAATCCATGTGACAGTATTTACTGGTGCTGCCAATGTTGACTGACATTTAGAGTTGGCTCAATCACTTTTTCTTATTTAATGTTAATAAAGCCTTGAATATAAACTGTAACTGACCCGTTATTGAGCTTTTTTATTTTGATTGGAGCACCGTATTACTCCAACTGCCCAAAAAGTCTGCTTAAAATGTCCTTTAAATAATAATAGTTATAGTATAATACTTAGTTACCTGTTTGTTGTTCTTATGTTAACTACTTTGTGTGGTTACTATTATCACCAGCCTTATTTCACTTTACGACAGGTTGCGCTACCAACAATTCTGTGATATTTGTAGCTTATATTTTTGTATTTTTTGTTGTTGTTGTTGTTGTTGTTGTTGTTGTTTATATTTGTATGTTTATTCATTGCATATGTGGCAGAATAAGATTCTTTCTTTATTCTTTCCTGTGACATCCTGATTGTGATCCTCTACTGGTACTACAGTGTTTAATCACAACTTCACACCACACATTACATTATTGATATTCATATATTTTTAAAGATTTGAACATGAGATTTTAAGGAAAATAAAACATTAAACAGGTGCTCACATTTTGGAATAAATAAGCTAAATTTGTGCTTGAAAACAGTATTGATTTGCTTCTTCAGACAGATACTGATGTACAGTCTTAGCATAATTTTACTGGATTATAGGAGACTTGATTATAAGATTAACTAATGTACAATGAGATTAACAACATTAATGTGTGTGACAGTTCACTCCAAGCCTGGAAAAAAGCTTCATCATTGTGTTTCCGTTTAGAGTGGAACAGTCCAAACCAGCGTAAAGCACAGATGGTTTTAGCTAAGGTTGGACTTTATTCATTACTGACCAGCGTTTTCACGCTCTGTACCCTGTTCCCAGACGTTGTGAGAATTCCCCTGTAGGGACACTGCGAGGGAGTTGCTGATTGCCACAAGCCTTTTGCTCACTTTTCTCTGGCCCTGCTGCTCTCTTGCTTTGATTAGAATGGCTGCATAGGACTCCTTTCCCTTTTCTTCGGTTTCTAAATCTTGATTTTTTGCTTTTGGCTTCTGATTTTTGCTCAGTGGGTCTCGGTGAGAAATAGTTCCATGGGGAATTTTGATTAAAAGGAATATTGCAGTAGTTTTTCAAAGAACTGTGAAGATGAAGTGAATATAAAGGTGACAAGGCTATGTTTGATCCCAAAGAGTGGATTTAGATGGAGAATTAGAGGATAGTTGTAGGAAGTTCTCTGAAACCTTCCATTTTTCACTTCTTTGAGCCACTTTAGCTTCAGCAGTGTTGCTGGGCCACACTATCAATGCCTCTCATTTAAATAGGACACAATGTCTTTCAGAAACCAAGACATGACCAAAAGTAAACAAATAATAGTAATCCGTTTTTTGTTTAGAGAGGAGAGAGACGGGTTCTGTTTGCTGTTTTTGCGTACATGGTGTCTTGGGGTTTATGTGCTCTGGGCAGAGCTCTCTCAGTTAAAAGAAGTCCAAAAAGTCAAAGTACAGACTACAAAACGGTTGACGGCCTTATTATTTTACAAGTGGTCATAATGGCATACCTGTCTGAGTTTCTTTGAATTTTTTATTCAAAAATGTTCCTCCCTCCCACATCACCCCCTGCTGCTGCCTCACCCTTACACAAAATATGGAGTGATGTGCTGGTATGATCCACAGCCGACATATGTCACCTCTGCAAATGTAACCTTTGCTCTCACAGCAGCCCTCATACTTGCCCCTGAACTTTATTCACATTCCTTTTGATTTCTTGACACTCCTTTACTTGCCCTCTGTGTCAAAGTACGCTCCAGCTTTTAAAGAGGCTTTTATACTGTTGCCCTGTCCAGTGTAGCAGCAGAGCTGCCGGGGGTCTCCATGGCCCTGTTTGAAGTGAAAGGCCACTCCAGACTAGCAGAGGGAGGCTAGACACCCAGAGAGATGAGAGAGGAGGGCAGTAGTGGCAAAACATCACAGTGTCTACTCAGGGCTCTGCGGTGTGATGGAGAACACTGCTTAGCCATTAAAGCTCCTGTTTATCAAACACTTACTTGAACGTCATTGTCACCTGCTAGAGAGTGCCTATCTCTAGATTCAGAAACTGGGCGCTGTTTACTCTTTCTCTGCGTTATGTAAGGCAGGATTGTCTGAAATGGAACACTGCTCTTTTGCACTAAATGGGAATGGACATCATTGAGTTGTGCCTAAATAGTCTTCATACAGTCAACTGCCCATTTAAAGAAAGATGTTTCCAAATGGTGCTGTGTGGTTAACTGACAAGTTCCAAAACCTGTTTTTTAATGTACATTTGTTCCCAGAAAATCACTGTGTCATTTGAATTACAGTGTAACTAGTGGAAATAGTTACATTCAAGCTACCTTGCACATTAAATGGAGTAAAGCAGCTAGCTTTGTCAGGTATGTAGTACCATGGCTTTGGCATTAATAGCAGAGCCGGTTTATGAGGAGCCTGGCCTCTTCCTATTTCCCCCCCATTATATCAAAAACATGACGGCAAAATGCCAGAGGGCACCTGTGAGCGAGTCCTCAATGAATGGGGGTGAAAGGAGCTAAACGGAACGTTAAAATATAGTTTCTAATCACGTGCCCAGAACTTTCATTTAATTTTAAGAAGTAGAAGGATGTATTTCACTAAAAAAGCAAAGAAAACATATATATTACTGAGTGCTGATTGGTTGGCTGTTCGCGCTCACTGACCTGGATAAAGTTTGCCAGTTTAGTTCCAGGACCAGGATTGGGCACACCTGTTTTATATCATCTGGGTATTAAGGCCCAATCTCATTTCTTATTTTTATTTTGAAATCTTCCCCTATGAAATGTGACCCTCAAATAAAAAATAACATTACTTCATTAACAGGCTACTAGCGCTGCTCTGCAGGTGACCCTGCCAGTCTGCAGTGATAGTAGAGGAGGGTAAAGTTCAGCAACCTCACTGCTGGTCTTCAGTTAAATTTAGGGCATCATATGCCTTCAAGGAGGGAAGGGTGCGACATTTACTTTATTGTTGCCCACCCCTAATTCTTTAGTGATATGAAGCTGAAGTCAGCTATTCACCAGCTTCTTGTTAATTTTTTCTCATTCTACCTTAAATTCCACCATTTAAGTTGGAATGGGAAATTTAGCTAGCTAGCTCCCAAGACATCAGGATAATACTAGCAATTTTTAATACTTGTTATGAAGAAAAGGACCATAATACATTGAAATGACTTTAAACTAAGATATCATCTTGCCGTTTTTTTCATTTTTTCTCATGACACTACATTTCGCCCTACCCCTCTATCTTAACCAATATCAGGACACCCTACCCCCAGGCGTGAACACGCAAAACAGAGGGGTAAGGGCTGAGTGCTAGGTGCAAAGGGGTGAAATGGGATTGGGCCTAACAGTTAACCACATCCTGTTTTATTTCCCTATATGAATACTCTGCTTGTACTAAAAGTTGTAAGTCTGTGATTTTTTGTCTTTGTTTATGCTAGCCTGATGTTCATTACCTTTTGTGTGTCTGTGTGTATGTGTGCGCTCACAGAGAGTTTGCCAAAGAGAGAGAGCGTGTGGAGAAGAGACAGGAGTTCTTGAAGCTACGGAGGCAGCAGCAGATTGAGAGAGAGCTCACCGGTTACCTGGAGTGGATCTGTAAAGCAGGTAAGACAGTCCAGTTCTCATACTCACTCATTTGACCTCTTCCATAGTTTCTGTAGGAGAGTCTGACTAATGTATCAGTTAGCCCATAACCATATTGAAGTCCAATGGATTTATTAGTATCAGTGAAAATCTCTTGTGTATCCACAATATACCTAAACCCCATCATGCCTTGCATGAAATACATGCAAAACATCTGCCAATCCTTAAACAGATGGACTAAATTCTAGGCTTGCTAGCAACAAAAATCTTGAAGCATACCAGTATCTTCATAGCAGTAGGATCAGGCAGGGTCAAGTGGACACTGTCGACAAATATGTGTACTTAAAAGCAGACATTGAGCCTGGCCAGAGTCCTCTCCATATGAATAGATAAATACTCTTAATGGGCGTTTGTATACTCGCGAAGCAACAAACTGTCCTGTGATCTGAGAAAACTACTGCTTTCACTACAGTTTTCGCAGCTGGCAGTTGATGGAAGAAGAACCACTAGGGAGAACTCTCCAGCCATTGATTCAGCTTTGCTCGGCTGTGGTGACATTTAGCCCAAAATCAACCACTTAACAAGCTAGCGTTGCTAACCTGGCTTCACGGACGTTCCACACATATATTGAAATACAGAGGTCAGAGGTAGCACCAAAATTTAATGGCTTGTTTATAAACGCTATTTGTCAATCATAGGAGGATGTTCTGAGCCATCTCCCTGGACTCCTATAGGTGTAGTGTGGTGTTCCTTCCCGAGCGGGGAATCAAACCCTAGTCTGCCGTGTGGAGGACTTATTGTGATATTATATGGTTGACCTGTGGCCTGTTCTGCTGTTTCAGAGGAGGTGCTGCTGGCTGAGGAGGATCAGAACGCAGAGGAGAAATCTCCACTGGATGGTGCGTGGTACAAGAGGAAACAGAACAACCCAGGTGAAAAGAGTTAGGACACTTAGGGCTGGTTTACCATACTAGCCTATAGTAAACCAGCCCAGTGTACAGAGGTACGACCTCTCACTCCATAAACCTTCATTCATAAACATGATTTTGCTCTGCATGGGAGCACAAATCGATCAGTGGCATTTGTTTTTAGATCAAACGTGGATGTGGTTTGATCTTTTCACCTGGGAACAATGCGCCTAGTATGAAATGAATGGAGCTTAGAGACTGTATGTGTGAAGTGCTGAGTGCTGAGTGGGGCCTGAGTGCTGCAAATTTCCACCAACTTCTGCATTTATCCATTTTATAAAGATCAGGGGTGTCTCTCTCCATTTATTTAGCTACTGTGCTGCTCCTGCCCTCTGTCTCCTTTCCTTTTAACCCACATTTCTAGCTGTTAAGGTAGTCTTTGAACTTGCTGTGCTTGTAGAGCTCCGTTCCCTCTCTCAACCAGGACATCCACAGTGGTCTTCTTTAACTCTATATGCTTTGCTCTTTCTCTTTTCTCTCTCTCTCTGTTTCTCTCTTTCTTCCCTCTCTCTCCCTCTCTTTGCCTCTTTTCCTCTCTTGCTCTGCCTGTCTTTCTTTCTTTCTTTTTATCCCTCTCATTCTGTCTCTCTCCCCCCTCACTCACTCTCTCTCTTTTGCTCTTTCTCTCTCTCCCCTCTACTTCTGTCTATCTTGCTTTCTTTCTTTTTCCTTCTCTTTGCCTCCCTCCCTCTCTTTCTATGCCTTCTTTCTTTCTTTCTCTTTCTTTCTTTCTTTTTCTTTTTGTCCCTCTTTTTACCTCTCTCATTCTGTCTCTTTCTCTCTCCCCTTCTATCCCTCTCTCGCTCTTTCACTCTTTCTCTCTCCCCTCTGTCTTGCTTTCTTTCTTTTCTCTCTCTCTCTCTCTTTCTCTCTGATTATATCTTTTGCTCTCTCTCTCCCTCTTTATTTATCTCCCCCTCCCTCTCTCTCCCCTACCTCTTACCCCATCTCTCTCTTGTTCTCTCTCTCCCTCTATCTTTCTTTCTTTCTTTCTCTCCACTCCCTCTCTCTTCACTCTCTCCCCCTTTCTCCCCTTCTACCTCTATCTCTCTCTTTCTCTCTCCCCTCTGCGTCTTTCTCCCTCCCTCTCTCTCTTTGTCCCTACCTCTTTCCCCCTCTCTCTCTTTTTCCCTCTCCCTCTCCGTCTCCCTCTACCTCTCCCTCTCTTTGTCTCTCTCCCTCCTCTGCCCCCCACTCTCTTTATAACTGTGTTCTGCTCTCTCTTCAGCACATTCATTGACATGTGCTTAACTTCCTGCTCCCAGTAGTTCTGCCTTATCAAGGCCCATAATCTCTGTCAATTACGCCTGGCGTGGATGCCAGAAGTAATTATAAGGATTAAGACAACAGGGTTAATTGGATTAGCATCGCACGCACACACACTCTCTCTCTCACACACACACACACACACACACTCACACACACCATGGAGAACAGCGCAGTGTGAGATGCCTCCCAGCTAGACTGCTACAACATACCAGTACAGGGAGGTGCTTAAGGAGCTGAAATGAAAGAGATCTATAAATATAGACGCTCTGTAGATTTTTTCTTTATCCTACAGCCCTACAGTGAGACATGTAGCCACGAGCAGCAGGAATTGCTAATGGTCTTAGCCAGTTCCTTCAATGCACCGTAGACCTTCAGAGACTGCTGCCAGACATGAAAACGGATAATGAAAAACGTGATTGACAACCACTCCTCAAAGACTGTAATTAGCCATGTTGAACGGGTAGGAAGAGAGAGAACAGGAGAGAGAGAGAGAGAGTAAAATGCAAGGCTCGGATTGGTGCTCAGTCATGCATGTGTGTAGTTACTCAGCATCTCCTGAGTGCTAATGGCTGATGACTCACAGTGAGGTATGGCTTGCTGTGTGCACACATCTATCTATCTCAGTTGCTCGGAACTCGTGCTGCTTATGTAATAAGCGGGCTATGAGCAATTAGCTGTTTTGTTAAAAAAAAAAAAGATGGCATGGAAAACAAATAGCCTCTTGAATTCATTGCTGAAGCCATCAAGTGCATGATTTAAGCCAATGAATTGGTTTCATGAACCTTTGGATGCACTGGTTATGCATGCTTTTAACATAAAACAGCATTTATCTTGGCAGTGATGTTTATCTCAGTGGTAAGTGGGTTTTTGCCAGTAAAACACTACATAACGTTAATATAAATACAAATAAAAATTAATAAGAATGGTAAAAAGTCACAAGAATTTGTTGTTTTCAAAAAAGTTCATAATTTGTGAGCTAGTTAAAAGGGCACTAGTTAGGTTCTTGATTTCTTATCTACACCCCCAGCCATTGCATGGATTTGTTCAATTCCATCAGCAGCCCACCTGATTTCGTTTAATGAAACATTGATTGAGCTAAGCCAAGTATTGGATGATAACTACAAAAAATACATGGCTTTTTTGAGGAGAGGTTTTGAAATGGTTAAATGAACACAGTGATTTATGTAAAATCACTACTTATTGTGTTAATATTAGTTGCGTTTATTCTAATATTATTGTTCTTTCTGAGTAAATAACCACTTCATGCCCTATAAAAAAGCTTTGCTCATATAATTTTCTCAGGTGCCTAAAACTTTCGAAACAGCACTGTATAGTGTCACTTTCAGGACGAAAGCTTGTATCTCCAAAATGGTAACTGTAACGAGACAAAACTGGCCAGACACTTGCAGGTTAAGTCAGGAATTAGGCTTTACTGTTTTGGATATGATCAATACTCATGGTCATGAAACAGGCAAAGGTCAAATCCAGAACCATCCAGAAATAAAAAGGGACAAACATAACAATAACAAGAAAGGCAAACCAGGTCCAAAAAGGGCCAGGAAAAAAGGCAGAGTCGTTGATGCAAAATAGAGTCCGATACGCAGGTAAACAATAATCAGAGGAAAAAACACTCAGTAGCTCTAAGAAAGAAGCAACAAGCTAAACTAAAGCCCAGGCTTATATACTAACTATACCAAACAATGATTACAAGGAACAGGTGAGGCATATCAGTCATTTATCACAAAATTGAACATATTGTAAAGTGCAGCTGGCATTTTCATATTTTGTAAAAAAAAAAAAAATTAAAACAAAAATGGAGATACAAAGTTTATTTAAGTTTAGTTTTGAGCAGTATACATATAACAAAACGCACGCACGCACGCACGCACGCACGCATGCACGCATGCGCACACACACACACTTTAAAGAAGTGGTTGAGCCAAAAATTAGATTTACAAAATTGTCTCTTTACCCCACATGTTGTGGATCAGTCAGATGAGCGTCTGACGTTTGCTTCTTTAGTTTTGCACTGGCGAACATAAGCAAGTCTATTGGAGATGACTTAAGAACTCAAGATGGTTTAAGACAAGTGTGCAAACTGCATCCCGTGCTCTAAAAGAAGCAGGATCTGTTTTTGGGCTGGGTTAATGCATTTGACTGACAAACTAGACAGTGATTTGAGAGAACACAAAAGACCCAGACCGTTGATGAACATTTAAAACTGACATGTCCAGTATAATAATAAACAAAAAGCTCTTTTTCACACTCGGATTGTGTTACTCAGTGTGTTGTACAACTCCGGGAGTTCAAAAACAGCCAAAACTAGCTTTTTCTCCCATGTTGAATGAATGACTAGAGAGAAGGCATTCTCGATATTGATTGATCAGCTGTAGATGACGTATGGCTCTTTTATGGGTGCTCAGCACAAAAGTTGACAGTTTTTAAACTTAAACCCATTTAAAAATGCAAAACATGCTGCACGGGCTAGAGAATTGCTTTTCAGTCACCGTACATGTTTGCTCTGTAGACAACAATGAAGAGATGCTCTTGTGAGAGTTTAAAGGCATGAAGTGCATTATGCTCATTGGTGGAGCATTACATGTTAGCTTTATTAGCCTCTTATCTCCAGTGCAAAGCTAAGGATGAAACTTTGATTGATCGGGTACATTTGGGGGAAGGGAAAGCTCTGACAGTTTGATTGTTGGCCTTTAAGTTAGACATTTAGCTTCTGCTATCTAACAATATCATTGAGAACGTGAGGAGAAGTCTTCTTTGTCTATTGATGTGTGTGTAGTGCTGAAAAGGGCCAAGGCCAAGAAGGGTAAGAATGACCTCATCAGTGCTGAGGAAGGAGAAGAACGCTTCACAGACATCTCTTCTGTCGGTAAGTCTTGACCTTCGACATCTCTCTACCTTATGCTCCTCATCCACTGTAATCTAATCACCAGACAATACTGACAACTCTGCAGATGTAGTGCATATCAGGCCTGGGATTTCAGAGGGATGGATGACACACAATACTGCATATAGCATATTATCAGAAAGCTCAGCTTCTATACTTTAACATGGAAATTGAAGTTAGTTGATCTCTTACAAGGCTGTAAGGTTATTGAAGTTCAGTCTTAAAGGAATTTTTAGACATTTTAATATATACAGTCATATGCAAAACTTTGTACACCCCTGCTCAAATCATGTTTTGTTGATACCTTAAACAAACTGAAATGTGCCATTTTTCTACAGGTTTTTGTGCACAATTTCTATTTCATTTCTGAATTTAACATATTGGAAAAACAGGCCACATTTTATGTTTAATTTTTTCCCATTATGTTAAATGAAGCAAATAAACAGTAGTTTTTCATCTGTGTAAGTGTGTCCTGTGTAAACAATCAACAAAATGAGTCATTTTACCAGGGGTGCCCAAACTTTTGCATACACACTTAAAAAAACACTTAAAAATAATGGTTCTTTAAGGGTTTTTTAGTAAAGAAAATTGTTCTGTTTAGAATCATGAACAGTCAAAGAGCTCTTTGCATAATGAAAGGGTTCTTTGCATAGTGAAATGGTTATTCAGATTGTTCTATATGGTTCTACATAGAACCTTTTTCTATATAGCACCAAAAAGAGGTATTCTATTGTTACCATGTACTATGTAGAACCCTTGTCAAAAAGGTTCTGTATAAAACCTCCATCAATCTGTAGAATGCTTTCAACCCTTAATCATGCAAAGGGTTCTTTGAGTGTTCATGGTTCCACACAGACATTTTCTTTATTAAAGAACCCTTGAAGAGACATCTTTTTAAGAGTGCAGGAATAAAATCGTCATAGATAATGAATGAATGAATTAATAATTTATTCAGTATTAATGTATGCAGTTATGGAGAACAGACACGTAAAGTATTCCATATTTATAGTCTTCATATTACTAGTCAACGTATCTGCCTCAAGATTTGATGACAGCACTGCAAATGCGAGTCTCTCATTTATATTGATTTATACCTTCATTCTCGATGCTGCTCTGCTTTCTCAGTCATTTTGGAATAATCTACAGCAGTTCATCATTTTCATTCTGAGAAACCAGAATTTCATATTATTTAAAGCCTTTAAAGTTGCAAAGTGTTATAGCTTCATTTTAGAGTCACTTCATATGCATATCTGCGTCAGCACTTATTCTATATTACTGAAAAGATTGCTTTTAAGGTTTTGAGTGGTAGTCTGTCTAAACAGAACGACATTAAATCAGAGAGAACTAAATTGTTGCTCTATTTCAGGAAGACATATTATGGAGTTAATTGTCATAACAGCATTTTCACATCAATTTTTCCAACTCTAATTACAAAATGTAAAAAAGGCCCTGTTTTCCTGGATAGACTTTGCATTTATAAAAACACTGCTGGGTCTCCTGTGCATTTCAGCTGTGAAATGTGTGTCAAGTGTCTCGGATTAGCGCAGATATGCCCATTAGCTCTGGCAAGTGAAGCAGGAGTGGAGATGTGAGTGGGAGTTAGAATGTATTAGTTCTGCCGTGATATAACACTCCAACTTTAAACCATTCACATCACCCTGGAGTGGAGCTCTCTGGCAGACTTAAGAGCCTGATGTAATTATTTCTTTCTCTCTTCTTTAATTTAGCTAGCTTTTGTGTTGGGTCTATGGAGGTACCTGAACTGTCTCAGCACTTACCCTTTGCTATTCCTGACCAGTACTACAGTTCCTAAGCTTGGAGAATGATTGGTGTCAAGCTCCTGAAGCACACAGGGCTAGGCTCCACGGAAAATAACTGCTTAGTCACTGTCTGCAGAAATGTGTAATGCCGTCTTAACTTTACTGATCTGTGAACAATTTTGCAATCTTTTGTTGCTGTCAAACTTGAGAGTTAAAAAATAAGTAGGTCTGCGATCATCCTTTAGTGAGCTCCTTGCAGACGGAAATTCCTGAAGCATTGAGGCACCGAAATGAAAATTCTAGACTGAAACAGAACCAAAATTTACAAAAAGCTGGGCTTTTATGTGAACCAGAACAGTGCCACATTTTTTGTACCAGTGTATAAATTATATTGATTTAGTATGTCTTATTTACAGTCGTATCCTTGGTCAAATTACATCTTTTGTTGATTTTCTAAGTGAAAATAAGTTAACACATCCTCTCCAGGGAACAAACTGCAAATTTTAGTGCACAATTCCACTCCTAACTATTGAGTTCAGGTGTTTCAGCCATATCCATTGCTAATAGGTGTACAAAATCAAGCACATAGCCATGCAATCTTCATTGCAAAGTTTGTATCCTGCTAGATCTGCCCCAGTCATCTGTAAGTGCCATTATTGTGAAATGGAAGCATCCTTGAAGCGATAGACCACTCAGACTCTTTGTGGCAGCATTTTTTTGATCAAGGTCTTTTTCTGTGCCCCTGGGCACAACGTGAGGTCCAGAAAGACATGGTTTGACAAGTTTGGTGTGGAATAAGTCCTGTAACCTGCACAGAGCCCTGACTCAACCCCTAAACACTTATGAATGGATGAATTGGGATGTTGACCAGCCCTCCTCTTCCAACATGAGTGCTTGACCTCACAAATGCTCTTTTGAGTGGCACGGATTCCCATAGACACGCTCCAAAACAATATGGCCAGGCCACCATTGTAAATAAGCTGTTCTTAAAGACTAGCCTGGTTAAATAAAGATTAAATAAAAAAAAATAAATAAAATAAAAATAAATTCTTGTGGAAAGCTGTCCTAAAAGAGTGAAAGCTGCTATATTAGCAAAGAGGGGATTCATATTAATGCCCATGGTTTTAGAATCAGATGTCCAACAAGCTCATATAGGTGTGATGGTCAAGTTTCCACATACTTTTGGCAATGTAGTGTATTTTCTCTTAGGAAATCAATAAAATATGTCTTGATCAGGGGCACCCAAACTATTGTACACAACTGTATTATTTTAAATGAAATTTGAATTAAAAAAACTATAAGGTTGAGGTTTAGGTTTGTTTGAGGTTTAACCAGGATATGATAGTGTTTATTACTGAAAGGTCAGTTACATTACTGCAACTACAGGTCAGGCCCGTGCACATACAGGGGCTCAAGTGGATGTGGATTAAACATGAATTTCACTCAACACCCACTGGGTCAAGGAGGGTGCTGGAGCCTATCCCAGCGTTCATTGGGCGGAAGGCAGGAAACACCCTGTACAGGTCGTCAGTTCATCACAGGGCTAAACTTTCATTTACAGCATATTATAGACCCTATAATTAAGAAATATAGTGTAATTATGTTTTAGAGAAAACCAAAGAGTTGTTTCCCAAAGCAGCCAAAAGTACTTACATTACTGCTAGAGTAGGGGCTTTTATGTCCAGCATACAAAGCTGTAGTGTTACTCACCACAGTCTAGTTACTATGAACCTCAGAGTTGTCTTTTTAGGAGCTCCTGTCATAAATCCCTGTTTTTTACAGTTACAAAAACTTGGTTTGGCAAGTTATTAGCACCCTCTACCACCACTTTATTGTTTGAAATGACCAAATTATACAATATGGCGCTTTAGAGTGCTTGTGCCTTCCTGAAACAGATCTTGAAAAATGGCGAGTTTGAGTTTTTCCTAAAAAAAAAGGACAGCAAAGGAGACAACCTTTTCCTATCTATTTCTAATTCCAATTGAAATCATTCGAATGATTCGCAAAGGGTTATATTTCCATACTTTATTTCTTTTGGCCAAAAAAGTGGAAGTGTGCAAATTTCACTGTCTCCCCGCTGTTCAGCACTTTCCTATATGTGCTTTCTCACCACCCAGCACCTCCTGGATCTCCCTTTGCCCGAGCAAGCCTGAAGAGCAGTAAGAACGACAGCTCCTCGTATTTCCGCCGGAAAGAGAAGAGAGTGCGGTTCTTCATCCGCCGCATGGTGAAGGCCCAGAGCTTCTACTGGATTGTGCTGTGCATAGTGGGTCTGAACACACTGTGTGTGGCCATGGTTCACTACAGCCAGCCTGAGTATCTCAGCCGGGCACTATGTATGTACTGCAGCTTGTTTCACATTCACTAAGATCACTCAGATAGAACTAAACATTACCACTTGAGCATCTTCATTTTGAAAATTTATTTAACAAAGTTTCCCCTGAGAATCATTTTGATCCGTTTGATGTTATTACTTAAAGTTAGGCAGTGTTTGAATCATCAGTTGGCCTTTTATTAGTGCTCATTTAGGGAAAGTCACGGTTGAATTGTGGGATATTCCCATATATGACCCATAAATGCTTAAGATCTTTGTGTATGCAATGGTGTGCATGCATATGTAACTCTCTGAGGAACCCTGTGGTGTCTCCACTAAGCATTGTAGCTAAGCATGTGCTTGAATGCAATTGAAAACAATTAAAGCAGAATTCTGTTTTTTTTTTTTTTTAAGTTGCTGCATAATTCGATAGTTAAGATGTAAACAGTCATCCACTGTTTGGATGTGAAATTGTGTATTGGAGAGAAACTTACCAGCTCAGATGTTCTTTACATGGTGAGGATTAGGACCAATGGTTGCAAATATCTACAACTTAGATATAGCCAATTTATTTGCTGTGAACCTACATGTGTCTTGAGTTTTTGTTATATGTAATGTTAATAATGGTAAAGTGTTCAATCTGAAGGAAGTCTTTCTGAGGGGAAAATACATTTTAGGCCAAAAGTTCATCATAAACATATTGTAAAACAATGTCTCAGGCATCAGGCAGTGTATAGGTAATTATTTCATGTAAAAGCTTAATGTGATGTAGCTTTTAGAGGCAGTGACCCTGTCACCACCACTGTGAACAGTTCTGACTCTGTACATTTCTTTAGAGCAAAGTATTTCACATCAAGCCGCTCTGAATGACTTTGTTTACAGTTATCTTAATTTAATTACAAAGAAATTTTGAAAAATTGGTGGAATTCCCCTTCAAGCGCATTACATGCACTTTAAGTACATTAGGGTTGATAATGTATGTATTTGATACCGTCTGAATCACTGTTATGCAGTAATGAGCACTCCTATGTGCAAAATATTCCGTACAAGTACCCATTTCATTAGTCTGAGTATAATAACAGAAGAAAGCTGTGCTAATCTAGTGCTGTGTTCCTGTGTTTGTTTGACGTGTTAGACCTGGCTGAGTTTGTGTTCCTCGGTCTGTTTCTGTCTGAGATGACTCTGAAGATGTACGGCCTGGGGCCCAGGAACTACTTTCACTCCTCATTCAACTGCTTTGACTTTGGGGTGAGTCACTGCTGGATGAATCAGAAGAGCCCAGGAGGCCCACTCACTCGCAGCCATTAGCAGCCACTATGATACTTACAGCCACTTCACATCACTGGAGGGACGACCACATTCTGTGGCTAAACAAACCCACCCTTCTCATATTCATTTAGCTGCATATTTATCCTCTATTATCTGTGTTGCTCACTGTTGCTGTGAACTCTGAGTCAGTTTTGATGCAGTCTTGTGTCCACTGGTCTGCACAGGTCATCGTGGGGAGTATATTTGAGGTGGTGTGGGCAGCTATCCAGCCAGGAGCCTCTTTCGGCATCAGCGTTTTAAGAGCTCTGCGTTTGCTCAGAATTTTTAAAGTTACCAAGTATGTACACCGTTCCTTTGCGTACATCAAAACACTGATTATAATAAAGAATTTTTAGTAAATAATGTTTATATTTCAGAGTTCAGTCCTCTTATGACATAGATAACTGCATTTTTGTTTTCTCTATTTGTCTTCAGACTAAGTATTAAATAATTTGCAAGCATTTTTTTAAGAATTTGGGAATTTTACATGTATTTGCCTAGTGCATGCTGGGCGTTGTAGTGAAAGAACACTGATAGACAAAAAGCATCAAAATGATACAACATTGTAAATTCTGCCAAACTGATGGGGCCGAGGGGTACAATTCTGCACTACATAATACAAGTACACCTAACAAATGACATATGCTATGCTTAGGCCAGAATGCTCCTTTAAACCTAAAATAAAGCAGTTAGCCTTTAGTGTAGTGTACAGATATGGAAAGCCAATGTTGAATTGTTACATAGAATCTCCTATTTGGGCCAAAAAAGCTTAAGAAGTCCATCTTTGTGTAGGTATTGGAACTCTCTGAGGAACCTGGTGGTCTCTCTGTTGAACTCCATGAAGTCCATCATCAGCTTGCTCTTCCTTCTCTTCCTCTTCATTGTGGTTTTTGCTCTTCTAGGCATGCAGCTCTTTGGAGGACAGTGAGTGGACACTTTGTACTTTTCTGTAATTATTATGCAACAAAACCTTTCTGGTCTATGCTGCTAGAAAAAGCAGCATAGACCAGCAAAACCAACATATGCTGTGTTTTGGATGCTGGTATGCTGGTCAGCAACAACGGAAGTTATATGCTGGTCATCAGCAAAACCAGCATATCGATGTTGTCTGAAGGAAACCTTGTATCTCTGAAATGATAACTTATATAGGATCTAGGAAAAGGAAAAAAACCTACTCTATTTTTAATAAAGTAAGTCAATGGGACCAAACTTGTTTCCACGTAATTTTGGGCCGTTTCTTTTAGTCCATTCTTCATGAAATTTACGAACAATGTAAAGAGCAAAAGGCATTTTTAGATTGTCAAAAACTGAAAAACAAAAATGGAGATACCAGCTTTTCCTCCGACAGCAGCGATATGTTGTGTTTTGGATGCTGGTATGCCGGTCAGCCAGCATGACCAGCTAAACCAGCACCAGACCGACATAAACCAGCTTAGACCAGCTTGGACCAGCATGGAATGTGTGCTGGCCTGTGCTGTTTTTTCAGCAGGGTACTGTCACAACCCCGTAGATGGCCAGGGCCCTTATTACACACTTCTATAATCCAAACATACCTCAGCCAGTTTGCATTGAAGACCCTGTAGTTACTCAATAACAAGCCTGGGATTTTACAGGGTTTTCATGTATTCAGTATAGGATACTAGTTTGTTTGACATTTAGCTTCTCAATTAATAAACAGAATGAGATGCATTTTTTTTTTTGCTGATATTTCAGTTTATTTCAGTTTAGCAAATAAACAAAAAAAAACTTCAGGAGAGAAGAACTGGAAGTGTTGGTAGAGTAGTAATATGTGTAGTAAACTCCAAATGACAGAGTAAGAGAACATACATCTCTGTTTACTAGCTAGCTATCCCACATAGGTCTGCAGCTAGTTAGCCTACTTATTCCAGAAACTTGAGTGATACGCCACCATTATTTTCATCATTTTCTTTAACAGGCTGCAAGGTTATTTGTCACATAGCCTATCAATTAAAGCCTAAAAGACAGCAAGGTTTAGCTAGTAAGCTATTTCAGTTTATTTCACTCAGCACCAGAAGACAACACAGGAGGAAAAAACAACCAAATGTTCAAAATCTTCAGTAAAAGGAACTGAAAAGTGATGGTAAAGTAATGTAAAGTCAGAAAACATACATATTTGTTTGCTAGCTGGCTAGCCTAGCTTATGTCTCTAGCTAAGCTGCTTAGTTCAGTAAGTTTAATGAATGCGACTAGGCAAGCTTTGACTGCAGTGTCCGAACCCTCATTAGAAAGTAGAGTTTCAGAGGCGTAGAATGCCAAGTCTTTCAGTCTAAGGTAAATGTGAAGCTGTTGTAAGAAGATGCTTAAACATTTAATTTTCAAGAGTATGACCTGTTCTTAGAACTGTTATTTTGACAAAAGCTAAGAAAGAATGTAACAAAATTCTGTGGAAGTGTCCTGTAGAATAACAATTTGTCTTGACCTTTTAAAAAGAGCATATTTAAGAAGCTCTCCTCCATCTCTTCAGAGCAAACTCTGCTGAGCCCTGCCCACTTTGTTTCACATCGCGAGAAGGCTCTGAGGGTGCACCATCAGTGGCTTCTTTTTATAGCCACAGCAGGGTCCGACCCTGCAGCGCCGCTTTGATAGCACTTTGTGTAGCGCGTTGTGCCCCGTGGAGCCAACTGCAGATAGTTTTATGAGCTAATCAGTGACCCATTCGCCATGGCTGATGTCTCTTACGCATAGTTGGAGTCAGCCAAAGGCACCATCTGGTGGGCATGGCTGCCTTATCAATGTGTGCAGAAGCCCAGTCACAACATGTGTTTAATTGTCCGGTGTGGTTTGTATAATGGACTGGGAGATTGTCTCCTGTTGTCAGCAGCAGCTCTGGTGGCAGATTGGGGAAGTGGAGCTTCAGTCACTGAATTATTGAACAGAAATGCTGCAGACAAGCTGCCACTCTGAGAGTTTTATGCTACTCTGAGGGTCCTCTGCTTACGTAGACTCAACTGCTGTAACTCTTTATAGATGAGAGCAGTGTATCCGGGTACTTTGCCCTTGAGTAATGCCTCCGCCCCTTTTTGGGTGAAAGCAACTTCTCTAATTGGACTGGCGATAAGTACAAATTCTGAGGTCTTTGACAATATAATACCATAAAATGAGTCCCCTACTGATTTATAGCTAATAAGAGCCCAAATGCTATGGCCAGTCAGACAAACAATTACATCATGTTGCTGTCAATGAATGAATAGCATCGTTATGTAGAAAAAATGAAAGAAATAAGGTCCATCAAAGTGGACGAACGACCCTATGGGCGCAGGTGTCGTATTTGCAGTTCGATTCCCTATACATTTATTATCATGGCATTAATGCAGCTTTTACACCTTGAATTTGGATTTGATGATAATCATGATAGAAATTACTACAGGGAGCAGGCAGGTGAAGCTGTTTTACTTGGTACCTATCAACAAGTCGGTGCAAGCAAGCCTGCTATTTGTTAACATAACTGTTCAGAATCACAATGTCTTCTTTTGCTGTGCTTCGCTCTTTGGGGCAGTAAAGAAAATTGTAAACTGGGCTTTTTTATTGTTGGACCAGCAAAATGTGACGCAGCAGCTTTTAGGCATGGTGCCATTAGTATTACCAATTTGACGCCGGCACTCTGACCAGCTTGTTTTCACCCAAAAGGGGGCGTCGGACGTCAGAGAAGTGACGTATGCTTGCACTCATCCATTAGAAAGATTATGCGTCTTGTGTCTTTGCAGCTGAAGTCACAATTGGCAGATCCATGCTCCGCCCACAAATGCATTCTTTCCTAGCAACTGTCGCAAGGTTGGATACATTTCTTGAACAATCTCATTCAACCTGATGAATTTATCTTGAAGTTTAGGTTCAAGCTAGTTTAGCTAGTTTAGAAGTTTAGCTAGTTGAAACTAGACAAGTTGGAAATAACAATTGTGCCACCACGCTCATGTTAGCTTGATTATGATAATTAAAGATCATTTGAAAAAATTACCTGTGCCATTCTGTTAGGCTTGTGCAACCTGGCAACCTGTGCAATAGGGTGGAGCAGCATGGATAGGTCAATTTTCACAGTACTTCATTATCACTTTTTTCATTGCAGATGAGGGACCAAAAGAAATGCTCCAAAATTACATGGACTAAAATCTTTTTTCACATTAACTTACATTAGAAGTTTAGAAAGTTTGTCTGCTCCTGTGCAGTTAACATTTTGGAGATACATTTTTTTTCCTCTCAAACAGCAATGATATCCTCTATCCACCCTTCTCTCCTTCTCCTCTGTAATCCTCCTCTGTCCTTCTGCAAACATTTGTGAGGGGGGAGAGATACAGCACAGCAGCAAGGATTTAGATTTCCTCGCTCAAGGACTTACCGAGCTGATTATACAATGCACATGCATGCCTTAATAAAGGGCCCCCCACCGTTCTCTCTCTCTCTCTCTCTCTCTCTCTCTCTCTCTCTCTCTCTCTCTCTCTCTATCCTAGTCTCTGTATTGCTCAGGCACTGTGACCCACACTGTCATCCTTAGGTGTTTTGATTCCACATTCTACCATAACTAACCAAAATAACAGAAGCAGTGCTGATGTAGATTTGGTGTAAACTGCGTAAATGTGTGCTGTTAATGAGACGTGGAGGGTGAATTTTCCAAAATGCTCAGCCTGGCATGTAGTGAATAGGCGGTTCTGTAACCATTCCAAGTCAATTTTTGTAGCATGAAAGTGGATGCATTTCACTCATCACCCGGCAGCCACTGGTACATCAGAGATATGGAGTCTCTTTAGAGGCTTTAGAGGGTCAAGATTTTAAAGCCATTTTTTTATTAAAAAAATAAAAATCTTTTTGGCATTTCAAGACCATTTTATTTCAAACCAAACCTTGAAGTAACTGTATTACTACAAAACGTACGCAGTTTAAAAAAAAAAAAAGAAAAAAACAATCAGTGTTGCCAAATTTCTGCCAGTTTTCTGCCAAATTTGGTAGAATTTGTTTTGGATAAAGTGCTTTGGCTGGTTTGGCTTTATTTGGGCTTCTTTTAATAATTTTGGTAGGTTTTAAAAAAGTATATAAAATTAATAAACTGCATTACTTAATGATGCAGCTGAATTTTGAATACACTTAACTTCTCCCCACATCCTATCAATCATAGTCACTTCTGCTGAGAGGAGGCCATTGTCCTGCCCATCTGCATCCTTCGCAATGGACATAAGTGATTAACACAGTTAGTTTATTATTGATTTAATTGATGTGCACACAAACTGAACAGACTAGATTATCCAGTTCACTCTGCATTACTGTACAGAGATCTGCAGTAGTAGGAAACTGGAATGGTCTATAAAAGATAAGCAAGTTGTAAAAATGTGTACGAGGAATAGTTAAGCTTGCAGTTATTATAGCTATTTATTTATTTTTGATTACATGGGATCAGATCCTATCACACCCAAGACATTAAAAAAATGTTGATATTCTGAAAACATTATATGATACACATACAAATCCAAGAATTTAATTATTTTATTGAAATTACTTACATTTTCTTTGTTTGAGAGGGATACTAAAAGTACATAGAAAGCTTTTGGGTCTTTAACAGTGGTAATATAAACACACTTGTTTAAAAGACTGATGGTGTTAAATACTTACCTGCAAATTAGTTCTGACTGCTTAATTCACCATGTCTTATGCACTTCATGTGTCTTCGATATCTGTTGAGGTCAACTAAATGCAAAGCATAGCTATTACAAAAAAAACCTTTCCTATTATCTAACTATTTTGGTACAAAGAAGAGTTTAGATTTCTAAAAGTTGAATTTTAAAATGATCTTTGGTTGGTATAAAAACATCAGCCACGCTGGCCGTGTAGCAGCTCAGCATATTTAGATGGAAAATGATGTCAGAGCTGCCTCTAGAATGCTAGAATTAGCCGGTGAAGGGGTGTAGGAGTATCTTTCATTATGCAGTTTTCTTTTTAACTCAAATGTAGTCAACCAGCCAAGATGTGTTTGATGTCCAGAGTTTGTTTCTTTTTGTTGAGTCACAAAGACAGTGTGGCTAACAACTAATGGAAGCTTATACCCAACCAATTAGCACTGGGCATGTCTGAAACATCACACCACTACTAATGCTACTACTGTTTTTAGCAACATAGTTTATTTTTATAGGTACCAGTAATAACTGTCTATGTAAAATGTGTCAGATGTAAATACTTCAAACCACATAATCGAGTCCATTTGAGATCACCTAATAACTTGATGGGGTTTGAGACAAGTGTTAATGATTAAGGCATTCAGTTTGCAAGGACTTAATTGTTGGGCTTCTATCAATGGCTTTATTCACTATGTAATTCAAAACGAAGGAAGCAAATATCAGATGACAAACAGTTTTGCCTTGTAGTGCAAAGCTAAAGACCAAAGGGCAAAAGGGAAAAGTTGGAAAATTCTTTTCATTAGTGTCACATTGATGCTGTTCTCCCCTGCTAAACGCTAGAAGCTACATGTACTGTATGGAATTCAGAGAAATTCAGAGAATTCACCATCTCTGAAATTCCTCTGCTGCTCATATTATTATGCACTGACTGCCATGAACCTGCAGAATGTTTAATCTTTAGCCTTTAAGTGCAGTATTTAACAACGCTTCTTTATGACATACTAATTTCTTTCATTTTAATAATCCAGGATTAGTGTCTATGTTCTTATACAGAAATTGTGTTGTTACTTGTAGTGTTATGTTCCCCCTGAGAAACTCTATAATGTGTGAAGTAGAGGTCTGTCTTTATAGCACAGGTCCTTGGTGTTTATTCATGTTTGTCAGATTCCAAATGTTCTCATTCTCTCTGACCTCCTTTACACCTAGTTGTTTCATCTGGATTGTAACCTGATAAGATTTTAACTATATGCATTTACACTTGGTAGTCAGATATGTCCCTGGTTAGTCAGATTGACATCTGATTGCTTTGTGGTGCGTAATGTGCAAATCAGCTCCTAAACAACCAGTTGCTAATGAAACAATAATCATGTGTGTTACATTCTGTTAGCTCATAGTTTGAAGTTCAATAGAATAAAAAATAAAGCAGCTGGATTACTGACTTTTGTAGTAGCATTAGTAGTGTTGTGATGTTTCAGACATGCTCAGGGCCAATTGGTTGAGTATAAGCTTCCATTACTTGTTAGCTACAGTGTCCTTGTGGGTCCAGTAATAAAAAAAAACAAAAAGAAACAAACTCTGGACTCCAAAAGTAAGAATGACTATCAGAAGCTATCTAAATCATATCAATTTTTAACTGGCTAATTTGTGTATTGCTGATGAATGGATGCTTGTTTGGGGTTCTAATAAGTTGTGGGTTAAATCACAGATAGCTCAGGATTTACGATCCAGGGGTCCGTCTCAGGACACAGTATTAACCAGTTTAACCAGTTGCTTCCCCTGCCCCATACCTGAGGTTCTTAGACTACACAATGGTACAATAATAACCCAGAAATTGTTAGGGGGCTTATGTCACTTATTAGGTAGGGCCAGCACTGATTTGGTGGGGGGGTGGGTGGGGGGGGTTAATTGTTGAGAGACAGAAGCATTTACACTTGTATAACATCTGGCTAAAATGCATCTCAAACCATCTCCTGAAGTGGTTTGAGCTGCAGATTTAAATATGCATTAATTGTGTCATATTTTTTATTTATTTATATATTTTTTTTAGACCTGCATTTTATATAGATAATCCTTAACCACACATAATCCTGATAATCAAGATGCATGAAACACCCAGGTGTAAATAGGATGAGCTGAAAGAAATCAGATTAGGCTTGATGAAAGAGACTCTCATTTATTAGATTTTTGTATTAATGTATTGTAATCCTGCTATTTCTTTGAAATGCTCACTATTGTTTTCTTTTTCAAAAAAGGTTTAATTTCGATACAGAAACACCCACTACAAACTTCGACAACTTCCCAGCAGCCATAATGACCGTCTTCCAGGTGCGACATGTGTTGTCTTATTTTTTGTGAACACTGTATCTTTTGCCATATTTTATTCAGGGTAATACATTAATTAGATGTCCAAATTTGGCTATATTTTTAATGTAATATTATGTCTTTAACAGAATGGATATCTTCTGTGTTCTCTGTGTTTGTTTTGTGCGTCTGTGATTGTGTCACCTGCAGATTCTGACGGGCGAGGACTGGAATGCAGTGATGTATCATGGGATTGAGTCTCAGGGGGGCGTCAGACGTGGGATGTTTTACTCCATTTACTTCATCGTTCTCACTCTCTTCGGAAACTGTATCCTCCGTCACATAAATAAAAAAAACTGCTCGGGCAACAAACACTGTTTCATCAGCTTCACAGACTGAATCACAAACGCACCATCAGTACAAATATGTCTTTAACCCGAGCTGAACCAGACACTCTTCTTAATGTATTCTTGGCTATCGCTGTCGATAACCTTGCCAATGCTCAGGAGCTGACAAAGGTGGGTTTATCGATCATACCAGCTTCATCTTTCTATTTCTGCTCCTGTGGTTTGAAATTCAGTTACTGAACAACTTCAGCAACACAACTCACTGTCGGTCAGTCTGCTGCAGTGCACCTAGGGCCAGATTCACAAACAACTTTCTCAATAAATATTTTAAAATGAAGACTAGGAAATATAATGTTCCCAACCAGAATGCACATAAATCTAAGTCTATCAGATACAGTTGTATGCAAAAGTTTGGTTACCCCCGGTCAAATTACATCATATTGAGAGAAAATACATTAACACACCATCTACAGAGAACACATTTCTGCACAAAGTGCAAAAGTTATGGCACTTTTTATATTGTATATTCTAAATATTATAAACTCAGCATGTAATTAGATGTTGTGTACTAAAATTTGCAGGAAAAATGCCATATTTAAGAGCATGTGTTAACTTATTCTCACTTAGAAAATCAAGAAAATTAGTGTTTTTTTTGCCCAGAACTGTATCATCTTAAAAGGACACTCCTACCAGACTGGGAAAACTCCCCTCTGATGATGTATGTTGATGGTGGGAGGCACTTTTAAAAACTGCAACTGCCTCATGATACAGTTTAGGGTTGTTTGAAATGTGTCAGAAAGAAGCCAGATAGCTAACATATTTAAACCAACCCTCCCCAAAGATAGTAGATTTCCATCCCATAAATTCATCCCACCGCTAGGATATGTCCTCAGAAGGAAGCTTTCTTGGCATTATTGGAGTGTGCCTTGAAGAAAATCTTATCTTATTGAGTAAGTAGACAGTCTGTCCTGGTTCTAAGAGGCTTTTCTTTCTCTGTATTGGCAAACCAAAGTACTTCAAATGGCAAAACTACAACAGGCTGTATTAGTGTATATAGTTTTTTGCGTAGACACCCATTCAACTGAGTGAAGTCAGCTACTTCAAGGTGCACCCATTTGCTGACACAGGTGTTCAATTGTGCATGCACAGCTTTTATAATCTCTGGAGCAGCGACACATGAGCCTAAGGTCACCATGCCCAATGCCAAGCATCAGTTAGCGGGCTATAAAGCCCACCAGCATTAGGAGTGGCCTTTGTGATTCAAAACTACTCACCCAACATCAGTACCTCACATCATTAATGGTCTTGTGGCTAAATATATTCAAATCTTCACAGCAGTGATGTCTAGAACATGTTACTGTAGCAAGGGGGGGAGGGGGGGGCAAACTCCCTATTAATACCCTTGAGGAAAACATTAAACTTATGTTTTTTGAAATAGTTCAGTAAATTATTGCAGAGGATTACATATTTGTGCAATTTAAAGGTGAGCGTTAGGTTGTCTTCAAGGTAGGTGGATATTTTTAAAACATTTATGGGGACGTTCTTTGCAAGAATATAGATTCTTCTGAGCTTTATTCATAAGAACAAAAATGTTTTGTGAATTTAGTCCCTGGGCCTTTTTCTCCTTAGCAGCATTTTAATCATTTTGCTAGAATTTTTCTGAAGTCTGAACCAAGTGGAAGCAGTTTCTTCTCATTTATGATCTGCTCAAGTGTCGGAAATTGAGTTTTTTTTTCAAGGGGACAGTTTTGCGGCTGGATTTCATTTTCAGGAGCCATTCTGACTTTGTGAGGCATTTTTTCTAACTTATTAAAAACAGTGCAGAGCATTTTCCACGTCTACTTTGTGAGCATAGATTTAAGTTCAGTGGCAACTTTTAAATATTCAGAGGCATTTTTTTGCCCTAAGGTCTCACTAAATATATGATATGGTCATTGTGTCTGTTAGGATGAGGAGGAGCAGGAGGAAGCAGCCAAGAAGAGCATGGCTCTACAGAAGGCCATGGAGGTGAAGGAGGTCAGCCCCATGTCTGCAGCAAACATCTCCATCGCAGCGTGAGTCTGAACGCTCCCCATTCTCCTGCTCTTTTACTCTATTGACTGTCTTCCCTCTCAACTCCTGTGATGGGTTCCATACACTAGGCTCTATGTGTCTGTCTGTGATGTTGATGGTGTGTCTTCTCCAGCATTTCACTAATTCTCCTTTCATTAAATTTACAATATCTCACAGACCGTCATATGTAAGGTCCTGACTTCTCTCAGCCGCTGTTTATAGCCCCAGTTGCTTTGTGACTTCCCTTTAATAGTTGGTGGCTTTGCTTTATGACAGTTTTATGATTTTAATACCACATTATTACAGCAGTAGGTAAACTGAAATGTGTCAGTGTTTGTGGCCAGCTGTTTGTTTTGTTTCTCTATTTGTGTTTGATAGAATTGTTTTTTCATGTACAGTAAGTGTTTGTCATCCACAACCAATTGATCAGAAGAAATAATGAATAACAAATAATTGATTCCCTTGTAAATACAAACTGCAACGATGTGTTAATTAACTAATAGCACACAATTACAGTTACAGTGCACTACACTATGCATGGTTATCCAACAATGTTATGTTTTTCATTTACAATTTCTGTTTTTTAAATTGTGTCTTTATCTTTGACATGTAAGTCTGATGTTTTTGGTGACACTGAAGTGGAGGGTCAGTATTTTAATACAAGATTTGTATCATTTCAGCTGTACTGGTAAATACATCAAAACATTTTTTTGAATTTTCATGCCGTTGTTTATAAACACCCTTGACTGAAGTGTTACCAATCTGTGTGTTGTGTGTTGTGTAATGTGTGTTGGACAGGTGGACAGACAGGTAGATGGACGTTCCTCAGGGGAAGCCCCTCTGACGGCCATCTCTACTTAAGCACACTTTTTGGTTTTATTTTGTTTATTTTTTGTCTTATTCTTTATTGTTTTGTTTTGTTTTGCATGTGCAGTTTTGTAAAGCAAAATCGAGATGTGCTCTCTCGCAGCTCTTCCGTCTGCAGCGTTCACTCACCGTGAGTTTTGCTCTCACTTACAATATTCTCCTCTCACTCCTCTCCTCAATCCTCTGCCTCTCCTTTCCTCTCCTTTTATCTCGTCGCTTGTCCGTTTCTCCTCTCCTCTCCTCTCTCTGGTCATACCCGTCTTCTCCCTGCAATGCTCTTTATGTTACTGCATGTTACTCAAGCTCCTGCTTTGGATTTAGTAACACACTGTCATGCCCTCCCGTAATCTATGATGAAATTTTCTACTAAATAAGGAATACTCCAGCATTTATAATGCAAACATCAACTCCAAAGTATGGACACTATGTTAAAGGTAGATCTATAAAACCACTTTGACCTTATCAGCTTCATAGCTTTTTGTAAATATATGCTCATTTTGAAATTGATGCCTGCAACAAGTTATGAACAAGGATGGGTTGAGGCCACTTTGCCAAAAACTGCATCAGCAAATAATCCAACAGTTTAAGAACATTGTTCCTCAATGAGTGATTTTAAGGATTTTAGGTGTTAAAATGTGCATAATACCATCAAAATATCCAGGAATTCAGGAGAGACCTCTCTGCATAAAGGAAAAGGCTGAGAACCACAACCGAATGCCTGTTACTTTAGACCCCTCAAATGGCAGTGCATTAAAAGCCGGCATGTTTCTGTGATTGATATCACCACATGGGCTCTGTAACACCTTGACATACCACTAATGAGTACATCTGTCACTGTGTCCACAAATGCAAGTTAAAACTGAACTTTGCACAGTGGAAGTCATAGTGTCCAGAAACGCTGCCAACTTCTCTGGGCTCAAGCTTACTTGAAATGGACTGATGCACAGTGTGGTCACACTTTCAGATCGTTTATGGAGTAAACAAATGTTGTGTTCTCTGGGCCAAAGAACAAAAAAAGGACCATTCAGATTGCGACCAGCATAAAGTTAAAAAAGCCATTCCTCTTATGGTAAGGGCATGTGTTAGTGCCCATCACATGGCGTTTAGCTTGCACATCTGAGACCGTTAAAGCTTGAACACATTTTGGAGCAACAAATGACGCCTTCTAGACTACGTCTTTTTCAGGAACGTCCATGCTTATTTCAACATGACATTGATGTTACATCAGGACAGAGAGTATGGCTGCTAAACTCACGTCCCTGCAATCGAGACCAGTCCCTCTTGTGGTAAATATGACTGTGAAGTCCCTGTATGGGTGCACAATTGGAATGACAAAAAATCTGCTTTTAAAACTGGATCAGTTGGTGTCTTCTGTCTCCAAATGACTATTAACATTACACACTGATAGACATGTTTCTATCCCAGTTTTTATGGTGTGTTGTGTCAAATATATAATGAGCATATTTTTACAAAGAAAAATATTAAATATTGTGTTTTGTGTAAAATTGAAGTTAGTAATAAGAAAATATGAATAATTATAATACTTTTAGTATATTTCCCTGTCTTTCTGTACTTTATCATTTCACCATGTTTCCCTGAAAAAGAACAGAAGACTTGTTGGCTTTTGCAGTTCCTGAATTGTGAATTTGAAATACATTATTTAGTTATATAATATGAAATCATAACTTTTCCACTTTAATAGTACAGTTCTTACTGTGAGACGGACATGAAGCAATTCAGGTTACGTTCACTTTCTCTAAGGTTTTCTGTTGTTCACTTCTTCTCCAACTACAGTGAAACATGTCAAATATAGTGATAAGTGATAAAGTGATAAACAACCATATTCTACAAATGTAGCAGACAGAGATGGAAAATGCTGGAGTATCTCTTAATGTAACTGCAACAATGACTGCAATGAATGCTGAACAAGTGATGTTGAGACTGCATTCTGTGTCAGATTCTGACCAATCCTTGGAGACAAAAAGTCAAACAGTCAAACAGGATGGACAAATATGCACTACACTGCAAAATCAGCAGATTATGATGCATGGATTCCAGTGCATAATTATGGATTATAACACATAACTTCAGTGTGTTTAAGTAGAATTTATTGAACGCTCAGAGGACGTTCCAGTCAAAGGCAGGACAGCATTACTGAGGGCTCATAATGTGAAGCGCTGAGCTTATTAGCCATAGATGGTACTTTACAGATACATGATACATTATAATGTGCAACTTTGAACTGGAAGGACAGACCACTATAGCCAACCACAAACACATCTTTGTAATGTTAATGTGATCATTTGATCTTGGTGGTGCTGCTTTTTTCTATTTCTGGCGTGATGAATTATGTAGAGGACTGTTCTGAGAGACAGCCTGCACTTTAAGTTTGTTTTCCTTACCAGTGAGTAACGTTTCCAATATGAATGAAGGCCAGGCTAAACAGAGCAGTCTGGGTTTGCTGCCTGCAGGCTTCAGTGGTCATTTGGATCAACTCTGAGCGTGCGTGTGTGCGCATTGAGGGATTTTAGGGGGAGTGTATTGCTTAGAGTGAGTCATGGTGTGCTAATTCCAGTTGCACCTTTGTGTGGGCAGTATGGGTGTATGCGTCTTCTTTTGTTCCGTGTCAGAACAAAACCCTGTATCTCTAAAATGGCAACTTTACAGGAAAATTAAAAACAAATTCTTAACTTTTAAAGGGCCTATATCCTACAATTGTACTGCATTTTATTTTTTCTCTGTGGTCCACTTCTAACATTTGTGTGGCTTTTTGTACCAAAAGCAGACATAATTCATTTTTAAACGACCATTTTCTAACTCCCCCTGTAACGTTTTGGAATTAAACAGACTGCTTTTGTTACTGTGCCTCTTAGACTGAGATATGTATATTGAGCTCTGATTTGATTGGCTACACTGTATTGTCTCTAATTCAAAAAGCAATCCAGGCTGAAACACCCCTTGTAACTTCAGTGTGAATGGGCGGGGCTAAACTGCTGTAGGCAGTTATATGAATATATATATATTTTTTGTGAAGCTGTTTTTGCAGTTTAATTTCCGTGTATGCATTGTGTGACCTGGAGAGAGAGTGGTATGTTTGGAAACTTTAACAGTGTTTACATACTACATCAAACTCTTTTTAAAAAAAAACAAAGGAAATTTGGTTTTCCATGAACTGGGCCAATTATTTATTCCAAACAATTTTGGGCCATTTCTGTTGGTCCTTTCATCATGAAATTTTGCCACCATGTAAAGAACAACTGACATTTTCCAATTATGCAAAAAAGTGGAAAAAAAGCAAAAATCGAGATACGAGGTTTTGTCCCAACACCAACAATATGTTTATTTATCTGTCGGTTTCTTTGTGTTATTTTTGCCTCTCTGCTTTTCCCTATTCTTGTCATGTGTTTCCCCTCTCTCTCGTTCTCTCTTCCTCTCCCTCTCTCTCTCTCACTCTGTCTCTCACTCTCATCCCTGTGTTGTATTTTGTGTGTGTCTTGTCTTTAACATGTCTGTTGTTCTGTGATGTGTGAATCTCTATGTTGCTCACAGGAGTCATATCTACTCCCCCACCCGCCGCTTTGTGAGGTATTGTTCTATAGTCCTCCTGCAGGTCCCATAGACCTATCCGTGCTTCACCTACATATGCATTCTTTTATAGTTGCTTTTGTAAGATTGAACAGGTTTTACAGATAATGGACAAAATCCCATTGAATCTACTGTGAAATTTTAACTTTTGCCAAAATACCTAAATTTAGAGTTGTAATGATGTATTTTTTGTATTTGTGTGACAGTCACACTGTTAGAATAGATCAGGTATTTTATTTGTTGTGTAATATCACTCTGCCTTATACTTACAGCAAGCATTTCTGGCTGAATAATAATCTGGCTTATAATTTCTTTGTTGAGATCTAAAGATTTCTGCCAAGTAGCTTGACTTGACTTTACTGATCCTGTTGTGGTTTCTGTTTTTGCTGAAATGTCAATATACACATTATTGTGTACTCCTACCTTGTGTCTACGCTTACTGTATACTTTATCAGCTCCACTTACCATATAGGTGCACTTTGTAGTTTGTAGAGATGTAAAGTCAGAGACGTTGGCTCATCTGTTGCTGCACAGTTTGCATTAGTCATTCTCTAGTACTTTTGGTTGGTGGACTATTCTCAGTCCAGCAGTGACACTGCTGTGCTGTTTAAAAACACACAGTACCATGTCACTATCACGTCAGTGTCACCACAGTGCTGAGACTGATGCACCATCCAGATAATACCTGCTCTGTGGTGGTCCTGTGAGGGTTCTGACCTGACGATGGCACCACTGGCAACGGAGAGAAGGGAGAACGCAGGCTGCGGGGTGTACAGGGAGGGCAAAAGGGGCAATGTAGAGAGGAGGATGCACAGGCCTAGTGTAAGGGTAAAGGGAGGCTAACAAAGTATATAGAAAAACAAAATTGACTACAGTCTGTAATTGAAGAGCTACAGAGTGCATCTATGTGATAAGTGGAGCTGATAGGATGGATAGTGAGTGTGGATTTAAGATGTATTATATTATATCTAATAAAGTGGCCAGTGAGAGTATAGGCCAAGAATGACAAGGAAAATGTTGCTTGCAAATCTCTCAGAAGAAAATTCAGCCATGCTACAGTTGCTAGTGGTGTACGCTACAGTGTTAACTAAGTAGCAACATTAAAACAGCTGAAGCAAGTAAACTTTCTGCTTACTCTATCAATCAGATGTTTATCCCTAAAAACCTCTTTTATAAACAATATACAAACAAAAAACTTTCAGACATACAGTGGGGTCTAAGATCACAAGATCACTAATGTAATTCTAATTTGATGCAAAATGTTTCATTACAAATGATATTATCAGCATAACAATTTGAGTGAAAATTAGAAATTTTGAAATATCTTGCATTTCCCAGATTTTTAATGTGGTCTCAGACATTTGAACCCCAACAAAATGAATCAGTTGAAACATTAAATTCTGAGGTGGAGGGGTAGGGGAGGGGAACACTTGCTGTTAGGTCGAATGGGATTTTGCCCATTTTCTGTAAAGCTTGTCCAACCTTACAACAATTTGCCACTGAAGAATGCATTTGAGAGGGGGTGCGTAGACAGGTCAATTGAGCATACATACTTCAACCCCATTACACATGCCGAATTTGCATTAGAATAGCTGCTAGAACATCTCATCACTAAGACTCCATCTCCTGAATCAGTGAAAAGCTTTCAGCTTATGTCCTGGTGTAAGTCATTTTTTTCATCCTCTCAGTTTTATGGCGTAGGGAAAAACTCCTTTTCCATTTTTCAGCACACATAATATTGTGTGGGCCACTAGTGTGTGTGTGTGTGTGTGTGTGTGTACAGTGCAATATATACAGGAGAGGAAAAATGGTCTCCCTATTAGGACAGTATGTTTACTTTTTTTAGGTCCTGACTGAGAAAATCAGTAGTACCATTGGAGTCCATTTGAAAGCATATTTGCAGATGTCAGAGAATTATGCAAATAGAAATGTAGCCTATGCACTAATAGGAGTGCATTACATTTAGCACAGAATATTTTTAATCAGAAGTGTAAGCAAAACTGTCACACTTTACAGCCTTACCTAGGCCTATTCTCCATACTCAGAACGTATATTGGGAATGTAAAAGTTGCTGCCAACTTTTTGGCCCACCTCAGGGGCAGCAATTAGATGATATGCGAATCCAGTAGGTTTGCCAGAGGTTGCTTTTTGGATAGCATATTTCATGGCAGGATGACAGTGATGACTGCCCGGTGAATCCACACTGAAGCAGCAGTAGTCCTTCAGTCCATTTTAACATATAATCAGCATTTCTCTGGTCCTTTATAAGCCAGCAGCTCCAAGGCACTCCTAGGACCAGAGCTCATCTGGTGATGAGGTTTGATTTATCAGCATGAATTACAGGGGCATGAACAAAAGCGACCTTTTCATTTTTTTAGATCAGTGACTGATGACATGCACATGCATTTTTACATACATAAGCTCATTATTCTTATTTAATGTTGCCAGAGGTGGGTAGGAACTAGTTACATAGACGCAGTTATGATTTGTGTTTCTGTGAGTTGTCAGAAGATAATACTTTCACACATGCTCGAGGATATTTGTGAGGAAACTTTTTCCTCAGTTGCATTTTACTCATTTACATCTAGTTTCTAAATTTCATCCTGTTTTGCTGGACTCAAGACTTGGAGTGCTATACTGTTGCTCACATCGCTCACCTTTGAGAGATATGAGCATTTTATTTTAAAGCAGAAGTACCACAAAAGAGAAAAACAAGACCTGACAAACTTCAGTTCCTATGCTGATATATGCTAGATGTTCCACAGCGGTACTGTAGGGAACTCTACACTTTACAAGGCAACTCAGACTCCTATGTCATAACTTCATTAAATTAATGATAATTTGGTAACACTTCACTGTAGCATAGTGGTCATAAAGCTATGACTCCTACATAAGCCTGTCATGATAACTGACATAAATCTACATAAACATTTATAAAGGCCAGTAGGTGTAATCTGTCATTAAGGCTGCTTTTGTCAGCTCTGCTGTCAAGCTGATACAAGCCTGTTCAGGTGTCATAAATTTTTCCTGTGCCATGACACCTTTTTGGGTGAAATGACCTAGCACATTATAAGAGCTGACTTTGTTTCTTAAGGTACATCACAGTGACATAATGCTGTTGATGTTACAAAGCATAAATCTTATAAATGGTAAAATGAATTTGTTCAGCCAGCCTTGGCAAGCTGCAATCAACATTGTGTCACTGTGACATACACTGAGCTACAAAGTAATTTCTTCTTAGAAAGTGACAGAGGAAATCAGTGTCAACTGATAGAGATGTTATGTCATGTTGACAAATGCTAACTTCATGACAAATGAGGCCTTTTGGAATGAGTGTTTATTCAGAGGAAAACCCTCTGGGCCTTCAGAGAAAGCCTGAAAATTTCTGAGAACTAAAAAACACTGTAATTTTGACTAATTTTTGTTCAACAGAATCATGCTTATATTTAGACTCTGGAAGTATTTCAGTACTGCTCTTGTTTCATTGTTAAGTTTTGGATGAAAACCAAAGAGTTAAATTCTTTAAATGGTCAGTGGAAAACAGGCTAATCGGCAATAGTTTTTCTCCATAGTTTCTAAGTACATAAGCGAGCTCTCCTATTGGTTAGGACTTTAAGACTTGATGAGGATGCCTAACACGTTAGATTTACCATCAGCATAATTATGAAGTGACATTGAATTTGACCATTTAAGTTTCAATATCCAATTTTCCAAGTCGGAATTTCATTACTTCTGGAACTTCCAGATACATCATTGACTGTGAATACAAGCGTCAGCCTTATGGGTGGTTAGAAATGGAAGACATGGGTGCAGCTCTATACCAGAGCTCACTATATTGAGTTCTTTGAAACTGCTACAAGATAAAATATCTGCTAATATGTCTGTCACAAGCTTCAAGTGAAACATGGATTGTCTTTCAGATACTTCAGATGTGTGTTTAATTTAGATCGGCCAATAAATTTAGAGCAAATTGCTGTTAGCTTAGCAGTATCAAACTACTAGAATCCCATAGAAACACAAGCAATAATGGAGAGGTGGGAGAGCCACACAGTGTTTTTTTTGAGTTTTCATATTTATGGATTGAAGGCTTTGAATGCTAGCTCTAATTGTCACATTTCATCACTGGTGTTTATAAATGTTTATGTAGGTCTATGTCAGTTGTAATGGAGGGTTTATGAAGGTGTGTTGTAGCCTCATGAACACTGCCCTACGGCAAAGTACTACTCATAAATTTGCTTAACTATGGATTTAGGTTACTCTACCCACCTCTGCATGTCACATTAACACCTGGAGCCATCAGAATTTTTCTAATTCTGGAGTCTGGATGGTAAAAAAATGGTCTTTCCACAATTATGAGTGTTATCTCCCCCATGCCAGAGCACTGGTACAGCACTGGTAGCAGGTGTTGGCTCTTTTGCTGATGTTTCTCTGTTTTCCCCTTCATTATATTCAGTAAGGAGCAGCAGCGCTCTCTGCAGAAGATGTCAGTGTGGGAGCAGCGCACCACGCAGCTCCGCCGCCACAACCTGCGCAGCAGCAATGAGGCTCTGTACAGCGAGCTGGAGCCTGAGGAGCGCCTACGCCTGTCCTCCGCTCTACACCTGCGACCGGATATGAAGGCCCACCATGACCGCCCACTGGTGGTGGATCAGCGTGACGGCACCTGTGAAAAACCCAGTGGGGACGTCCCCGAAGACCCTGCGCCTGGGCACCCACGGAAGCACCATAGATGCAGAGGGGAAAACGGCGAGGCAGGAGAAGGCCGACACCATCGGCACCACAGCCGCAGCCGTGAGCACCAGCGGGGCGTAGAACGCAGCTCCAGCCAGGACGGGGCACACAGGCACCAGCACCCGGCCCGGTCACCGGAAGAGGGTGTGGAAGACAGAGAGCACCGCCATCACTCCCACAGAGCAAAAGGCTCTAACGGCAATGGCAATGGCACTATTGGCAACGGAGCGAAGGGGGAACGCAGGCCACGGGGGCACAGGGAGGGCGAAGGGGGCAATGGAGAGAGGAGGAGGCACAGGCCTAGAGTCAAAGCCCAGTCCACACTGGACACAGATGAGTGCAGGGAGAACGGAGAGAGAGCCACAGGCCAGCGGTGAGGCTCAAACTAAATTTATATCTAATGCTTAGTTAACATGCACTGATATATAGATGATATTTTTATTGTATATACACTGACCAGCCACTTTATTAGAAAACCCTATGATGTAGGTCTACCCTGATGGTGAGTATTTATAGCCCATGTATTAAGCATGAGACAGAATCTTCAAATAAACATGAAAATAAAAAAAAAAATCAAATCAGACAAGATCATTTCAAGCTCATTTTCAATTTTACACTCTACTTGAGTAGATGTAATGTAGTAAGATCTTAGCAGATTTATTATATTTGATAACTGCTAACTAACTCTTCACAAACTAACTCCTCAAACTCACTGGGCCTCATTCACCAACATTTTCCTAATGTTTCTTCTTAAATTTGTTCTTGAAAAAGGTCCCAAGAAAGAGTCTGTCAGATACATGACCACATGTCATGTATGTATGTGGTCTGTTAAACCACAGAATTGTTCATACCTTTGTGCTCTTAAGTGTGCGTAGATTCTGTTGTTACCTAAGAACAAATCCCAAATAAGAAAACACTGGTGAAGGTCAGAATCTTCTTGAAAACTGCATAAGTGGGTTTTAAGAAGAAATTTCTCCTTAGGAACGTTTGGTGAACGAAGTCCACAGTTTCCAAGCTAAAAGCTATGAGGTGAAATAAATTATGATGTGAGGAGACTAGTAAAGTTAGCTGAGGTAACAGATGATTAACATTTATCTGTTTATCTTAAAGATTTAGATTTATTGCCTTTCTTTATTAAATTTTAAACCACATATCACTTACTATGGCTTTTTGTGGTCTGGTTCTGGATGTACCTTAATGCAGTACAGAGAGATTCTGAACTCTGACACATTGAGAAGAACCAGAAGCCTACCTTCAAACCTACCCACCCTCCTACATACAAAAACCTACCTGCGCTCACCACTCAAACAATGGTTTTGGACATTGCGTGTCGTCCACCTGATGCATCCAGTGATCGGTAGCATCCAGTAGAAAGCCCAAATTACTGTAGATATACATGAGTGATTTCTTTCAGCCTTCAGGCCTTCATCAATGGTCAGTTTCTGATCACAGAAACATTCGTGGCTGGATATCTTTGGGTGGTGGACCTCTCTCATACTAGTGACACATGTAAAAACCCAGCAACACACACTACTATTCCACTATCATGTCTGTATTACTGAAGTGTTGGTCCGCTATGCGATAATATCTGGTCATCCGTGGTCTTGTGGTCATAAACTGATGATAGATGAAATTGAGGGTGAATGACCAATGTACATGATAATCTTAAAATGGTCAGTGAATGTTGGTCCAAGGTAGGTTTCTTGTATGATTTGGGAATTAATGTGTCTTACTATGTTTCACAGAATGTTTGTTTAGCCTGTGGTTGTTCTGCAGGGACAGACTGACTGATACAGAGGGGGATGGTTTGGGCAGCCCTCTCCAGTCCCCCGCTGACCCACTGGCAGGAGAAGAAAGGCAAGAGGACTCAGATAATCTAAAGAACAGCACCAGGGCTGGGTCAACTGCAGTCAACATTCCTGTTACCATCACTGCCCCACCAGGAGAAACCACCATCATCCCCAGTCAGTATTCCATCACCTTTAGTACCAAAAAAAAAAGTTCCCAATGGTTCTTGGCTTAGATGTACAGTTCAAGGAAATCTTTAATTGCCTTTAATTAAGGGTTTAATTGTCATAGATCATTTATATTATGTGGAGGTTCTTTAAAGGCCCTGCACAGTTGTATTTTTAAAATCTGGAAAAGGTAAATATTTCAGCAAACAGTTTTATGTATTTCAATTACCTTCTAATTTTTCCCCCAAACCTACATTAAAAGGAGTGTTTTCTATTTTATTCTTTCTTTGTTGCCTTTTACCATTCTGCTGTGTGGGCGTGGACTCCAGTGGGTTGATTGACAGCCTCTGCATCAAACGTAACCACCTGGATGGGTGGGCCCAGGCAGACTGTAACTGCTGTACCATTTAAGGTGGAACAGGAAAATTCAAACAAGAAGCTGACGAGTTGGAAGCTGACTTCAACTTTGTGCTGTTATGGTTGAAATGCAAGGAAAAATACTGTGCTGGGCCTTTAAATAATTGATCCATTAGGGAAAGAAATGTTGTGGGCAGGTTATTATGCAGTATCACTTCAAGGAACCCTTTTTAAGAGTATATAGACAGTTCTAACCACTAACTAGAACTCAAAGTTTTAATAACAGAAGCGTTACTGTGAAAGTGTGGTCTACACAGTATTCAAAGAAGTAACAATGGTTCTAATGCAAGTTCTTAGGTAGGCTTTGTTTGCAATTTTCATGTGAATCTCCCATTTCTACTGATTAAATGTACTTCATTTGTGTTCTTGGCAGTGAATAACATAGATGGCGAGAGCCTGCTCCTGAATGAAGAGAAGAAGGATTTGGATGAGTTGACTCAGAATGCCCCCAAACACATCTTACCCTACAGCTCCATGTTTGTGTTTGGTCAATCCAACCCGTGAGTATGACCCTTAAATACCATGTAAAACTGACCCTCACCCCCTGCGTGGGAGGGAATAAGCTCCAACGTGTGACACCTTAAGGCAGAGATGTCAAGTGGAGCTCCTGGATGCCTCAAGCAAGGCACAGTCTAGTGTTTTCCTGCTCTGACACACCTGAGCCAAATCATCAGCTAATTATCAAGCCCTTTCAAGTGTGGAATAAAGTGTGAAAGTGTAAGGAAAGCTGGAATTTTAGCTGGAACTGGAATTTGACACCTTTGATGCATGGGAGAGAGGAAGTTCAACACTTCTTGTTGTCTGAATTGTTCTTTTTGTTGAGTTTACTGATGCAGTGAAATGAAAAATTGTGGCTGAAACCAAAACTGAAATTTAAGACACACTAGACCCTTTTCACATTTCCAGCTGACTTGTTTTGACAGTTTATGAAGCAGGTAGTTACATTTCCAGTATAAGTGTAACAAATGCCACAGTCAACATGGCTGTAGAGCGCAGCAGGTGTGATTGAGTTTACAATAAAACAATGTATTTGCACCGATAAACATTATTGGCTCTCAGTAATACCTCAACAAGCTGGCACATTATTACCGGAGGAGAAAAGATCTTGTGTAGTAAACTGTGAGTTGCACTTACCATGTAGTGTAACTGTTAGCTGTATGTAGTATAACTGGCCTCGGCTTCCGGGGCTATAGCCTTAAATATCTTTTAACTAGCCTCAAACCTTATAACATTAACACATCACATGTTTTGGGCTATAGCCCTGAATATATTTTAACTAGCCTCAAACCTTATACCGTCAACACATCAGATGTTTCGGGGCTATAGCCTTAAATATCTTTTAACTAGTCCTGAACCTGATAACGTTAACACATCACATGTTTCACCCCAGCTTGTGTGCACATAATTCTAATCCATTGTTTTTCACGGGCATGTTAGCTGCTTCTTAAACCTAAGTGCTGTTCCAAATGCACCTATAGACTACACTGTTGCAAATGAGAGAGAGAGAGTGAGAGGGGGAGAGAGAGTACTGGAGAGGTTGTAAGAGTACAAGACAGAAAAAGTATGAATGCATGAAACTTCTGTATAAAAGCAAATCTACTACATAAAAACAAGCCGAACTTATTCCTGATTTTGTATGTGAAAATTTGGCCTGAAACCCAATACTTTTTTGGGCTACATCAGGCCTGGGGCAAAGTCCTTATTGGAAAGTCTGTCCACTCAACGGCCATCTTGGCAATGCCGTTGGGAGTTTCCAGTCATGAGAGACTGATCACGAAAGACCTCTTTAAATGTGGAGAGACACAATAATATTTTCAAAATCGTATTTGAAATCACTGATTAAAAAAAAGTGATTTCTCAGCTTTTTCTGGCTACTGCTCAAACCTCCACAACAAGGGGGCTTTGAACTTCCCCATTCATATTTCAGCCAGTAACCTTTTCTCATCTTTTATAACATCTCTGGCTCGGGTCACCACATTTTAAAGGATCAGTCAACTTATATATAAAAAAAATTGTTTGTGTTAGCAGAACATTTGAGAGGAGACGTGTAGAACAGTTAGTTGATGAAATGTGCAGAGGACTTTAAGATCGGCAGCGCTGGCGATCACTGCTGATGCATATTTTATGTTGCAAGCAGTGTTATCACTCTTCTTTTCTCTTGTTTTTTTAAGATTTTGTTTACATGCCAATGATGAGCTCTGAATTCCTGTTCTCTTGATGTGTAGATTCTCAGACTATAAAAAGTAAAAAAAAAGTACATTTTACAAGTTAATAAAAAAAAAAGAGTCTGAGTGAAGATACCGCCAAATCATTCTAGAATGAACTGGGCTGAGCCCCGGATCTTTACATGCCCAGCCAGTGCCCCAGTGTTGTCTTGGCTTTTTATGGTCAAGGCAGAATATTTCTGAATGCACTGTTCTGTGCGCTATCAGTGCTACCAAGTGATCATGAAGCTTTGAGGCACTATGTTACTGCCTTCAGTGCCACAACTCCAAACAAAATCAGCCTGGTAGTTCACCAATTCAGCCCACAGTACATTGAAACATGAGTCCTCGCTATTTGAAGAGTAGAGGATCCTAATTTTAAAGTAAACTGCAGTGTTCACATTAGAGGTCTGCGCAGGCTTGATTATTAATGCCTGCATCCGCCTGCTTCAATATCACGTTCACCTGTGTCTGCAAAATCTAGTATCATTCCTGCCTAGTATCACTCTGCACCCACCCACTTCAACCATACGTCATGCCCACCCACTCCCACCTACTTTGGTCTATGGTCTTCACCTGCACATGCCCACATTTAGCCTTTGTAATCCACACCATCATAGAGAATACCCACGCAACCCATGCAGCCCACAACGCAGTGGAACAGCCTCCAGACCCATCACACCTCCATACACCCAGCAGCAGAAATAAATATTTAAATGTTGGAAAATGGAAGTACAATATTTTGTGTATGTTTAGGCTAAACACAACCGCAAGAAATGTCAAATGTTACCACACAATGGGCATCACATGATGTCACGGTCAAGCATGCTGCAGCTCAGCCAAGCAGTATTTTTTAATCTATGTTTACATTATATTATTAACTGTTTACGTGATAGTGTCTCTAACTCAGCACAAATTTAATTAAAGCCAAAATGGATAGCTGTGGCGTTCAATTACACAAGTCGAAATGCCAAAACAATTTTCTTGAAAAGATGCAGTTAGATTTTGTGCGCAAGTTATTTAGTGGAGGTTAAGGCTTCGTTATCAGTAAGCAGCATGTGGTGATTACTGTTGTGTTTTTCTTTGTGGCACACTTGCAGCTTATTTGTTGCTCACAAGTCCACTTCCATAGGCAGACAATAATTAAGCCCACCCTCCCAGCGAACAATAATACCCACCTGCACAAACCTGCAACCTTTTGGTTGTTTACCTGTTATGACTGTGTGGTGCCTCAAAATGAATCCTGCCCACAAATTGTTTTGCAGATTATACAGGACCCACAGGTGAACCCGCCTTGTGCGGACCTCTAGTTCACTTCTGCAACTCACCTGTTGAAGCTAATGTAGTGATCTTTGTTCAAGTTGAACAAGTTTAATTTAACATAGGACTAAATGTTTACATTTAGATAAGCTTCTGTTTTAAAAAATATTCCAAGTCATGCTGCGAGGATTGACTTTCAATAACCCCCTGCAAAGATGTCCCACTTTTTGATAATACTGATAATAAAAATAATAGTAATAATAATAATAGGTTTCATTTATATAGCACTTTTCTCAAACTCAAGGAAGCTTTACAATTCCCAATAACAGTGAACAAATGTCCCCAGCCTACAGGCCAATGATATTTTGCCGCCATAGTGCGAAGTTTCCAGTATAAGACCACCCAAACTCAGCTGCTCTGGCACGAAACTCCCAGGTCAGTGTCCCAGTCAGACTCCTCCATGCTGATGGAAAGTCCCTGGTCTGCAGTCACTCAAACTCCACCAGCACAGTGCAAAGTCCCTGGCTTGCGACCGCATGAGCTCTGCTAAAACAGTGCAAAGTCCCCAGCCTGCAGCCCAGTCAAACTCCACCACCGTGATAAGAACCATACATTTTGTTCAGATAACCCTCTTAACGTCCACCTGCCTGAATTCATATTGATCATATTGTGTGTTCAATCAACAGCTGATAAAATCCCACGTGCGATAGTTTTGTTTTGAGTTATGAAACTGAGGGACAGAACAAAATGCCTTAAAGGTTAACTGCACCATTAGTTTTGGTGAACCTGCACTACCTGCTTTCAGAAACCAACAGTAGAGTCAACCTCAGAAATGTGAAAAGGGGCCATGAGCTGATAGCAGAAACTGAACACCAAGTGCTGAATTTTATTTCCATTTTTTTGCATCATTGCTTAAACTATTTTTGTTTGATGTGTGATTGAACGCGTCAGCCATGATCAGTGCTAGTCTGTAATTGTCGTAGAATGATTTGTAAAGTCAGCCCTCAAACTTTTTCAGCAGAGGTTTGAGGCTGAAATTCTCTCTGAAAATCATTTAATAGGAAGTAACACAGGGCTTGTTCTGAACTGTAACTGTATTGTGCTCCTGTGCGTGTGCTATGTGATTGTTTGTAGTGTACGAAGGCTGTGTCACTACGTGGTGACCCTGCGCTACTTTGAGATGTGCATTCTCATGGTCATCACCATGAGCAGCATCGCTCTAGCTGCTGAAGACCCTGTGCAGGCTAACGCCCCCCGGAATAACGTAAGAACAGAAAACACGCACACATACATACATATGGACTTCACAAGTCTGATCATTCTGTCATTCTGTTAGCTTCTAATAGCTACAAGCTTTCTGAAGATGAGTCAATCAAATCATCAAACATGGATTTTTCACATTTGAAGACAGAGAACAAGAACAAGGCTAGGGATGAAATCTTTGCCTTTTACATAATGAATATTCCTCCAGGGCACTGGTGTGGCAGCCCTTGTCTGGCCTGTCACACAGAGCTCCGTCAGAACTCCTTTGCTTGGCCTGGATGCCAGAAAGTCCTTTGGGAAAGAGTAAGAGCATGCTTGGCCAGCAACTGGCCGCTTGATAACACTGTGACTATGTTAAGCCACAAGCAGTGAGCGTAATTAATGGCGAATTAGAAAGAAGCGGATGTAAACACGTTTTTAAGTCTGCCTCAGTAGGGCTCTGCCCATTTACAACTGACTGGACAATTCATTCTGCTAGATCAGCCTGTCAGATTTATCTCAAATCTCTCGCAAAATTCTCCCATGATAGTAATGAACACTGTCCTTCCTGAAAATATCTTTCATGTTATCAGACCTACAGGATCCTGCCTGAATTGAAATGGCTTTTCATGGTGAAACTTTCACGCAGATAGTTGCAAGTTGGGAGTTGCATGAAATAATAATAATTGGCAAGATTAGTAGCTAGTATTTTTTATATATAGTGTCATTCTTGATATATAAAGTCATCATTTATTGTTTAGCCTAGATCTTCAGTCAAGAGAGAAGAAAAAATAATAATCCAGCTACACGGATCATGATACAACAGACAAACAAGGCAGAAACTGTCACAAGCAGCTATTAAAACAGCTGTCATGTTAACATTAGGTGGCCAGCTAATTAGCCAGTTAAGCTAACCGGTTACCAGCTAATAAACAACATTGTTAATAAACACTTATATCCTATTATCAACTGACTTTTCACACAGGAATGCTTTAATACAATCTAATCATCAATAGTTAACTGATTAATTAGCTTTCTTTGGCAGTTCCATTCATTAACCATCATCGTAATAAAGTGGAGGCTGAGAAATTGTAACATACACCTACGTCACAGGTTGGGATAAGAAAGACGTGTGTTTCCTCACTCTGGAAGCCACTTGCCTTGATTTCTCTGAGCGCATTTAAAGAATTGAAAAGATGGCAGAGTGCAATCGGTTTCTGGGTCACAGGCTGGAGGGAGTAGGACAGAGGAATTGAGGAGGCAGCAATTTGAGATATGAGATCCACCCATTTTTTCCTGTCCATCATGTGAACTGAAAGATATCGTGTGACCTGATCATGTGCTTTGTGATCGTTTTGTTTTTTTTTATGAAACTTGATTCACAAAATTAAGATGGTTCCAGGAGCCTTTACATTGTGATACACTAGTGCAATTTAGTTTAATATGCATATACAATTTTATGCAATATACAATTTTGTTGTATTTTTTCCAGGTGCTTAAATACTTGGATTACGTCTTCACTGGAGTGTTCACATTTGAAATGGTGATAAAGGTATTCCTTAAAATCTATCATCTCTGTCATAAGAAAACTTTGTGTCTCCAACACTCTACCTTTATAGGGGAAGGAAAAAATTTTAACTGAACATTGGTAATGTAATGCAAAAACTTTGCTCTTCAGAACTTTCAAATGGCTGAAAAACTGTGAAAACTGAAATAATGTTATGAGGTTTTTTTTAGAGGGCAGGAGTGAAAATGTTTATTTGAGCTCGAGCTGTGTTTCATCAGTTAGGAGCTATAAAGTATCGACAGTTCAGTAGCAAGATGGCTAATCAGCTAATTTGGACAATTTAGGCTTGTACTTTAATTAAGTTTGAAGCTACACTATGTAGGTTCTGGGGAATTTGGAGACCTCTGTGGTGCAAATTGAATTGCACGCAACGAGTAAATTAATCTGATAATTGCATCGCATTGAAAGACCATCGAAGGAAACTGGATTATGAGTGAATTACCTACTACGGTCATCATATCTTAATTAGAATAATGTTGTTTTTTGCATTTGAAACCTAAGCATCTAGCTGAACCGCCTCCTTGTCTGTGTGTGTGGTGTTAATATGTGGTCTGAAAAACTGTGAAATCTCGGACTTTTAAATTATTATTTTAGGCTTTACAGGGCGCTCAATTTTAGTATGTTTTTTCTTCTACTTCTTCTAAATTTAACACCTTACATAGTGCAGCTTTAATTCCCTTTCAGTGAAAGATAATTCAATTGTTAATTTCAGTAATTTACATGTCAATTAATCGTCATTGTGACAAGCCTAGTTGAATCTGATATGTATGTATCACTTAATCTGAAAATGTATTCAAGTGTGATATATTTTTGCTGTATCATAAAAGGGTTCTTGATGGTCCTTAGCCCCCATTCCATTTGTGCTTCATTAGATGATTGACCTGGGGCTGCTGCTCCATCCTGGCTCCTACTTCAGGGACCTGTGGAATATTCTGGACTTCATCGTGGTCAGCGGTGCCCTAGTGGCTTTCGCCTGCTCGTAAGTACGCAGTTCTTTCCAGATTTGTCAGAGCAGAGGCAAGGAGAAAGCAAATCCACACTGTCAACTTAAATCCAGCCAAAGCAGCGGAGTGAAAATGACGAGAATGAAATTTGACTGCCACCTCTCCAGCGTTTTGGTGGAAGATGGAGCAGTGTGTGGAGTGTACCGTGTGTGTATGCTGTTTTTCCTGTGGAAGGAAAGAGTGTTAAATGTGTTTCTCCTGTTTGACTCATAAGGGGATTATATGCAGTGTTCTCACCTGTGCCGACTCTGCTGGTTTACTGTCATATCTATTCGTGCCTCCCTCCGGAGAGTGGAGCCAAACTTAGCAGCACTTATGAAGCTCAGCCTCCACCTGAGACGCATTCATTCCCTTTAGTTTAGCTTTAATTCTCACAGCAACTCCAGAGCCAATGGTTATTTACTGAAATGAGTTTCAGATAGCTCCCACAGTGCACATACGCACACAAATACACTTACACGCAGCAACCACAGCTTTAATGGAGTGAGCGTGATTTGTTTAATGAGAATTTGGTCTACTTTAAATGTGGCTCAATCCTCTTAGTGTTGTGCAGATGCTTGTGCTGTTTCAGCCCCTTAGCTGCTGACTGAGAAAAGCCTCAAGACAGAAACAAGAGAGAGCTTTAAAGTAGTGGTTTAGCCCAAACATCAAATGTACACAGTTTTTCCCTTAACCCAAATGTATCCAATCAGCCAAGACATGTTTGGTGTGGACACATTCACGAATGGGAAAAAGAGGATTTAACACTGACGTACATCAGAACAAGTACAATGTTCAAAAGCTAAAGTAGACTAACACTAGCTATCTCTATATCTGTGCTTATATGCAAGTCAGTAAAGTGACAGTAGAAACTCTCGTAAATAGTAGGACTTGACATGAAAATTTTGTGGCCGATACCAATTTTAAGGGGCTAAATATTCAAATAACCAATAATATTAACTAAATTCTATGCTTATATATTACATTTGTATTACAATTACAATTGTATACTCCAATATTTGTAGTTTAACAATGATTTATTGACTGAAATAATTGTTGGTTCTCAGTTGTCCCACCTCTCAAACTCAATTAGACAGCACTTAACAGCAGTCTAAAATAATATAAATATAATATTGTACCAGTTTCTTATGGTTGTGGTTAATATTCATCATTTTTTTCATGACCAGTTTAGTCTGTATTGTAATACAGTTAAACAGGTGGCTCATCTTGGGTTCTTCAGCAGTGTGTCCAAGATTATGCTCTATTGTCAGGAGATTATTAGTCTGAATCCTGACTAGAACATCCACACATAGATTATCACTCAGACAAAATATCATCCTTTATGATTGTCCATTTGTCTTTGCACTGTCACTGTGAATTAGGGTTACAATATATATTGTTTGTTAATTGTTATTGTGATATTGGCCTGTGCAATGCAGGCATGTGAGATCATTTCAGCATGTGCAGGTAATGTGGTAACACCACAGACAAGCCTGCTTAAACCAGAGTATAAATAAATAACCTTGTACTTGCTATAATTTAGTAATTTGGTAGATTTGCTATATGTTCAATAAATTGCATGTTTAGATGACTCTAAGCTTCCATTGCTTGTTAGCTACACCAGCCTTGTAGCTCCTGTACATAAGTAAAGAAGCGAACTTGGCCAATCAAACATGTCTTGGCTGACTACATTTGGCATAAATTGTGTTTGTGGCTGAATTTTTGCTTGAAGCACTGAAAACACTGAAAGACAAGTGCTTTTGAGGTATTCAGTCTGTGTCTCCCCCGTGGAGCTGTGAGTCTCTGAGAGACCTCGTTGTAGCATTTAATGGTTTTTCTATTGATTTAAACCTCATTTTGGTGGATTGTATGGAAGTCTGTTGTTGTGCTTAAGCATACAGTGTGAGGAAATTGACGTGCCTCACCTTTTTTCCCATCTTCGTCTAAAAGCAGAACAATGCTGCTGTGCTGCAACTGTTCCTATTTGTTTTCTTTCCTATTTTTGTTCAATAGTAAGCACATGTGTCCTTTCCTCTTGACTTTGGTGACTCTGTCTCTTTCTGCTTTCTCCATTTCTCTCTTTTTACTGTGCCTCTGGCTTCTCTTTCTTCTTGTTTGTACTGCTTTCAGGAGCTTCATGGGGTATGCATCTGTTACTGCCTGCTTTTTTTCTTCTTTGTACCTCTGTTTGTTGTTTGTGTGTGTGTGTGTGTGTGCGTGTGCGCGTGTGCGTGTGTGTGTGTGCGTGTGCGTGTGTGTGAGCGAGAGGTACTTTTCCCAAAGTCTGTGATAACCACAGGCTAGATGGCAGCATGTCGTTCCTTTGTTTCATCATCTTTCGTCCATGCTGTTGTTTATTGTGTGTGGAGGCTAAGATCAATGTTTTCTGTAAACATCCACACTACAGTTTCATCTTAGATTATCACTCAGATAAAATACCATCTTTTGTCATTGTCCATTTGTCCTTGCACTGTCACTGTGAATTAGGGTTGCAATATATATTATTTGTTAATTGTTAGCATGTGAGATCATTTCAGCATGGCAGGTAATGTGGTAACACCACAGACAACCCTGCTTAAACCAGAGTATAAATAAACACAAAAAGAACCTCGTACTTGCTGTAATTTGGCAGTTTGGTAGATTTGCTATATGTTTAATAAATCGCATGTTTGCATCCTATACATTTTTTTCTTGTCAGCATAATAAAGCAGCTAAAGCTTACCATATGAAATCAGCCTCTAGCAGACCGTTGTTGTAGATTTCCTTTTCTTATTCCTTTTTTATTTCTTTTCTTATTATTAGGCTATGACTTTTTTGTATGCAGCATTTTTAAAGATATTTCTACTTTATGCAGTAAAATTTGACCATTTGGCTATCATTATGATTTGAATTTGCTAGAATGTTGCATGCAAGTAATGAATTTGTGTGTGTGAGCGTGTGTAAGCGTGCGTGTGTGTGTGTAATACTCCTCTATTTCAAAAAAGTCTGTGTACATGTATATATTCTTTTGTTATGGTTAACCTGATTTGTTTGAACAGAATTAAAGTAATGTTCATTCCATTTTGCCTTTTAGTTACTTTGATAAATGTCTTACTGTGCTCTATGTCTTTATATTATTTCATAGCTGTTATTCCCACTCCAGTTCTGGAGCTAAGTGTCATTGCTGTATTACTTCTGTTTTCTTTACGCTCTTTCTACAGCTCCGTCTGCTTCTAATGCTTATTCTCTGTCTGTCAAGCTGCTTACGCCAGTGTATTTCTGTATTTGTCTGTGTCCTGTATGTGCATGTTTTTTTATCATTTGCTTTCCCTCATCAGATCTCAGCAAAGTGTGACCAGGTGGGGACAGTCTTATCTCTATAGTTTCCCTGCACCTCATGACCTTTCCACACATGCTACCCCCTCAACCCCATTCCCCATCCCACTTAAAAGACGATGGACCCCTTTAACCCACCCTCAGAGACCCTCCCTCTGGCCCTCTAAAGCTTCAAACGTACTCTCTAGTACTAGTCGTACCATAATACTATTACTGCCATTGCCTTTAAAGGGAAACCATCACTTCTCAAGAAAATTGAATACATTTAGGTTAACTGATGCTATTTATGAGAGAACGTGTTGAGTATTATTAAGTGACAATCTAGATGTAATTTATAAAAATATGAGAAGAAATTACCAATACCATTCGAAGTGATGTTTTGATGTTTTTTGGAATATAAAAATGGTAAATAAAAGGAGGTTTAAGGTTTTAGGTGTTATTCCTATTCAGAATGTGTTTAAATTGCCAGACAGCAGTTCAACAGTGTAACATCTTTACTAGAGGTGCGGGTTATTCGTTTCTAATAAGCCGATTTATTTTTATTTTCTCCAGTGTTGCAGTTTTGTGGCATAAATGTGAGCCAGCTAAGTATGTGTGCTGCTTCTGAATGCTAATGCTAAACCTGTTTTTTATCATTGTAGTTGAAAAGTAACCCAGTAGCGCTTCAGTAAAGAACTGAAAAAAATGGTTATGCACTCAGACTAAAGGTTTGTGGGTCACATATGACTTAAAGATTACCCAAAAGTTGGAAATGATTTTAGATGACATTTTAGATGACATTTATATTTATGGAATTTTTGTCAGACACTTATCCAGATCGGGTTGTGTTCCAGTTGAACTCTGATACCATGATGAAGTGACTCAAATTGTGGCCTAGTCAAACACCAGTACAGCAGTAAAAAAAAGGAACCCTGCTCCCGGCCTAGCCAAACTCTGATCCCGTGTTGAAGTTACCCAACATGTGGCCTATTTAAACTTCAAATCCACAGTGGAAAATGGCAGCCTAGCCAAATTCCTATAGCGCAATGAAAAGAGACCCTACTTTTGGCCTAGTCAAACTCACCTACCACAGTGAAAAGGAGCTTATTCACAGCCTCATCAGACTCCCATATTGCAGTGAAAAGTGACCCCGGTCACAGCCTGGGAAAACTCCTATACTGCAGTGAAAAGAGACCCGGCTAGCGGCCTGGTAAAACTCCCATACTGCACTGAAAAGTGACCCTGCTCGTGGCCTGGTAAAACTCCCATACTGGAGTGAAAAATGACCCCGCTTGAGGCATTGTTAAACTGCAGTACAGCACTGAAAAGTGACCCAGATTGCAGCCTAGTCAAACTACAAAACAGCAGTGAAAGTGAGCTCATTCGTGGCCTAGTCAAGCTTCCATATGGCAGTAAAAAAATGATCCTGCTTGCAGCCTAGTCAAATTTCAGATACCACAGTGCAGAGTCACTGGTTTATGGCCTACTCAGACGCCACTGTTATGGCGTGAAGTCCTTATCTACTGCCTAGTCAGACATGTTCTTACACTAGACATGAGCACATGTGCACAGATTTAGGTAAATGTAGTGTTAGGAGTCTTGCCCAAGGACTCTTATTGATATACTGTTGTGTGCTACCTTTGCAGGGAATTGAAATTCGGCCTGCTACAACTATACACTAAAGAGACCTTGACCAGCAAATTGTTAACAAGGTCCATTTTTCTCTTGCTTTGTGGGTGATGGGTGGAGCCTATGGAGGCAATGGCAGAATAGGAGCTGATCTGTATACACAAGACTGATCAGTGTACCAGAGCATGGGTGCTGCATGTATTGGTACTAATAATTCTTTATAGGAGAGAAAAAGTGACAAAAATGCCAATCACAGAGCTGAGCTATGCTACATTTGTTCATATCCCTGAGTCCTCTTCACTTTGTTTTACACTAGGTATGCAGTGTTATGGAGTGCAGGAACATGGAGCAGAGCCTGCTTTTCATTTAAAATGGTGTAGAAGATGTAGTACACTGGCTGAGCATTTTAAAACCTTTTTGCAGCTTTTTACATGTGGTGTATTTCCATGATATTGACTCTTAGATGCTTAGAGCAAAATTCTCCAGCTCACAGACTAGTCTTATAGCCTTTAGACACAGTCTCTCTCTCTCTATCTAGCTTTTTCTGTCTCTTTATCCTCTCTCTCATCCCAGCCTCACTCAGGCTAGTTTCACATTCATCTCTTTTTTGGGGCCTGATTTCTTTAACTTTGCAAGGTTCTGAATCTGGAATAGTTTATCTTCTTTATCCTGCTCTTCTGAAAGACTGATCTGTGGCTCAGTCCATGAAATGAAACTTGAATTTCGTGAGAGGAAAAGGCAATTTAACTTTTTCAAAAGCTCTGTTTGACTGTATAGTGTGTGATGACAACACTGTGTATATCATTTACAATATAGAACTACCTGGAAGCAGTTACATTTCAGTGTTTCTTTCCATTTACACCTGAAAAAAATAGTAAACCCTAAAACCCTGGACTCGTTAAGATGTTTTAGGTGTCTCCTATATTTGTCTGCTTGTTTACCCTTAGTATTTGATGTGAGTGCTTAGATTAATTAACTGTTTGTGGCCTAGCCAGCAGTGGTTTTCACAAAGAGACCATCCCTGTTGGTGGGGTGTTTCTTTGGTGCTTTTTCTAGTCTATACTATGGTAATCCATCATATTCCCTTAATTCACTCAGGCTATATAGTAATTAGTCCAATGGTAGGTATGTTTATGTAGAATAACTCCACCCATTTGCATGCATTTTATTAACCAAAGATCCTCTGGCTAATGTAATGTAGAGTTACATAGGCCGAAAGAGGGGGAGAGAGAAAAACAGTTTCAGTGCAGATATAATTGAAGACTGTGTGTGTGTGTGTGTGTGTGTGTGTGTGTGTGTGTGTGCGTGTGTGTGTGTGTGTATTAGGGAGACCAAATCCCTTGCTGTGTATCTAATTCTTGTGTGCCTGTGTACACTAACTTATTGATTTTATCTCACAGAGGGACCAAAGGCAAGGACATCAACACCATCAAGTCCCTCAGAGTACTCCGAGTGCTGAGACCACTGAAGACCATCAAACGGCTGCCTAAACTCAAGGTGCGACATACAGATCCCTAAAACAGACTCTGAACCCATTTACACTTCTCATTTAATGCGTCTCATATGCAGAAATGTCAAGATAAGATATATCCACATTCCATTGACCACATAAATGCATCTCTGCCAGACAGAAATATGTGTTGAATCACAGTACTGCTGCTTCCACACTACATGCAAATTCATGGACTCTGCTTCCAGAATCTCTTCATCATGTTGTGCCAAATTTACTGTTTTTAGAGATACAGTTTGTACTGCTTACAGTACACAGCTTACTGCTTCTATATGCAGTGTAAAAGGTGACGGGAGCTGTGGTATGTAGACATGCCCTGATCCAGTGCACCAATGTTTACATTGTGTTTAAGCTAGACACGTTTTGTCTAAACACTGGCATATAGATTTAGAGCAATATGAAAACCAAGAAAATTTAGAACACTATAAAATTGTTACACATGAGTAGTCAAAAAAAAAAAAATACACAAATTCAGAGTGAGTACCATATGATAAATCTTTGTTTGATAGTCAAATTTGATCATAGGTCAATATTAAACACACTATAAAACGGCGATTAAACAAGTTTGGCAAAAAAAAAAGAGTTTGACTAGAATGTCACATTATGCACATACTAACATGTCTTTATTTTACTGTAGTATTAATTGGCAGCCTAGCATATCTTAGCTAAATTGAATGGCTGTAATATCTATAAAAAGACAAATGTCCAATCAGATTGATATTAGGCGATATTCAACATCAATTCCTTGGATTGGATTTGGGAGCAAAACTGGTTTGGAACATCCCTAGTTGTATGCTGCTTTGTTTTGTCTAATGAGGTGGTGCTTAATTCTAGTCCTGGATATCTACCACCTTTGAGAGTTCAGATCCACCTGATATTAAAATTCTCCTGAAAGCATTCCTTACCTGGATCAGGTGTGCTAGATCAGGGTTCGAGCTAAACTCTGTAGGGTATTAGACCTTAAGGGCCAGAGTCCTGTTTTGGCAAGGAGGGGGTTGCATATGTGGCGGATGCATACATTTACATCTGGTTCAGCTGCATCTCCAGTGTGTCTCTAAACACCTCCTGAAATATCTGAGCAATCGGATAGCAATCTGTCTCTAATGTGTCTTGGTTGCTGTGGCAAGGCTTAAGGCTTTTCATAATCAGAAAGCATTACAATCAGCCCAGGAATAAATAAGCTCTACAGTGCCGCTGTCCAGCCTGTCTGACAGTCTACCTGTGGATGCCCAGGTATTATCTGAAAGCTAATCAGATCACTTAGAATAATAGCTTATTATGCTTTAGGGCTCAGTCTCTCATTGTCTGTTATCACTCAAGAGGCATACAGCCCAGTGAGATGAGGAAATGAAATAGAGATTTTCATGCTAATAAACTAGCATTCAGTCACATCAACGCCATACATTGAACAGCTCATATTTCTCTTCCCAAGAAGGAGATAAAAGGTAACTGATCTGACAAAGGATTGTTCAGAACGTCTGGGCAGAATAGAGAGATCATCACAGATACAATTCCACATCGCAGATAATTATGATGAAGGTTGAAAGTGAGGGGTGGTAAAAGTTCAGTTCTCGTCTTGCACGTCTCCATTATCACATCATACCATCAGCCAAAAAATGACATTTGCCAGGCAGTGAACTTTACCTCATCAGCATAATAAGTGAAAAGTGAAACTGTTGCCATATAAAGTAAAACTCTTTTTGCATGACTTCACAAACGCCTTAGCAGTAGCACATTAACAATTGACACATTGCAGTTTGTTAGGTGCACATCGATTTAACAAAGATGTTGTCACTGTGTGTCTCTGCAAGCGTTGTTGTTACGCTACATGTGCTGTGTTTGTGTGTGCGTGCTCCCTCAGGCGGTGTTTGACTGCGTGGTGAACTCTCTGAAAAATGTGCTCAACATCCTCATCGTCTACATCCTCTTCATGTTCATCTTCGCCGTCATCGCTGTGCAGCTGTTTAAGGGCAAGTTCTTCTACTGCACAGACGAGTCCAAAGCTCTGCAGAAGGACTGCAGGTACTGCTGCTCATTCTGTACACACAAATCAGCATGTTCTTCTTCTGACTCCTCTGACATTTGCTTTTCTGCAGAGGAATGTGTTTAAATATAAAACTGTAACACTGCTTCCAGTCCAGAGTTCCAGAGCTTTATAACCATTCAGGTCCCCAGTTCATATATGGAAAATTAGCTGCAGAAACAACCTGTTTTGAAGTCAACACAACCGTGATGTCACAACCATGAATATGATTACATATGACTGCCCATTTAGCCTAAAGCAGTTTATCATGCTCATTCATGTTGAAGTGATAAGTAGTGTTGCTACTGCAAACAGTCTGCTAATCAGAACATTAGATATTTAAAGAGGACTGTATTGCTGATGACGCAGCAATATATGAAGTGAAGCCACTTGGCCATCATATTGGTACTCTCTGCAATGTAAAATGAATGCTTGTCCGTGGGCAAAATGTCAAAAAGTTCCCAAAATATACAGATATAATAAAAAGGTTTAGTTTTTTCTGCATTTTCCTGTAACAGTACCCAAGTTATGGGCTGTGGAAAGACATTTCATGTGTAAGAATGGGTGTAAAAGTTTTATTTTATGACTAATATAACCTCATCTAGGATATCCGATCCATTATTTCATAGGAACGGGCATTGCTATTTGAATACATGTACATGCAAACTTATCTGAGTACTTGTACAGCTTACTTCAGGCACCTGAAAAAGGCACATGTGGTTTGGAATAATAGAAAAATAAATAATAAATTGTGTATCATCTTGTCATTTTATGTGGAGCTGCCATAAGAAGTAATAAATCCAGTGTGAAGTGAAAGTGTACCTTAGTTAGCTTGGTGCTAATGTTATATAGTACTCCCTAAGAGATGCTAGCAAAAATTAGCATCATTGTAACAATAGTAATCGAATAAAATGAAGTCCTTTTAAAAGAAAAATGCTTTATCTTATGAATACCTTTATCTTAAAAATACCTTCGAGTCTTATCTTAAAGAAAAAGACATGTAATCAGTGCAGAGATATTTTACGAACATCAATCTTAAAGACATAGTATCAAAAACAGCCTGCTTAATTCTAAGGGACACACAGAGATCAAAAACTTATCAAGTAAAAGTGAAATACGACTGGTTTTGGTATATAAAACCACATTATAAGTAAGAAATAAAATATGAAAAAAATTAGCATATGGGCCCTTTAACATGTTTTTATGTTCATTTTATCCACTGCTCCTTTCCTACTAAAAAAAGCCAGGACAGTCTTTCCAGTTTAATTTGCTGTATTGCTGTTTGTCCTCACCATGTCTGACTATTTCAGGGGTCAATTTCTGGATTATGATGGGGATGAAGTGGCCGCCCAGTCACGGGAATGGAAGAAGTACGACTTTCACTACGACAATGTGTTGTGGGCCTTTCTCACCCTCTTCACTGTGTCCACAGGAGAAGGCTGGCCAATGTGAGTTCCACAGCACACTTACAGAGCCAGCTTACAGAAGAGCACACACAATTAAATAATGTGCAGTTTCCTTACTCGGATCATAGTTACTCACCCAAAGGCCTTATGGTGTTCCATTAACTACAGTTAATATCATAGCAGGGAGATTTACACTGTTGAATGAGCTGCATAGACCTTAGGGGTTTGTGAGTGGTTGTATATCTATGTGTGGGAAAGTATAGCGGTGTGAGCAAGTGTGTCTGCCTGCATAAATATACAAGCATGTGTATGTGTGACATTGTGTGTGCGTAAGTGGGTAGCTGGCATGTACATGCATGCACATTGTGTATGCTGTGAGTGTGACACATGCTCTGCTAAAAAAGAGTGATAGTCCATGTCATCTAAGCTGACATATATGGACTGACCACACCAACACAGCTGAGAGACACGTCCTCTACAGGGAGCAAATTGAAATATAGTATTTTAAAACATTTCATTATTTTTATTTAAAAATAAACGAATATATATATTAAGAATATATATATTAAGAAGGCAAGTCGCCATGTGATACATAAGTTTAACCCTTTAAAATCCCTGGCATATTACATACTAAGGCTTATTATTCAGTAACTACAGAGACTTCATTGGGCCCTGCCATTTGAGGGGTTAACTCACCTTTCCTAAAGAAGGCGACACTTTACTTTGTCAAAAAACAAACGATGAATCAGTGAGGGTCAAATATTTCAGGTATGCTTTACACAACATTAATGCCAAACTCATGCCAATCAAGCAGCCATTAGTAGGCAAGCCTTGTTCCTGTCTGGACTGTCACTTCTCTTTGCCACTTCTACACTATTACCCAACACTTGTTTGTGTGTTTGCAGGGTGCTGAAACACTCTGTAGATGCCACCTATGAGGACCAGGGGCCGAGTCCGGGCTACCGCATGGAGACGTCCATATTCTACGTGGTCTACTTCGTGGTCTTCCCTTTTTTCTTTGTCAACATATTTGTGGCCTTGATCATCATCACCTTCCAAGAGCAGGGGGACAAAGCCATGTCTGAGTGCAGCCTGGAGAAGAACGAGGTACACAGTCCAGTGCTAAACAGACTCTTATGTGCTTTACTACTACTACTACTACTACTACTACTACTACTACTACTAATAATAATAATAATAATAATACAAACCTCAATTCCAAAATAGTTTGGGCAGTATGTGAAATGCAATTAAAAACAAGAGGGTCATTGAATGGCCTAATCCTTTGTGACCAAGGATGTGTTGAGGCTCAGCACTTTGCCAGAAAAAAAAGCATCAGCAAATAATCCAACAGTTTAGGAACAACATTGCTCAACAAGCAATTTTAAGGATTTTAGATATTTAACCCTGTATAGTACATAAAATAATTAAAGATTGAGGAAATGCAGAGAAATCTGTTTATAAAAGACAAGGCCAAAAATCACAACTGAATGCTCATGAACTTCAATCCATCGGACAGAACTGCATTAACAACCAGAATCCTTTTGTGATGGATATCACCACATGGGCTCAGGAATACTTTGACACACCGTTGTCAAAGAACACTATTCATTGATACATCAACAAATACAGAACTGGACTATGCACTTCCTTATGTCAGCCATGTCCAGAAATGCTGTTTTCTCTGTTCCCTGGGCTCAAGCGTATCTGAAATGGACCGAAGTACAATGGAAACATATATTGTGGAATGATGAGTTAACCTTTTTATTGTTTTTAGAAATAATAAATGTTGTGCTCTCCGAGCCAAAGAAGAAAATGACCATCCAGAATGGCGCCAGCGTAAAGTTAAAAAACAAGGGTCTGACATGGTATGGGGTGTATTAGTGCTCATGGCATGGATAACTTTAGCACTGAAAGATATATACACATTTTAGAGCAACACATGCTGCCTTCTAGACAGCGTCTTTTTCATTGATGCCCATGCTTATTTCAACATGACAACACCAATCCATATTCGGTCATGTGTTACAACAGCGCAGCTGAGTGTGGGTGCTAGGCTGGCCTGCCTGCAGTCCAGACCTGTCAGTCGTTTGAAATGTTTGGTGCATTGGTGCAAGTGCAAAATACAGCACTGAGGGCTCTGTGCAGTGCTGTTACTAAGCTGGGGACTTGTATGTATAATGTAAGAATGGCAGAAAATCCCACCTTCAGAACTGGAACAGTGGACATCTTAAGTTCCCAAACAATTAAGTGTTGTTAAAAGAACTGGTGTTGTAACAAAATGGTAAATGAGCTCCCATCGTAGAAAAAAAAACCATAAGAATAAACATAAACACATCATGTTTTTTTTTTCTGTTTCAGTAGTTCACTAATTATTGCCGTTTGTTTTTATTAATATTTAACATACTGTCTCAACTTTTTTGAGATTGTGGTTTGTAATAATAATAATAATAATCATAATAATTTAATTTTATAGCCCCTTTCATGAACTCAATTTTGCTGTACAGTAACCAAAAAAACAAATTGATGTCTCAAAAGGTTTGTTCACAAGCACACGTTTAAATCTGAAGGGGTGTGTGTTTGTGTGTGTGTGTGTGTGTGTGTGTGTGTGTGTGTGTGTGTATGTGTGTGAGAGTGAGAGTGAGAGTGTGTGATGGCAGTGTCTGTCTGCTGTGTGCTCGTACTGCTGGGAGATGTCCTCAGGGTGGGATGAGCTCTTTAGAGAATTTGTCTCACAAGTGAGTGCAGGACCAACACACCTGTCCAACTGCATCACTTTCACCTGATCACTGATTCACACAGACAACCGCACACATACACAAGCACAACAGTGCAGAGATAAACCTCAGAAAAACATCCCTCATAGTTTACTATCACTTTAGAGTCTCTTTCTGCTTCTCCCTTTTTTCTTCCTCTGCTTTGCTCGATTCTGTCGCTGCACATCTTCAGCAGAGCTGTTCAGAGAGATGAAGCACTGGCTTGTTCTCAGAGACCATTAGCCTCTGTGTTTAGCTGTTTAAACATGCTCTAAGAGGCCTCTCTAGTGGGTGCCAGTGCTAGTTTGATGTTTGCTTTCTGTCTCTCGCACTTTGATTCGGAGGGCTCTGGGGACAAAGAGCCTCTCTGATAATTAAACACTGTTAGATCAAGAGCCGGAATCGAGGATGATGCCGAGTCCTGGTGAAGTCCTGAAGCTGCTGTTTAACGAGGAGACTTATGCAACCGGGCCTTTATGACTTTGTGATGAGAAGATTAATTGTGCCTTTTTTTTTATCCTCTGCAGCGGGCATGTATTGACTTTGCCATCAATGCCAAGCCCCTGACCCGCTACATGCCCCAGGACAAGCAGTCCTTCCAGTACAAGATGTGGAAGTTTGTGGTCTCAACGCCCTTCGAATACTCCATCCTGACTATGATCGCAGTCAATACTGTCGTTCTAATGATGAAGGTAAGAGAACAGGGACTCTGTTAGGCACTTGCCGTAAAGTCCACAACCTAAATATAACTAATCATCTATGCAGACTCCCGTTTCAGTCTTATGCAAGAAGGGCCTAGGTTCGATTCTAGGTAGTCAGCTGTTAATTTTTCAATGTCAGGAAAACAGCAGAAAATGTGTATTTGACAGACAGTTCCACAGAAATCTCAACGACTAAATATAATATCGTAGTCAACACTGCTGTTCTGTACTGACCTATGCTTCTACCATAGCAGCAGTTGCCAAGTTGGACAAGCTTTACAAAAACCCATTACACCTAATAAGAAATTGTTTTGTTCAAAATTTTGAGTGCATTTATAAGTTTAAATGATATTTATATTGTGTGCATTTGAAAGGTCACACTCGTCACACTGTTAGAATAGGTTGGATGTGTAAACAAGTTGATAGCTTGGGGGCAAGTACACCATTGTCAGCTGTGTAGCATAGCATTTAAATTGGAAAGTCAACGTTATTTAGCTAGCAAAATGTGCCGTTATGTATTTGTTTGAATGTTTTTTATTTTTCACAGCTTGTCCAACTTCATAATAGTTCCTATAAAAAACATGTTTGTGGGCAGAGCATGGATAAGTCTCTTCTGGACAATATCTCTTAATTCAGATCTAAACTCACTCACCCTATACTGTGTCATAGAGCCTGTGCCCTTTTCTCCAAGTATTGGCCTGGTGCCTAGCTTTTTCATTCATTATTGACAATGCAGTTAAAAAAGAATGGGAACCCTCCCTGCACCATCCCCATAACGGCCTTTATCCACTCCTACGCCTATTAAGAAAATGTAGAAAGGACTGGAAGACATCCAAGTATTGATTTTCCAAAGCATGTTTGTTGAACTATCAGCATTGTTGTGATAACTCAGAGATTTCCTTTTCTTTCATTTTTGGCTTTTTAAAGAATGTCATTTTGATGAATTTTGGCTTTTAGAGAATGTTGTTACTTGTACATGTAAGACCAAGACAAAGTTCTTCAGTTCAGAAAGCACTTTGTGTGAGTGAAGGCTCTGGCAAAGATACACAGAGGCTATAGATAGTTACTCAGTGGCACACATGAACTTATGAAATTAATGTTGACTGCACAGAAACATCTGTGGACTCTAAGATCTGAATCAAGAGTGGAGCTTGATTTTCAACTTTCGAAGATAAAAGCTTTAAGTGCTGTTTATCTGATGGTGACTGTTTTGGTGGTCTACCAGGTCTTGCACAGTTGTTAGAGTCCCATTTCCTCTGTATCCTTTCACATTCTTTTGGAAACTCTTGTTTTTGAAGTTTTGCACTTTTATCTTACTGCATTATCTCATATATGATCTGCTCAAAAATATGAAAAATGAATGACTTGTACTTAATGGCCATTTTGACTGGAAATGACATAAATGAGGGTGTTTTTTACACAGTTGTGACTGTAATGCATGATATCTATGATGACATTTATAAAATGGTGACAAAATACAGTATGATACACTAGTGTTTAACAAATAATTCAATTTATTATTATAAATATGATATCATTTGTTAATTTTTGGCACATTAATACAGAATCCAATTAATGTGTGCAGTCATGCATATGTGTCTACTGAGTATTGTACAGTGGCATAGAATGTGGCTCAGCCATCAAATCATAGAACCAAAACTGTCCAGATTAATCAGGTTCAAACGCAGTTTTCTGCTTTTTGTGTTTTTTATTATGTTTTTTATTGTATTAGTTTGCGTTGAAGTCCCTGTAGTTACTGAACAGTAAGCCTTAGTGATGCCACTTCCTTGTTGTTTGCAGTTCCATAAAGCTCCAACGCCCTATGAGGACATGCTGAAGTGGCTGAACGTCATCTTTACTGCCCTATTCACTCTGGAATGCATCCTGAAGATCATCGCCTTTGGCCTGCTGGTGAGGAACATTACAGCATGCACTGCATCTTTGTTTCTTTACTGTTTTACATTTCACACAAATCTAAACGAACCCTTCCCTGATAAAAAGATATTAGAGGTTCTGGCAACAAACTCAAACTATCCTCTTGATGTTGGTGTAGTTTACTAGTGTATTTTTTCACATCTGATATTGGAACTGACTTTAAGTAGATGTAGAAGAATTAGTGACAGACAGGAGGAGAGAACGTGAGAGGCGGAGAGGAAGAGGAGGTTTTTGGTGAAAGATTGTGAACTGTGTTGGTTGATGGATAAGCCGGGGCACTGCCAGTGGCACATAAATCTGTGCTCTCAGTGGCGTCTGCTCCAGCCCGCAGCAGCAGCAGGCCTATCTCAGGCTCCATTTCCATTTAGGAGCCTCATTTATTAGATGGCTCTCTTCCCGCATGAGGCACTTACCTCCACCTGTTCTGAGCTGCCGGCAGACGGGAACGCCTCGCTGCTGTTGTTCCAAGCCCTGGGCAGCCACGGCTCAACAAATCACTAGCGTTGAGGAGACGTGACTGAAACTCCTGACAGATTGGCCTGTCACGCAAGAGCCATTCCGCCATTCAGCAGTGTATGAGTTTGTATGTACATTTGTGCCTGTGAGTGTGTATGTGTTTTCAGACATCCATGAGAGCTACTCGAGGGAGCCCTGAATTTCGTGTCTTTTTTGGTTTTGTTTTTTGCTCTCTGTGATATATCGTTGCTTTCATAGGAACACCTGGTGTCTCTGAAAAAGTACCTTTAAAAAAGGGGAAAAAATCTTAAAATCTGTTAATTGCAATTTAAAAAATACTTAAAAGTTGGATATTAAAATTTCTCTTTGTGATTTAGCATGAATTGGAAATCATAATGACATATTTCCAGGTGACGCAGTAGCAGGGGAGTTTTCATACTAGAGCTTTTTTCCAAATTGGGTACCACTTACTCTGAGTTTGATACGTTTGATGAGGTGTGAAGGTTGTTTTTAAGCTCAGGAGTGGTCCAGAGAACCAATCTCTGGTTCCACTGATTTCACACTGATCTTTAAGGGCAGTGATTTTTCAAGGAAAAAAATAAAGATGCTGAAAAATACAGTTCATTTTTTCTTTTAGTTACAATATAATTTTTTTTATGGTAATACTTTAGTTGAAGGCTACCTGCACAGGGACTTTATAACACCTGTGTAAGTATTGAGTAACATATTTATAAAGCTATATGTGAGAATTTATGAACAGCTTATGTCGTTAATCGCAAGATCACATAAGATGCTTTGTGAAGTAAATTACATTGCATTAACATAAGGCCCCTTATACTGAAGCCAATGGACATTTCTTTCATTCATAACACTGCAGCATGAAGCAATGAAGCGTCATTCTCAAGTAATGGAGCTCATAGTAGGCTAGACAGAGGCCTACTTAAAACACTACATATTTTTACTTGAGTTTAAGTTTCTGTTAAAGTGTTAAAACATATATGGCCTCAGTCTTAAACACTTCATTGCTTAGGAATGATGCTTTTTTAGCGTTATTATAAATTGAATAAATGTCTGCCACTTTAGCTTAAGGCCCCTATGCCCTTATGCGAAATGCTAATTGTTTGACATTTACTTCATAAAACGTCTTAAGTCATCTTGTGATTAGAGGCACAGTATCTGACAAGGAATCTGTTCATAAAAAGCATTGCTTTTAATTCAATGCTTATGTGTTATGCAGGATGTGAAATACAGGGGATCCTGAGGTGTCCAGAACCTCCTAATTAACCTTTTGCATCCCCTGAATGTCTCAAAATCTGATTTCTGGGGAGTCCCTGAAAATGAAATTATTATTACATAATGTTGTCTGCTGGGGTAAAATAGACGCTCAAATACAAATTCAGGGGAAGGTGGTTGTTCAGGTCGCTTCACCCAGCGAGCTTCTGTTTTTGGTATTCTTAACTAAGCAGAGAGCTAGTCAATGCTGGAGTAGCCAGCCAACATAGGACCCCCCGAATATGAGGGGGTATTTTGCACACTGGTGTCATTAAGTCATTATGTAGATAGTGTTAGTTTTCACACAATATAAATTTTCACGTTATAAATAAAAAAAATAAAAGTTAATGAAGTGTAGTAAAGGTCTTCTTATAAAAGCTAAGATATATTTCTCTTACCCATTTCAATCTCTCAATGTGTCCAGAACTACCTGAAGGAGGCCTGGAACATTTTTGACTTTGTGACCGTACTGGGCAGCATTACTGACATCCTGGTCACGGAGATCAAGGTAAGCAGTTGCGATTGTTCTAGAAGAGAAGAATGGAGGGTTGCTGTCATCTTAAGGCTCTACATAAGTGGGTTTATGACTGGCGTAAAGAATCATGCAAAGACAATGACAGTGTCTTCATGTACAGGCTTTCAGTGTTGTGTCTCTATCTGTGTATTTGTGTGTCTGCAGCTTTCTCTTTCTCACTCTGTGGTTGATGATACAGTTTAGGTGCAGGCAGATCTAAAAAAGTAAAACACTTTCTCAGACAAACAGGTTTAGTACAACCTCCAGAGTACTGTCAAAATATGCACCTAACAAACATGACACTGGGATTTCAGGTCTAAATCATGCGATTTAATCAATGCATGCTCCATTCACAAATGTAGTTTGTAGCAACTACTTATGTAGTTTCGACAAGATGTATAGAGCAATGGCAAAAATCTCATTGAACCTAATCAGAAGTTGTAGCACACAACTTAAAGTATGTTAGGCATTTTGAGTACTGGGATAATTTGTCTAAAAATGCAGTGTAATGCATTACAAGTTACTAATTACGTGTCTCAAACTGTAGTGGGATTACTTTACTTATTACTTTCTGGAAAACATCATTTCATTACTCATTACTTCTGTTACTCTGTAAAATCCACATGCTCTGTAAAATCCACTGTACAGATATCTTCAGTACTTTATTAACAAAGAAATAGTTCACAGCATTTAAAAGGCATTTCACTATCCCTGCCTTTGAAAGACGCTGATGGTTATGCTTGATAAAAATGATGAATGGCTGACGCTGTTTGGAAACCTCAAAACTAGCCAATAGAAATAAAAACAGTGCCTCACATTAAAATCTTTGTGAATAAAACGTTAAGCTTTCAGAGCTGTTTCTAAATGAGAATTAAGTCTGGCTTGTTTCGGTGAGGGGTGTCTCTCTTCTTCAACACAGGGATCTTAATCCATCAGTTTTTATGCTAGCGTGATGAGATGCTTCAACAGATTAGTCTTTAAGTTGACTGTTTTTAATACTGCACATTCTTATTTACAGTTAGTCATGCAGTCAGCTGTTGTTGGTAATAAATATGTTTTTATTAAGTCATTAACTAATGTGGTTTTAAGAATTTAAACTGTAGTGCGTTACGGTACTGTGTTACAGAAGAAAGTGTTACTTTGTACCCCCAACACTGTTAATGTAAAGTTATATTTGTGTATATTTATGAATATTTTTTGTATACATGAGACCGATCACGTTGTTAGATCGGCTATAGTTAGTCATGTAATCAAGCTAGTGTTAGCATGGTAATAGCCTGCCTAGTGTTAATTATCATAACGTAGTCCTGCTTGCTATCATTTTAAACTGGAAGCGAATTGTGCTGCGCTTTCTCATTAGATTGAATTGGATTTTTGCCAACGTTCTTTAAAGTTTGTCCAACCTTGCAACAGTTGCTACAAAATAATGGATTTTTATGTGGAGCTTGGATAGGTCAGTTCTACTGGACTTTCATCTTCAGTCGGCTTATAAGCCCATTTCCCGTCTACGGTAATTCCCGTTTCAGGCCTTATTTTATCCATTGTTTATTCAGCAAATTTGGAAGAGGAAAATCATCTGCTGAAGCTCTGCCGACAGTATGTAATCTTCCCGATGAGTGTTGACAGTTGAGTCTCAGTGTGTCAGAGTAGACTCTCGTCCCTCCTAATGATTTCACTGTCACTCTGTTTCCATGCTAAATCTCTGTTGGCACCTGTCCCCTTCTCTCCCAAATGGACTCTACAGACGGTAAGTGGCTTTATTTGTCCTGCTCTGCTTCTGTCCATCTGTCCGGACTGCCTCTCGCTCTCCCGCTCTCTCTCTCTCTCTCTGTCCCGTCATGTTTGCTTGTATGTGGACAATCGCCTTTTTATCCGTCAAGCTGGTTTTCAGGATGCAGTTCCAGTTTCTGATGTTTTGGGTACTGATTTACATATTGATCCGGATTGTCAATGCTTATTGCACGGTTGTGGGAATGAACTAATTTTGAATGCGTTTTACTTTTGGTTCTTTATTCTTCGTTACAAATTCTACGTATTACACACAAGTGCTACTGCTGAGTAGTACGGGTGCATGGTTCCAGCTAAAGCTTTTTGAACATCATCATTAATGATCAGTAGCACTAAATTGCATGAAAATGGTCAGCAGAAATCATTTCTCCATAAGAACTGAAATTGAAATCTGCTGATTTCAATTTTGGAAACATCTGTTGTAATGCATAATAAGCCTAAACAGATTCTCACACTCTGACTGAGAGGCAGGAGGGATTCGGGCGCAGAGCCAGGCTTGAGCGGTTAACCTGTACCAAATCTCTCCCAGCAGGACAAGCTGATCAATCTGAGTTTCCTGAGGCTCTTTCGAGCAGCTCGCCTCATCAAGCTCCTGAGGCAAGGCTACACCATCCGCATCCTGCTCTGGACATTCGTCCAGTCCTTCAAGGTCAGGACTTCTGTGCTCAAGGCTATAAGAATGCAGACTTTGCATGAATTAGAATAGACCTCGATAGTGTTTAAATGCTGGTGATTTATTTACACATGACATAACTTTAATAGTTCTTAAAGAGTTTTTAAAGGGCCCATATCCTGTATTTTTCTTGCATTCGGTGTTTCTGCCTATTTTTGTGATTTTCTGTACCAAAATGGTTATAATTCATTTTTACCTTTTTGTAGCCTTTCATTATGCCTTAGAACAGGATATTTTTGTTACTGTACCTTTAATTGCTAATATGTTAATTGGCTCTTTTCTGAAACGTCCCATAAATTAAACATTAATGGGCAGGGCTAAACTGCTGTAGGCTGAATAGGTGGATTTACATAAATATGTTGGATTTCATGATGTCACAAAAACAATATATTTAAAAAAACTGTTTTTGCTACTTCTATTTTATATATAGACTGTATGGACTGGGGAGTGAATTTAGTTACTGTGTACCTGAGCTGTCTTCTGAGTGGCTGTCTTGTGTAGTAGCTCATTCAAACAGCAGCCCAACCTGAAACGTTCTGTATAACAGCGCGAATAGTCAGGGCTAAACTGTTGTGGGCTGAATAGGCAGATATGAGTGGTGCATTTTGAAACTGTAGCAATGCTTTCTTACTACAACACACTGTTTAATTTTGCAAAAAGTGAAAAGTTTGGTTTTCCATGATATGGGTCCTTTAAAGTTTCTTCCTAGAACTGTACATCCAAGCAAAGAACCATTTAGGAAAATTTGTTTTTAAGTGTATGACTGAAATCTGAACATCTAGAGGCCGTTTACACTTTGCATTTTCAGTGATAGCATCACATTCGGATTTCAGTTGACAGTATTAAAGCCAGGTGTAAACAGCTGCAAAATGCATTGTGATCGGGTTACAGTCGGATCCCTAAAAAACACATTCAAAGGTAGTCAGAGAATTTATTTTTAACACAGGTGTAAATGGAATGCCTTTTCTATGTCTGCATACGCTTATGTAAGCAGAAATGTGTCTGCTGAACGCTAACTAGCAGGTGAAAGGACAAACAAGGAAACATAACATGGACAATAAGGTGGACAGTAAGGTGGAAAATGTGTGTTCTTGAACTCTGGGCTGATTAGTGTCCATTCGTGTAGTAACAAGGGGAAAAAGTAAACAGAAGCAAATTGAAAACGTTGTAGATGTTGATTCGCTTTTTACATAAGAAATTAAAATCAGGTCTGCTCAAATGGCAGATGTGTTTTAGTGAAACATATTGATGGAATTCAGCCAAAGAACATTGTCATTGTCCAAAAAAAAATTTTTTTTATTTTTCTACGTCATTTGAATACTGCAGCTGCTCTTTATATTGTGTAAAAAAATTATGATGAATGGACAGAAATGCTCCAAAATGATTGAAATCTCTTTACGTTCACATTAAAAGTTAGGAACATTTGGTCTTCCTGTAATTTTACTATATTGGAGATTCTTTTCTTTCTTTTTTTTTGTTTTTTTAGACAGCGATGATATTCAGAATGATCCAGACATGGGATGCATGTTAATGCAAAGTGTACATAGTCTTTTAGTCTAAATAACAAGACGCCTACTGAGTGCCATCTGCTGAGATGACTGAAAGGCCTTTATTCTGTCAAAATTATAACAGAGCCTGAGCTAATCTCATTTATTATTAATACTGCTATTCAGTGTGGTTGTTGACATAGTTTTGTTCATTGATAAGGTTCACTATTGTACTCTTTTCCTGTACATTTTGCCACCCCTGCCTGGAAGATTAAAGCTGTTTTTTTATTCCACAGGCGCTGCCCTATGTGTGTCTGTTGATTGCCATGCTCTTCTTTATCTACGCCATCATTGGTATGCAGGTGAGTCTTGGGCTCTTCCAGCACACCAGTTACAGCCACTGTCATTTACAGAATCACATCCCAGCCCAGAGTAGATGAAGCATCTGATGTAGGATCAGCTTTTCTCTGTCCTCTTTGAAAAATGATTTGTTAGTGGATTAGTAATCAGTGATTTTGTCAGTTTGTTGAGTAATCAGAGATTTAATAAAAAAGCATTGAAAATGAACAATAAAAACCATGTATAGCCTTGCAGTGATCTCCAAAACTGTATAGGGAAAAGATAGTTGTATAGGAAAAATACAAATAGTATCGTATGCAAAAGTTTGTGCACCCCGGTCAAATAGCATTTCTAAGTGTTTTCTTTGTTTTCTAAGTGAAAACACATCATCTAGAGGAAACAAATGAACAAATACTGCAGAGTTACTGAGTATTTGCAGAATTTAGCATAACATTTTTAACACATTTAAAAAAATAAAACATAAAAAGTAGCTTGTGTAAAATTTATGGCACATTTAATACGCTTTTTGATTTTTTTTCAATATGTTAAGTTCAGCAAACAAAGAACTTTTGCACTAAAATTGGCTTAAAATTAACATGTTTGTTTTGATGCATTTGTTGACTTTTTCACTTAGAAAATCAACAGTACTTGTTTGATCAAGGCTGTTCATATTTTTGCATACAGCTGTGAATGTTTGCGTCCATCAGTGTCTGTTTCATACTGCAAGAGAGACAAATAGGAAAATTAATCTAAATTGCCAACTAACTATTGCCAATTCATTGAGTTGAATCAATATTTTCTTTTTGAATCATGTAATCAAGTTTAATTGAATAATCGTGACAACCCTAATCAGGTTATAAAAAGCAAAACAACATTAGCACTTTTATTCACGTGGTCTTTTGATATGATGCTCCAGATTTAAGGCATATTTCATAGTTTCTATATTACATATTTTGTTTCTTAAGGCATATGAATAAAATAATTATGTAGATTAGCTGATTAATGGGATAATGATGATGGTGCATCTGTTACTATATTAATTGCAATGGGAGTGGCATGTACCACATTGAAAGAAACTGTTTCAAACTATTGTGTGTCTGGAAGTTAGTTATTCAGTAAATTATCACGGCAGTGTAAATCAATGCTAATTGCATTTTATGGACAGGGAAGCAGCATAACAAGCGAGTTGTATAATCACCCATATGCTGAGATACAGGCCTGAACCTCTACTTGGGACCCTTCAATCCAGTATTTGCCAATATTTGATGTGTGAAAGTTGGCCCAGCTCACCATTTCTCCACTGCCACACAGTTGAAGTTGGAAATTAAAGATAGCAGCAAGTTAGCAGTTTGTGCCTTTGGAATGTCATGGAGGAATGGCATGGATAGTGGACTGCAGGATTTGTGCCAGTGAAAGCTTCAAGCAGGAAAGCTGTTTCTTCACACTAATGGATGAATTCAGCCTTTAGGTTTGATTGCTCGTTTAGCAGCGCACAGGCAATCTCCTGGATTGTGTTTGAAAGGAGAGCGTCTGCCATTCAGCCGATTAGGATGGCATTGTAAATCAATGCTAATTGCATCTTATGGAATGAAAGGAGCAGCGTAATCAGTGAGCTGTATAATCACCCATATGCTGAGACACACCACTGAACCTGCTTAGAACACGGCCCTTCACACCAGTGGTGTAGTCCTAAGAAAAAAAAGTGGCTTTACTATAAATCTGTGCCAGCCCAGGGCAGCCGCTTCAGTTTTATACATACATACGTACAGTATGCAGGCATTTGAACACATCCTAGTCAAAGTGTTTTGTTAATTTTCTGAGTGAAAATAAGTTAACACGTTCTCTACAGGGAACAACCTTGAATACAGTGTTTTTCTGCTAATTTTAGTAGCTTATTTGCTAAGTTTAAAATATTGGAAAAAATTAAACTTACATGTAAATTGCAGAGGATACATTTTATGTTTCATTCTTTTTCCAGGATGTTAAACTCAGCAAATAAACAATATTTATACATTAAAATGTACAGAGGTGCGTTTTCTGTATGTGAGTATTTTAACTTACAAAATTACCAATTGTATGATGTGATCAGGGTGCCCAAACATTTGCATACAATTGTATGTGTGTATGTCAAGCTATAGATACAAAGAGAGGGAGATCTGTATTTTATATGACTTTTAAATGTTGAAACATGCACAATTATTCATTTATGCAATGCATCCACTTTACTGTACAATACTGGAGTATGCATTGCTGTGACTGTAACTCAGTGCGTCTCTGGTTATTGGCAGTCTGATTCACAAGCTCACCTAAGCTACTTCTCTGTTGTTTCCTCTCCCATCCATCCTTTTCTGGATGGACACAACATGAGTAGACCTAAAAATACAATTGTATAAACCTCTTTTTGAAAGTCTGACATCAGTAGCCCTCATGTTTTCTGATTTTGGCGCTAAATTTTTACAAGAGTACTTGTTAAAAGCCTTAACTGCTGAAACACTGTCAGGTTCATGTTTCACCTAGCTAATGTTAGAAAACTCTGATGCCCAAGGTTAGTTAAGGTGCTGTGTTAGGATGCTACACTAGCACATCATTCTAATAGAACATTGCATCTTAGTTGCAAAAACGTTTCCTGCTTATGTCAGTAGTATCAGAATCAACATCCAGCAGAGTTTTTCATTCACAGTTGGTCTATTTTTTTACTTGAAATCTGCTGAAGACTCAAACGTGGTGGTATCCAGTTGTGATATTCACAGAAACAAAAATAAATAATGAAATAAAAATGACAAATCAATCTGTTTGTTATTCATCATATGAAATTGACCTATTAGACTGTGGTCAGTGCTGCACCTTTGATGATTTTCCTCTCTTTGACTTGGGATTTGCATAGTTATATACCTGTAATTACATAGTTAATTACATAGTTATGCAATGAATTTCCTTTACATTCAATTTAGATTCTGTATTCAGGCTTTTGTAAGCTCATTTGTTATTTGATTTAAAGTGTAAAAGTAAATATCTCCTCTTCTGCTTAAAAATGCAAATGTAGTATCGAATGAAAGTTAACATTATATAAGATCACTACATGCTTCTGTTATCGCTATCAATAACTGCAACTTCTCAAGAGTTAATAAAACAGTATGGTTGTGTGATGGATGTAAATGCATATCACGGTAATTTTGCAAAATATTGTCATTCTGGTATGAAAAATGGGCCTTTGTAACATTTTTAGTGTTTTTATCAAATGAGCAGCGCCTAAAGGGAAGAATTCTGTGATACAGAACATTATGCTCCTGATATATCGCCCATCCTGACATCTCAGAGAGTTTAGTGTTTGTAGGTGAGTTCACTGAGCAAATGCAGAGAGTGGTCTGGCCTGCAGGCAGCATGAATTATTGACATGGCACCTCCAGGTGTTTCAGTGCAGTGTCAGTGCTGTATAATAATGAGGATGGCCTAGTGTCTGCGCCCTGCCATAACAGAGTTTCTATCTTTCTATCAGGTGTTTGGAAACATTGAGTTAAATGAAGAGGTAGCCATCAACCACCACAACAACTTCCGCACCTTCTTTCAGGCACTAATGCTGCTGTTCAGGTAAAAAAAAATGCTTTTTGCAGGTTTATGGTGGTTGGGTTCAATTGACTTTTGGGGTAAAGTGATGCAGTTTTGAAAAATTTGATAAATCAGGACAAAGTAATGGATAAATATTAGAGATGCAATATGGGAATTGTGGGCCAATGCCAATTTCAAGTATTATTTATGTACATATCTTGCAATTCCCATACTGATACATAAACACTTACAAAATGTAGAAATTGGATTAAATCTCACTTTATTAGCAGTAAAGAGAAATATTATAAAAAAATATTTTTATAATTTAATATCATATATCTACCTGTCTTCAGTATTGAGTGCGCCTAGGAAACGTTCCCATTTGCATTAGAGGGGCTAACAAAGTCTCAGTCATTGTATATTCCACTAACATTAAGAAAAATGCTGCTGTTTGTGCCAGCTAAGTGAAACCAGATCAATTATACATACAGAAAACAGTAAGTGGCTATTAATATTAAGGCCACTGTCAATAATCATCAATAAAAGATAAAGTGTTCCCATCTTTATAAGATGCTGGATTGCAGCTTGTACATTTGAATTTCCTCACCCCATTTTCATCAGGGCTGTGTTTCTGGACACAGATAAGTCCTTTCTAGACCAAAAAGGACTTACAGGGGAGAATGGCCATTGGAGGTGCTTAGTTATATATGCTGTGAGCATCTAAAATATCTAAAAATATTTGTATTATTTTTGTGTTGTGTATGTGAACATCAGGAGTGCCACAGGTGAGGCTTGGCATGAGATCATGCTGGCGTGTCTGAGTGTAAAGCAATGTGACCCGCTCTCAGGCTTGGGGAAAGAGTGTGGCAGTGATTTTGCGTACTTCTACTTCGTCTCCTTCATCTTCCTCTGCTCATTTTTGGTAGGTGGACACACACATACATTTTTCAGAGTTTTGGCTAATGGCAGCTTAAATTGCAATCATAAAAACAGTTAAACTTACAGAAATGTGTTTATTACCAAGTACACTGTCAATTAGCTTCCATTATTGTCTTTTCCAAATTTAGCAGCTTTAATGTGTGGATTTATCTGCACAACACTGGTACAACCATGTCTTGTCATATATCACTAGAAAGCTTGTCATGTAGAAACTAAGTGGACTATCCAAATATATGTTTCATTTGTACTAATGACAACATTCACACAAATGAAGCATATTTTCTGAGATCCCACCACGTGATGCAGTTCTGAGTCCCATTCTTAAAATCGTTTTTCTCAAAATCAGCTTTTATCTAAAAATCTCTGCTTCTGGAGTAGCAACATTCAAAAATGTTACATGATCACACCTCACCCTCTTCTGAAGGATTTTACAGAAAGAATTTACTGCTAACTGGTGGATTTATGCTAGAGTATAACTACGAAAAGACCAGTAAACATTTTCATATTAAGTCTTTTTACAGTAGCCGTAAAATGCAGTTTTAGCCTGTTTTGGGTCCTTAGCTGAGCCTTAAATTAATTAAATTTGATAACTAAAAAAACCAAAATCTTATATTTGGAATTCATATATCTGGATTACTGGCAAAATGGCCACTGGGATGCTTGCAAAAAGTAGTTAATCACTAAAAGAATGAAATCCCAGCAAACTGTCCTGTTTCCACCTAATGAAATAAACATTTCTTACAATTCTAACATCATCCAAAAGCTAGATTTGTGGTTTTTAATGCGTTTATGTAATGTAGAATTTTGCTTATGTAGAATATGCTTATATTTGATTAGATAACATTTTCATTTACATATTTAAATGTAATTTTTTTTTTCAAACTTGTAAGAACATCAGTAAGCATTTGGCAGAGATTCATTATGATGTCTGTTGTTTTTAAAAAATACCCTATTCACATTCCAGGATATTAGCTTAACCTCTGTCTGCCGCATCTGAATTGTATGGTCAGTTATCATGGACAGTAATTTCAGCATATTTCCATGAGCTTAGAAAGCAACTCAAAACTCACTTATAACAGAAGACAGTGGGAAGTTTCAGCATCTGCCCATTGACATCTATTATAAATCTGTTTTGAGTCCAAATGCTGGAATATTTCTTTAATTCTTCCCCTTCAGATGCTGAATCTGTTTGTGGCTGTCATCATGGACAACTTTGAGTACTTAACTCGAGACGCCTCCATCCTCGGACCTCACCACTTGGACGAGTTCATCCGGGTCTGGGCCGAGTACGACCCTGCTGCCTGGTATGCATCACACACACTCCTGAGAGTTAGTCCCTCCTTAACAAGAGTGAACAGCTTTAGACAGAGAGTTGAAGTAAAACGGAATAGGTCAGACACTGAGCTGTGGCCCTGAGTGACCATGGCACTAAACTAAAGCAGGACTCCAAGGATGTGTCTATGCTGCCACATGTAAATCTGATGTTCTGCATGACGACAATGAGACTTTTTGTAGAGCTGACTGGTGTAAAGCCTCTGTTGTCTGCTTAGCTTAAACCAGCTGAGCTCAGACACACATAGCATTGCGTAAAAAATAAATAAAGAGCTGTTGGTTTATGTCCTTTCAGAACTGTTTGAGAATGTGTAGTTTTAACAAGCATATAACTGCATTGCTGGTTCCTATGTCAGACTGCTCACTACAGAAACACCTGTTTCACTGTAAAAGAGGCATTTCACCAACAGAGTACCTTTTTGTCCCACCATAAATCATACATTTTTAAAGAATGCATGCACAGATTAGAAAATAATAAAAAGTTGTACATTACAAAGCCCTTTGTCATGGCATGGCTAAAATAAAAATAAGCCCCCCAGAGCTCAGAAACAGAATTCAAAAACAAGCAGCTCTGAGCAAAATATATATTTATTTATTTATTTATTTTCTGTTCTTACATTCTAGCCTCAACATAATGTTGATAAACCAGCTAAACAAAATTGAAATCAACTAAACAAAAAAAGAACTGTATGCAGGTCTAATATAAAATATAAAATACTACGTATGTAAAGGCATGAGACTCCACAGTTGTGTTTCTATCAAGAGCATACACACGTACATCTTCTGGAATTTTACTGTTCATAATCAGTAAATTAGACCTGAAAATAGATATACAGCCACAAAATAGCCCATAATAACTTACCAAAGGTTGTTATAGTCAAAATAAGCCCATGTGCAACGTTAGCAAATTTCCTGTTTAAAAATGCATAGACATGCTAGCTGGCTTTACATTTTCTCGCATCATGACAGGTGATACAAACAAAATCATGTAAGAGTGCAGGGTATATAGCAGGGTAAAGTACAGTACAAGAGTACGGGGTATAAAAGGAGCATCCAGGAAATGCCTATGTGAATGTCCTCTATGAGCAACAGTAGGTCGAAACTCAAAAAAATGCATAGACAAATAGTCCACCTGTTTGCAAGGATTTTAGGTATTTCATGCTCTACAGTGCATAAAATTCTCAAGTTTTAAGGAATCTGTAAAAATTTCTGTTCATAAAAAGCAAAGCCAAAAACCACACCTGAATGCCCATCCCTCAGATGGCACGGCTTTAAAAATCAGCATGCCTCTGTGATGGATATCAACTCAGGGATTCAGGAGTACTTTGACAAACCATTGTCATTAAACTCTTCATCTCTGCATCCACAAATGCAAGTTAAGACTATACTCTGTACAACAGAAGCCATATGTCAGTAACGTCCAGAAACGCTGCTGACTTCTCTGGGCTTGAGTTCTTTTGAAATGGGTTAATACACAGTGGAAACGCGTGTTGTGGTCTAAAGAGTGAACATCTCAGATTATTTATGGCAATAAGGGTTCTCTGGGCTAAAGAGGTAAAGGACCATCTAGGTTGTGACCAACATGAAGTTCAAAAGCCAGGGTCTTTCATGGCATGGACAATAAAGGCACCGAAAGATATACATGTTTTAGAGCAACATATGCTGCCTTTTAGATGACATCTTTTTCATGGATGTCTATGCTCATTTTAACATGAAAATGGCAAGAAATATTCTGTAAGTTTACAACATCATGGCTGCATAATCAGAGGATGGGGGTGCTAGATGCAAAGTTTGTAATTTAAACATCAAACATTGTGTTTTTATACAGTTTTCAATTTAATACAGGTCAAAGCGAATGTACTAATTACTGCTTTCTGTTTTTTTTATTTATTTTTTTTTTGGCATTTTGTGTACTGTCCCAATTTTTTTGGAGTGGAGTTTGTATAATCTAAGTACAAGAATATGACATACATGACACATAAATCTGTAAAATGACATGCTGAATGAAATCACACTAGACATGAAAATCATTTGAGAATTTGAAGGTAAGACATAAACAATAAGCTGTTGGGCTAGACAAAGAAAAATAATTAATTCATTAATAATAATAATAATAATTATTATTATTATTAACCGCTAAAAGAGATTTCAAGGTAACATTCCTGTTGTTAAAGATGATTACATTTTCTGATGGATTTTTGTTCAAAGCAAAATACTGTTCATTTCCAGTTTCCAGTTTCATTCCTCAAACCACTTTGAAGAGCTGCAGACAAAAGCAAGGTCATTTTTTTGCATGGGTCAATAGGTTCAGTAACAGGGTGGAACACACAATGTGGGACATAGGAGTGTAAATAATTTTACTCCAGTGTCACTCTAATTTTAACAAAAATACATACATAAATACATAATGCAACTTTAAAATACCAAACCTTGTCAAAAAAGTAAACAAAAGACTTTAATTTAAAGAGAAATGATATATTTGAACATTTTATGGTGGGCCAAATAAGGGTACTGTAATGGTGGAATGTCTCAAAAAAATGTAAGACATGTATTGTGGCCTAACTTATGTCTGTTTTTTGCAGCGGAAGGATACGCTATATGGATATGTACAGTTTGTTGCGTGTTATTTCGCCCCCACTTGGCTTAGGAAAGAACTGCCCTAATAGGGTGGCATACAAGGTTTGAAATCTTACACACTGCCCCTGAAAAGGGCAGTGCTGTAGTACTAATTAATGCCCATAGATTGCTTGGTTATCATACTGACTGACCGGACATCTTGACTGGATTACACCCTCTACTAATTGAAATATGGGTAACCATGGAAACTGCAGGAAACAAAGCCACATTGCATACTATGTCCCGCGCTAATCCTATATGTCCTCAGTAAGCACTTCTGCTGTGTTTACTGTCAATATTGACAATTTAGAAGCCCAAACTAGGCTGTTCCTTGTGCAACGTGAGCTTTGTTTCTGTGGGTTTGATTGGTTAGTCAACTTTGTCCGTGCATGCATTGCAAAAAGACAAGGACAAGGCTGTAACCCCGTTCATCATCCAAGCCTGACCTCCCCATTTCGGCCTTGTGTTTCTTCTTTTGCGTATTGGATCCATCTCAACACACAGTGGGCAAGATGGCGTCTCACAGCCACAGCTTGACCTCAAAACCTCTGAATAGTGATCACTCAAATAATGACTGTTTCTTACCTTCTGATCATACTTTTCTTTTTATTTTCTTTCAATTCTCCACTGGTTTTCCTGCTCCCTCCCCTCCATATGTGATCTTTTGACCTCTGCACGTGGGTGCCACCTCCCTGTGAAGTGGGCACATATCCTACCTCGATATGTACGAAATGCTCCGCCACATGTCCCCTCCGCTAGGTTTGGGAAAGAAATGTCCGTCGCGAATTGCCTACAAGGTAGACCAACCCACCCTCTGTTTCTCACCCAAACCCACCAGCCGTCACTGAGCTGTTTCCGCCTTTTGTGTAGCTGCTGTTCTCTCGCTGGATAGTGTCGCAGTCAGTCTTCCTGTGCTGTAGCTGTGTCAGTAGCTTGTCACTGTCTTTTTGTCTTGTGCTTTTCTGCCTCTATGTGTAATTGTAACTAGTGCTGCAACTGGCAATTATTTGATTGATTGACCAATTGAACCATTATGCCTTCTGTCATTTCCTTTCACTTCTTCCCTGTGATGGTACCTTCACCATTCCATTCTTGGCTACAAGCAGTTTCTTCTTTTATGGTGAAAGAAGCCATATTGCCCCCTACAATTGACATTGTCAATGACTAGTTGACTCTCTCAACTAATCGTAGCTGTTTAATGGAGCGTCAGCGTGATCAGCACAGTATAGAGGGCAGTTGAGTGAGCACCTGTTGACACAGTGACTTTTTGCTGAGGATTAGTGATAGTATCAGTAGTTACACTATCATGATAGTTACACTGTGTACAGTCACAACCATAAATATTTAGATGTCAACAAAGTTATTGTTATTTTAGCTGTCTACCACAGCATATTAGAGTTGAAATTTAATCATGAAAATGAACTCAAAGCTCCTTCAGTATTTACATCCAAATCAGATGAACAGTTTAGGAATTACAACCATTTTCATAAATGCCACCTCCTTTTTTAGGATCTCAAAAGTAATTGGACAAACCAGAATTATCATGTATTAAATTGTCATTATTGGTATTTAGCTGCAAATTCTTGGCAGTCAATGACTGCTTGAAGCTTAAACCTATAAAGATCACCTGAATGCTGGGTGTCTTCCCTGGTGAAGCTCTGCCAACCCTGTACATTCCTCTTCTTTGCATTTAAAAGTCCTGGGCTGCTTTAACAGTATGCTTCAGGTCATTGTCCATCTGCACTGTGAAGCACAGTCCAGTGATTTTTTAAGCAGATAATATAGCCCTATACACTTCAGAATTCAACCTGCTGCTTTTGTCAGCAGTCACATATCAATAAATATCAATAAACACAAAGGAACCAGTTCTGTTGGCAGCCATACATGCCCATGCCATAACACTACCTCCACCATGCTTGACAGATAAGGTGGTATGTTTTGGATTATGTGCAATATGAAAATGGTTGTAATTCCGACATCATTCACGAGATTTGGATGCAAGCACCCTCAGATTAAAGCAAAGTCTGCACTTTTAGTTCATTGAACTCCAGTATGCTGTGGTAGACAGCTGAAGTAACAATAATATGTCTATGTCCAAATATTTATGGACCCGACTATAGGTGTTCTTTAGATTTTTTTTAATAAATTACGTCTCTTTTTTTCTTACATGGACTTACACTAAATCAATAAAAACATTAGTCATACCATAACAGTCAAACCACACTGTATACATGATCATATCTTAGTTAGGCTAGCAACCTCATTTGGAGTAATATTATGCTATTGGCGAGCATGTAAATGTAGTTACTGTGACCTCTGTTGTGCATCATTAAAGAAAAGAGTGAAAAATTAGGCTGCAGGAACGGTTCCTTTTCCAGAGAAGCACCTGTTTCACTGTGCTGGCCCAGCTTTAGCTGCTCTGCCCCTTTGAGAATGGCCTTTGGTCATTGAGTTTCCTCACCCTCTTCCAGCTGTCTAGATGGATAGAGTCTCAGAGTGAAGGGATACGAGCGGCTGTCTGCCAGGCAACTCTCCAAGGCCAAGCCATGCGCGTGTGAATGTGCCTGCGCGTGTGTGTGCACGCATGTGACGTCCTCCAGTGAGCTTCAAAACCCCTCCCACCATCGCTTTAGAGAGCAGTGAATTGATTTGGAGGAAAGAAAAGAAATCGTGCTGTAGATGTGCGTTCAGTGAAGCGAGTCGTGTTGCCCCCCCCCAATCCTTTTGCTCTCGTTCTCTTTTTTTCTTGTTTGTTGTTGTGGAAATGTGTCTTTCCAGGCAGGCCCGCTCTAATGAAGGCAGCGCTGTGCTTTAACCGTGCTTTAACAACGCAATCTAACTGGATACCCAGCTTTCTCCTCTGTCTCTCTTTCTGCTTGTCTCTCTCATTTTTTCTTCAGTTCTGTCCTTTTTGTAACCTTTGAGTGTGATACGGTATATGTTTCCCTTTTATTTTGTGTGTGAGTGGAACATGTGCATGTGTTGAGGGCAGCACACTATATCATCTATATTGTGATACAGGCCTTTGCAATAAGCAGGCTGCAATATGCAAATTAACCTCTTACCAGTCTGTGTTCTGTGGGTGTTTTGATGGATCAAGGCATTCATGTAATCCAACAAAAGCACATTTTATTGGTCAGAATAACGCAGGCTTGTGTTTTACACTTTTATTATGTTTGTGTATGTATTTAAAGGGCAAATTCATCTTTTTTTTCCCCATAATTTTTACATATCTCAATCTTTGAGATGAAAACATTCGTAGTCATTCATTGAGTCATTCAGAGTGTTTTGATGTGAAATGGTGCATTGGAGAGAAACATACCAGCTCAGATTTCTTTCCAAAAATATAGATTGAAAAAAAAGATAAACCGATTGAAGAGGAATTTTACCTATTTTACCTAAAATTTCAGCATAATCATATTTTCTTTTCAAGGGTGGTGATGGGCACCATCTCTACAACACAGATATTTAAATGTCTTAAATATGCAGAATCCTGCTGGTGACACCCCATGTAAACTGTGAACAATTTTGACTCTGTAAGTTTCTCTAGGATTGAGTATTTCATGTCAAGCCTCTCTGAATGACTGTGTATATCTTTACTTTGAATTTTGAAAAATTAGTTGAATTCCCCTTTAAACAACGAAGACCCTACACAGAAATAGAGCACAAAGTAAAAACAAAACTATATATTTTTGAATGTGTCACAATACGTACACATAGACTTGTGATGCTCATATTTTCTCCATATCGTGCAGCCCTAGCATATGCATGTGTGGTGGGGGGTGGTCTTTCATGGCTCTGTGGACTGGGCTGTAGGTAGGCCTGTACGCATCATGTCCCTTTCCCCCTTTTCCTCTGACTCTGTCTCCATGGTTACCACAGGAGGCGATGCTCCTTCATCCCTGAGGGAAGCTCTTCTTCCCCTCACTCTCTCCTGGCTTTGTGAAAGTGCAAGAAAACACAGTCATTATAGCCATCTTTATCATCTTTAACACTCATCTAAGTGATTCATGACTGACTGGCCCCGCTCTGTATGTATAATCTGATGGACAGTAATCTGACGCCTGTGTGTGCAGCTGTGTTTGAATAGAGAGAGAACAAGTGCTGTAGACTTTTAAGCCTGCATTTCCCTGATCAGTAGCGATTGTTTTATGAAGCGAACTTACTTGAAGCATATCATCGCTGTCATAAGTAAGCATCGAAACTTTTTGTTTTCTTTTTTTTTTTTTAACACTAGTTGAAAGTTCCCATTGCCATTTTTAAACTGTTCATGGCGAATCAAGTAACAGGAATGTCAAAAATCCAACGTTTTAAGTTTAAATAAAAACAGAAATTCATTTGCAGATAGTTTTATGCAACTCAGTTAAATGCTTTGAATTAAACAGTGCAAAGCAAAATAAATAAATTAGATGAACAGAAGCAACATTTGACATCAGTTCAATCCTAACAACACTTCAAATCAGCTTCTGCCCTGTTCCACTTTTTACAGCTTATATTAAAGTGCCCATGTCCTAAATTCTTTGTCCATAGGTCCATACATAACATATATGTGGGTTTATTTAGCTAAAACAATCCTAATTTATTTTTACATCATAACTTTTTATATTTTCTAACCCTTAATACTTGCTACTTTAAGGCACTCTGAGCCTTTAATACAGTTGTATGCAAAAGTTTAAACACCACTGGTCAAATGACATGTTTTGTTGATTTTCTAAGTAAAAATGAGTTAATGTGTCCTCTATGGGAAACACACTTAAATATGGATTTGTCTGCTAATTTTAGTGAACATTTCCATATATTTGTTAAGTTTAACATTGGAAAAAATAAAACTATACCATAACTTTTACACAGGTCACGTTTTATGTTTGTTTTGTTTGTTTGTTTGTTTGTTTGTTTGCAATGTGTCAAAATCAGCAAAATAATGCATTAATATGTGCAGAAATGTGTTCTCTGTAGAGGGTGTGTTAACTTAGTTTCATTTAATAAACAAAAAAAAATCAACAAACAAACTTTACATCATGCAGTAACAAGCAATTGAGCTAGTTTCCATTGCTTGTTACTACATGACCTGGGGAGTGAATGGTATGTTTTGAAACTTTAACTTTGTTTAAATATGACATCAAACTCCTTATTTCATTAAAGCAAGGAAAATTGGTTTCCTATATGTGGGCCCTTTAACAGATTAACAAGAAGATTGTTTTTCTTCTCCTATAAAGTTAATGTTTCGAAGGTTTCAGCTGTTCTAAGGACAGTGAAGAAATGTTCAGCTCTAGCAGAAAGCCACAGCAGTGAACTGAAAAAGGCTGAAGCAAGTGATGTGAAATAGTTTGTGAAGTGTTGCACCCACATTGCAGCAGATGCACTGTCCATTGTGTGCTACGCATCTCCTGTCTTCATTCTCCTTATTCAGCATCTGCATGAGATATGAATGCTCTCTCTCTCTCTCTCTCTCTATATATCTCTCTCTCTCTCTCTCTCTCTCTCTCTCTCTCTCTCTCTCTCTCTCTCTCTCTGAGATGTCCTAGAGAGTCGTCTGCTGTGCTGGGTTGAGCACATAAAAACATTTCTATAAAAGGTTTATTTCCCATAAGATTCTGCAGCTTTAGCTCCTTCTATTCAGAAGCATCTGCATATCAGCACTGAGCTCTTTCACCCAGCACATCCAGCAGACTCTCTAGGAAGTCAGTACGTGTTCTGGTCTTTGCTGTGTGGCTCAGTCACGTGTGTTTCTGATGCTGATGTCCTCATGTGTGCGACTCTCCGCAGCGTTTGGTGAGGATGAACATGCCCATTGCAGATGACAACACTGTTCACTTCACGTCCACGCTGATGGCTCTCATACGCACCGCCCTGGATATCAAACTGGCATCAGGTGCGTGCCCACTTCATGCCCACTCAGCTCCCAGCACTGCGCCACCCACTACCGGCCATGACGTACCTCGCTTTAACCAGTTGCTCAAACGCCTCCTACCTTCCCCTCACTTGCACTAATACAAAAAAATCAATGATTTCTTATGGGGATGTCTCGATCCTATAGAAAATCAGTATCAGTGCAGAATGAGGCATATTTTAATCCAGTTAACACTTAAATGCCTATTTCTGCCATGTGATCTACCTTTTTCCATTAATAATGCAATTTCTCAGTGCTGTTACTGCATTTATTTTGACATGTAAAGAACAGAAACTAACAAATTTGTAGAATTTTATTTGGTTTGCCTCAATAAAACATAGGAATATAAGTGACACATCAGTTGTACTTTACAGTTACTCTGATGAAGGAAAACAGTAATAAGCATTTACCAATCTGAACTGTGCCCTGAATGGTTGCACACGTTCTCTCAAAACAATTTAACAACTTTTTTAACAACATTTAAAAAGGTACTGGGCTCTTTGAGTACATATGTGCAACTACTCCTACTTCCAGTCCTTTTTTGGACTATTTTATCTGATTGCACTCTTGAGATTTGCAGTAGTGAGCAGATTTGTCTACAAACAGACCCCAGAGTGGTCTTCAGCCGCTGCCCTTTTTGCCTTCAGACTGTATATGAGGCATGTATGTTAATTGTGTTTTTATTTGGCCCTTCTTTACGATATATTTAAGCAAGGCTTAGGTCAGTCTTGACCCGGGAACGGAGCTCGTGGGTGGGCTTTAGTTACACGAGCTTCATCACTTTTGGCTGCCTGCTTAAGCGCAGTACTGACCGCCTACACTGTTAGAAGGAAAGGAACATTTTTCATTCCTCAAGGTACAAACAATGTAAATGTACACTCAGAGGTACAGCAATGGTTTTAAGGTTCAAGGGTTTTTTTCACAGGAAAAAGGTACATAATTGTTTAAAAACAGATGCTAGAAACAAGACAGGGTGTGTGGAGTCAATTTAAAAAATATTGTACAATTATGTTCCCTAAATAAATGTACTGAAGATGCACCCTTGAGGGTACCACCCCAGTGAGAGTTCAGTACCTTTTTTCTGAGAGAACATGGAGATTCACCAGCACCACATTGCTGAACATCCTGAAACAACTGATAATGCCTCTTTATGAGAACATTACATTATGTAGTTGAACAACAAGAAAACATACTATAAGCAGTATGGGCATTAAATGACCTGCTAATCAATAAATAAAGTTTTTGTTATTGTAATATCAAGGATTTAGTTGAGACAGTGTGAAACTCGTAAAGAGACCTCTTGCTTGAGAAGATTTATACTTCATACATTATTGCCTTGCAAACAGGAGGTTGCTGGTTTGAAAAGTCTGCTCTGACAAGAAAACTCATATCATCATGACACTGTTATTTGAGGCTGCCGTTGGCCAACATTACATTTTCTTTCCTCTGATACTTGATTAGATTTGTCCCGTCTGTATAAAAGTGAACGCCATGATGTATATTAAATTATAATTTCCATTTTCAATTCAGGTTGCCCTTTTTTTGCTCAGTGCTGATTATCAGAAATGTACAGCTCATTACAGATAATAACCTCACAAACAGTCAGACTGAGGCAGCATGTTCTCCGCACTGTTTCTGCACTGAGAGAGTGGGGGAGGGGCTCAGTAATGTGACAGGGGGCACTGTTTCATTTGTGCACTTCAATCTTTCGCTCAAAATCACACAAACAGGCCCTAAAACACATTTTAACATTTAACAATAAATAGCATAAATATTATTATTACTTACATTAATATTAAAAACAGCTGATTGTAAATATGCAGCTCAATTTGAAATTATAAATAAAGGCTGTCTTGCAGTGTATCTGAGTTTTAGCACTCAGCATGAATCCAGAAAGACATAAAATCAGTGGAAAACATGGCTGGATTGTGCTAATTATTTATTTTTACTCAAAAATGACATAGCATGAACCACCATCAAAACATTTTCAGCTCTCAGACACTCCAGACAAACAATGTCTGAAAAAAGTATCTGAAGTGACACTTCAGACACACTAAATCTAGCAAAATATAAGCAAAAAAGTACAAAATTTTGCAGACACTAAGTAAATGTTTGTTAGCGAAATTCATGAAGATAGCAAAACTCTTTTAGCATTTACATGTCAAATAATGGCATATCTGAGTAGCCTAGGCTACCCTGAAAATAACAACATATGGCATGTGTGAGTGGCTCATGTAAATACTTTATAATTGCAGTTGTAATTGTGATTGACCCAAATACCAAAAATTATTCCAGATTGTTCAGCAGCATTTAAAATAAATGGCCATAAAGCACAGCTTGCGTAAAAAAAGGCTGGTTTCACTAACGTGTGAGCACTATTTGGTTATATTATCCACAGAACTCCTTCGGGACATCCCTAGATTACTCTGACTCTTGAGCTGACTGGTTCCTCACCCAGGAATAAATGAAGATTTTACGAGCCACCAGAGTGCACTTGTACCATTTAGCATAATGAAGTAACGTGACGAACGCTTCGGTGTTACTGTTGCTCTTGTTGGCAGGTGTTCTGGCCCAGCGGCTGTGTGATGCTGACTTGAGGAGAGAGATTAATAGAGTGTGGCCCAGCCTGGCACCAAAGACTGTGGACCTGCTGGTCACCCCTCATAAACGTGAGTTCTGTCCCACTGCATTCTGGGATCTCTTTTTTAAAATGTTGATGTTAGATCAAATGAAACACAATCAGGTGTTCTAGAACTTCCATTGCTGTGATGTCATGGTTATGGTTCAGTTTAGAGAACAATGGATATTCTAATGGTTTTCAAAATGAAGGTATTATTAGGACATTAAAGCCATTTGCTGCTTCACTAATTCTGAGTATGCTTTATATGTATTTGCTGCCATCCAGTGGTCATTTATGTCTTTTTTTTTTTCCCCCAATGCTTTCCGATTTTCTAAACAATAGGGAGATATTTGCGGTTTCGTTTGTCTGGCAATAAGACAGCGGTTTATATAGTCACTAAGCGAGCAGTCTGTGTAATCTTGTTCCTGGTTATATGTTAAATATCAGTTTTGACATGTGGTGATAGTTTTTCAGCCACCTTACTTTTCCTCCCTATTTCTTCAATCTCAGTCAATGCTGAATATGTTAATAAAGGATTACTCTACTGCTCCTCACTCTACACATCTCTGTGTGTTAGATAACGAGTTGACGGTTGGGAAGGTGTATGCTGCCCTGATGATTTTTGATTACTACAAGCAGAACCGCGCCAAGAGGCTTCAGCAGCAGCAGCCTTCTGGAGGCCCACAGGTATGGAACTCAGAAAGGTATGAAAGTGAACTGAATGAGATCAAAGGATGCACTGTGATTTTGTAATGTATTTTGTAATCAATTAACTTTTTCATTTGAGGTTATATGGGATTAACCCTTAGAAATTCGTAGTTATTACTTTTGTTTTGCTATACTATTCAAGATGTGATTAATTATGTATTAAATTACATTTATATTACACATTTAATTACGTTTACATGTGATTTACATTGCGTATCAACAGGTTCAAGTCTGCACTGTAGACTTTTTTCGTTTGGTTCAATGTCAAGCTGTGACCAAAGCACAGCAAAAATGTGAAGAATGCTGGTAACACTTTGTAATAACAAGTCCCTATAAATAGCAATGTATCTAATTATCTTATCTAAGGGTTTGGTAATGTTGGTTAATAATTATGCCATTACAACTTGTTTCTTTAATAAGTGCTACCATTTGAATTATTAACCATTTACTCAGTACTATACAAATAACCAAAGCACTCTAAATGCTTTTCATGAATCTATTACATTGAGGCGTAATAAGTAATACAGTATATCTTTATGAACACATTATAAAGTCGCAACAGTTAATGATTGAAAATGTTTATATTCACTGCTATATAATGATTAACTAAAGATTATGAATCACAGGTAGAACATAACTACTTAAATGTGCAGTGTGTAGGATTTAGTGGCATATAGTGGTAAAGCTACAGATTGCAACCAACTGAATAACTCTCCCTCACCCCTCCCTTTCCAAGTGTGTAGTAGAACCTGCAGTAGCAATTTTTTCATGATTTTGACAGTGAAGATTCACCATCCTTTGCTTTTTCTTGTGCTAAATAATAAGTATGATCCTCCATTTGTCAAAATTCACGTTCTCAAACATCTCACAACACAAAATGGTTAGCCAGCTCCAGCAGCAACCATCGAGTCTTCATTTTTCTACGTCTTCCAGCCAGTGCTATAGTGCCACCAATTCAAGCTGTTGCTTCAGTGTAAAAAATGTAAAAGGCAATTTTTAGAGCCAGTGTTTAGTTTGTCTGTTTTGGGCTGCTGTAGAAACATGTTGCCGCAACATGGTGTCCTCTGCTGGCAGAGGACCTGTTCCGTATGTAGATATGAAGGGTTCATTCTAAGCTACAAGTACACTAATGAAATCGTGCTTTTGTTTTTGCTTGCAACTTTTAGGGGTTAAAACATCCAACACATATTACTTCTGTTATCTCAACCACAAATTGTGTTGCATTGTAAACTGCTCCCTGTCCTGCAGAGTAAAATGGGAGCACTCTTCAAGCCCATGCTGCCTCTCACCCACTTACACGATCAAGAGTCATCAATCAAGAGTACCAAGCTGCCATCCCGTCCTCTACCTGATGCAGCTCCACAGCCAGAACTCCCACCCACATCCCCTCTCCTGACCAACGGGGAGGCAGTGTGAGTGTCTCAGAACACTGGACTTGTTACTATTGACACTATTATTTATTCAGCAAGTGCCTAACATTATAAAATGCCCAATGTGGTCATGCATAATAGTCAGTCTATTAGTGATGTGTAAGGTAAGATGACTTGTCCCAGTGGGCGTCTGTGGGTTTGCTCATCCGTCAGGTTTTTTTTAGGTAAATGTAATTTTGGGTTGAGGGGGTGTGGATTAGTACATGACTAAATGGAAAATTCCATAAAACTGGTTGGACTTTGTGTATGTGTGATCATAGGCAAAGCCAAAGCAGTGCCATGAAGAAGTCTCCATCAGAAGACACACCTCAGGAAGGAGTGCTGCAGAGGAGCAGAAATTCTGTCCAGCGGGGTCTTTCAGAAGATATGCCAAACACAACAAAACCTCAGGTACTTAAGTCCCCTGTCAGACAAATCTGGTAGGTATAACCAGCTTATGTGGCCCACCAGCAATTCAGCCAAGTAACCCAGTCTTGCAACCCACACTTCTGGCTATGACCACAGCATCTGGTGTGTTTTGTCTTTGCTCACCATGGCCAAGAATGTTGAAGAACTGTTTTTCATTGTTTTTCTGTGGCGTTGATGCATATGATTCTCAAAACAGTCCTGCATCACTAAACCAAGTATACAATGGCTCAATGGCATCCTGTGACAGCAACACCAAAAAGGTGTTTGGAAAGTGCCTGTAGGCTATAGCTTTCTCTAAAGGGCTCATTGCTGACACGGTGTGCAAAGCAGGAAACAGGTAGCCTGATTAAGAAAAGTGTATTTTAAAGCAGACAGACAAAAAACAGTGAATGGATGTCTATACACACAGCAGCGTGGGTAGCCAATAAGCCATCTTAGCATACAGTATTCATCAAACTGTGTACCCGTGTTGGTGTAGGGTCCATCCACTGTAGCCCACTATAGACCAGTACAGTCCACTTTAGTTCATTGTAGCTCACTCTAGACCACTGTAGTCCACTGTAGTCCACTGTAGACCACTGTAGACCACTATGGTCCACTTTAACCCATTGTAGACCACTAAAGCCCACTATAGCCCAATATAGATTATTACAGCCCAGTGTTGCCCCCCTATAGCCCACTGATGTGGGTGGGTTGAGCATCTGAGGCTGAGACTACATAGAACAACACTGTTGCCCTCCTTAGCTCACTGCAGTCCACCGTTGAACTCTGTAACTCACTGCAGTCCACTGTTACCTATTACAGCCCACTGCAGGCCACTGTAGGCCTCTGTAGCCCACTGCAGTCCAGTTTAGACCACTGTGTTCTTTTGTCCTCCTGCAACTCACTGTAGCCCATAGACCACTATAGCCTACTGTAGCCCATTGTTGAACACTGTGGTCTACTGTAGTCTGCTGTAGCCCATTGTAGACCACTGCAGCCTAATGCAGCCCACTGTAGCCAAGCAGTAAATTATGCAAGCCTCTAAATTCCTACATAGATCACTGAAGGACATATACTTATTTGCAGTCTCTCCTAACTCCTAATCAGTCCAGCATTTACACAAGCTCATCACACATTTGTGTCTTTGTCAAACCGTCGTGCATGTAAATATCTCTGTACTGTATGTGTTGTGATACATGTGTATCTGTATGTCTGTATATATTCGTGTGTGCTATGTGGATCTTGCAGGAATTAGTAGAGATGACGGATATGGAGAATGATTCTGATGTAGGGGGCTTCTCCACACTGGAGGGCCACGGGAGGGCAGCCTCGATGCCCAGACTTAGTGCGGGCGTCCAGGTAAGCCTCTGATGCGTCTCACTCTCATTCATCCCTCAGTCTGTCATGTGACTGGCAGCATTAGTTCATACACAGATGGTTGTAGTAATAGATTTGCTGAAGAAGAGCAGTTTGCTGATGTGATTCCAGAGTTACCATTTATTTGATGCATAGTCATGGCCAAGAGATTTTCAAAATAAATGGATCTACAACAGGTAAAACAACTGAAGGAGGGAAAAAAACAAACAAATAAGACAAAAAGACATTCAGCTGTGTTCATCCGTCATGACATTGGATGGTGGGTGAATGATTTTGATAGCATGGATGAATGGATGGATTTGATTGGATAATTTGGGTGGGTGGATTATATATATAAACATAGAGAAGGTAGAGATTTCAAATAAATGTATTAAGAGGTAAAATGGACAATAAAAAAAAACACCTGTCTATAACTCTGGGACTTGGTAAGTGTGTGGAAGTATAAATGTTAGTAAGAATGTTTTAATGATATTTTTTCAGTCAAGTATATAGAAATATATCAGCATATTTTGAAATATATCAGCTAGACCTGACCTGTGATTCATGCTACTTTACTTATTTTATGTTTTTATATTTTAGGTTTTGACATTTTATTCTGATGAATTTTATCCAAAATACTTTGAATCTCTTTGATGTATTTTTGTGTAATCTCTTGTAGTCATATTCTTTACTTACTTTGTGTTTAAATATCAAAGAACTGCAATTCAGGTGGTTATTTGTGTATTTAAAATGTGCAGTGTGTGTTCATTTTGTTAATTCATAGAGACGTTTGTTCATTTTATACCTAGATAATGAACTAGTTTCCCTTTAAAAATGTATGTCATTGTGCATTTAGCTGTTTCTTTTATTTTACCACCAATGGTCCATGTAGTGCAGAGGTAGAGAACTGAGGGCTGGAGTCCAGCACAGTTTGGTGATATCCCTGCTGTAACATGGTAATTAACTGCTGAGTTGAATCAGGTGTGGATAAACCAAACTGTACTAAAAACGACCCCTCCAGATTTTTGAGCTATCACAGTCTTTCCTGTTGTCTAATATGTCCGTCTGATCATTTTGCACCTGTATGCTAGTTTGTTGTCTTGTCTGTTCCTGTCTTTTCTCGTCTGTTCTTGTCTTAATGTGTCTCACTTTTCTGTCCGTCCATCTCCCCTGCATACTGTCTCCTGCACACTTTCATTCTACTTCCTTCTTCATCAATCTCTCAATCACATCTTCTCATCTCACATTGAAACTTCAGCCTCATTTATGCCTGGTCATTTCATGCAACTTATGAAGCCTGTGAGGGTTGCAAGCTTTCGTAATCTCTGATATCTCCGATCTCATAAACGGAGAAATGACCAGGTGTAAACAGGGAAATGACCAGGTGTAAACAGGGAAATGACCTAGTGTATACAGGAACACTACCAGTTGTACATGGGCAAATGAGCAGATGTAAACGGGGGAAGGATCAGGTGTTAATAGAGGAATGACCAAGTGTAAACAAGGAAATGATCAGGTGTAGAGAGGGAGACTAAATGTAAATGAGCCAATGTAAATGGAGAAATGACCAGGTGTAAACAGGGAAATGATCAGGTATAAATAAGGAAACTACCAGTTGTAAATGGGGAAACTACCGGTTGTAAATGGGGAAACTACCAGGTGTAAACAGGGAAATGACCAGCCGTAAACAGGGAAACGACCAGGTGTAAACAGGTCATTATTTAAAAAGGTCTTGTTCATACTCCTACATGTAACTGAATCATCACATATCTTTTCTCTGCTTTGCCTCAGTACTGTCTCAGTGTCTGTGTTCACCTGTTCCCCCACTCCTCTGCTCTCATGTCTGTTTTACCCCCCCCTCCACTTGCTCTGATGCTGTGTGTGTGTCCGTGTCGGCTGTGTGTGTGCGCCCCTGCTCTCCTCACCTGTGTGTCCTCTTCCTGTCCCACAGCGGAGCCACTATCGCCAAACCACCGGGACGTACCTAGCAGTATGTACAACTGTTTAGACCCCCTCTCTCTCTTTACCTCTCTCTCTATCTTTCTTTCTCTCTCTCACTCACACCCACACTCATTTCTGTGTTGGCCTATATGTGCTTTGCCCATTCCAGTCCATGCTCTCTTAGCTTGCCTTATTGACTGATACAGAGATATAAATAGGTTATGTCAGGTTAACAAAATCTGATAAATCTGTTTATCTGTAGAGTGATTTTGTTTTAAAGTTAGATCATTTGAGAAGATAATAATACATCATGGCCATAGTGACTCATCATATTCTATTATCACATGAAAAAGCTCTTTTGCTTTTTTGGGTGGGTCGTTATTAATTGTATGTATATAGTGGGTGTGTATTGTGTGTGTGTGAGTGTAGTGTACGTGCAGTGTAACTGTGGATTCTGTTCGGGTGGTGGTAGTGGTGCACTCCTCTCTTTCTGCATCCTTCTTTGTACAGGGTTACTTAAGGTCTTAGTTCAATCAGAAAACATAAATAATCCTTTTATGGTATTAGAACGCGTCTATATTTGTTATAATTTCACAAATGATTTGCATGATGCGCATGAAATTCTGCCATGACCTGATACAGCGGTACACTTTTAAAAATAATGGATGCTAAGTGGTTCTCTGGAAAAAAAACACTTTATTTGATATTGAATCTTATCGTTATGTGGAGATTCTTTAAACTTAAATGGGCATTCAGGCTTAAAACTATCATTAAATATATTATTGTAGTGTTAAGTAATAATCTGTAACACAGCATTGTAAAGTATCCCTCAGCCTCATGGCTTTGACAGAATTCACTATTTTCTATCCTTTCTGAATTTTCTTTCATCGGTGTGTTTATGTGGCTGTCAGTTCAAGTTCGAAACTTTAATTAAACCCAACATAAATTTCATTTAGATACAGTCAGTAATTAGAAAAAATAAAGAAGCACTAACTTTACCTGGAATTGTAACACTTCTTTACTATGCTGTGATTGTTTTGTTGACATATGCCGCAACAATTTTTTTGTGTATGAGATATCAATATGATTTAGTGTAGTTGTAGACATACATCGTTTACACAGTTTTATGTTTGAATTGCTTTGTTTAGCCCCCTAAAATCTGTAACCCCACTTGTCAGACCGAATTTGCACCCTGGGGCATCGTCATCGGCAGATACCAAAAAAAACGGCTTCTATTATTATAATTATATTTGGCATTGTTCCAGAGAACTCATCTAGGGACTTTTATTTTTTTAAAAGTGTATATTAGGTAGAATTCAGAACTAAAGCCCACAGCAGTGTTATCGCTTTTTCATTCCTACAGTGTGACTGGTAACCATGGTCAAGATGATGTGGTCAGAGTGGATGCACAGCTTTGGAAGTGTTGTAAAGCTTGTGCCACAGTGTGGCACTAGTGAGTTGGTTTGTGTCAGACTGCGCTGATGAGCCAACACCTGAAATCTTGTTTTTTCACCAAGCACTGGCCAGTAGATTGAAGAATCCAGCAGCAAGCACTGTTGTTTAGTTTATATTTAAAATACAGACCCACTATTCAAATAGCAAAGAAGCATGACTACATGCTGATTCTGATGATTTGCCAGTTAAAAAAAATCTCCTTATATAAAGCACTCAGTAGTAGGTGTTTGAAGGCCTTTACGATTCTTCTTTGTGCTGTGGCTGCTGCTTGGCTTTGGATAGTTCTTCTAGCAACTATTCCTGGAACTTCATCTGTGAATGTTGAGCAGCATCTCGATGACAGCATTCGAACAAGAGAGTGTTTGCATCGGACCTTGGCGGTGTTCCTCTCCTGTTCTTCAGGACGTGTGCGTGTCAGTCGTAGGTGTGACCTGCGCATCGCTCTAAGAGTGACAGTGCGTGTGGTGTCCAGCTGGTGTGTTTGGTGTCCGGCTCTCCATGGTGATCTGTCACTTTGGTTAGCTGTTCTGTGAGGTGCAGTCCCATTTGGACCTCTTTCTCTCTTCTCATCTCTCTCTCTCTCTCCGTTTGTCCACCGTCAAGCCCATCGCGGATGTGAGCCCCATGCGGCGCTCGGCCTCTTCTTTAACTCCTCAGAGAGGTGGGCAGGAGCTCAGCCTGAGGGACTTCGCTCTGGAGAGGCCTCCAGCAGCTCCTGCTCCCACCCCGGCCCAGGACAGAGAGAGGGACAGAGTGCATCATCATCATCACCACCACCACCGCTGCCACCGTCGCAGAGACAAGAAGCACAAGTCACTGGACCGAGCCATCAGTGAGGAACAGCCAGGCTCTATTGGTGAGAATACACTTTCATACATGCCACAGACCTAATTAAGAGGTTCTGGAACACTGAGTACTGAACACTGCAGGTCGATGGGCTGGGTCCAGGAATGCATAAGACCAGCATTAAAGAGATTTTTTTTTTGCTTAGATAAGCTGTTAAGATATAAACAGAGTCATTCAGAGTGGTTTGGTGTGTGATACTCCATTCTAGAGAAACCTATTGAGTCACAGTTGTTCACAGTGGTGGTGATAGGAACCAGACATCTGTAGAGTGTAATGCCTTTAAAAGCTCCCTCACAGAAAACTATAGCACAAAATGGTTGTGAATATCAAAGATTTATGATAATTTTGAGATTGTATGTATTTTTTAAACCTACTCATGATGGAGAGGTTCTAAGGCAAAGTAATACTGAATAAAAAGACTATTTTTTTGTTGGTTTTACTGCTATTTTGCTATTATCAACATGATTATAAACGCTCAGAAGACATATGCAGGTTCACTAGTCGTTTTGGAGGGAAAATAAGATGTCTATATTTGTTATGGCTGTGTTAGACATCATGACTCCTATCACCACTATTGTAAAGAAATTCGAACACATTTCTTATCAAACCTCTCTAAATGACTTAATAATTAAGTATAGAGAAATATTAAAAATTGGGTTGAATTCCCAATTAAAAATGTGTGTTACATATGTGTGGTAGGTTTATCTAAAATGTTGGTTCTTAGAATGAACAAGTGCTTTAACAAAGTTTTTAAGGAACAAATATTCTCTTACATAGAAGTTTCTGAAACACAGTTACAAACTCAGCATTTTTGCAAAATCATGAGTAATAATGTAACCATGACACGAGGCAGTTGTTTTACTGAAGATTAATCACTTAAACAACTTAGATTCATAAAACATACCACCAGAGTTAACGTGCATAGTGTAAGTTCCTAAATGATGATTACCTGGAGTGTTTTACTGTTTACTTGATATGTGGCACTACTGCACTTTGTCTGCATGTCATTACCGATTCATACCAGAACACTGACCTGCAAAAAAAAGTGAAACTGTGGCGTTGTTCACTTCATGTGGATGTGTGATGTGGCTTGTAATGCATACGTGATTAACTGAAATATCATACTTAGCTATGTTTTAGTCCGATTTTGTTATGGGCATATAGAGGGAGATGTTTGGAGATAGTAGTATTATGGTTTCATGCATTCAAAGATCTCATAAATGTATGTCTTATATCAGATTTGGGTTTGGCTTGTTTTGGCACAACTTAAGCCCTCGTCCCTCCACCAGCAAAGAAATGGAAATCTTAATTAGATAAATAGAAGTTCAAATATAGTAGGTGTGTACACCAAGGTTGGACTTCAAGAACTAGAACTGGACGCCCCTCTGACTGTGACTCACACATACAGTTAAATATATTACAGTTAAAATCTAAGGTGTGTTACTGTAAAAGCATATCACAGTGCTGTGACTTCTGTAAGACAGCGCTCAGATAAACACAACCACTCTGTCCTAGATGTTTTTCTATAACACCTGTTGAGTGAAGAACAGCACAAGTAGGAGGAACAATCATGGACAAAGTGATGAAACCAGCTTAGGAAACTTTAGCAGCTCTATACAGTAAATCAGCTTAACTTTCTCAACAGTAACTTGTGCAGACAAGAATGGAATGCTATATGTCTTGAAGTAGTCCCCTTGGAAAGGAAGTGTAGTGTGTGGATTGTCTGTGCCTGCAAGATATAATTTGGGTGGTATATTAGTTTCCACAGTAGATACTGAGAAAATCTAATTTAGTTCTAATGTAATTAGATCAGTGCCAAATGTCATAAATGCCATAGTAAGGCAGTTACATATAGTGCACTGAGCATAATCATATTTAATTGAAGTTATAGTCATTTTGGAGATAAGAGAAGTCATTTTGGAGGACATGAAAGTTGGAGGTGTCTGTCTTTATAGAGAGAGGAAAAAGGGCTCTTTGAAGGGAAGCCATAGAAAAAGCACTTTTGGTTCTCTAAAGAACATTTCATGAGAACCTTTTCGGTAACACTTTACTTGAAGGACATCTACATAACACATTCATAACATATTTCAAACACTTTATCACATGTTCATAAATGTTTAATCAACATTTAGTATACATGTGTTACATAATGTTATTTTGAACTATATCATTTTACTGTGATATATTGTTCAAAATAAAAGTCCTTATTTTTTTATTTTGAAAACTATCATTTTTTAAGTAAAACACCATTTCTGGACAGGCAAAATGAAAATGACCTCGCTTGACCCCTTTGGTCAGTAAGTGCTTTGACACTCAGGCACATTTCATGTATACTTTTGTCTTCTTTGCTTTACATGTCACTTTTCTAAATTTCAGTCTGGTTAACTTCCATCACTTTTGAGGTAAAGGCAAAATGGAATTTATTAATCCTTGGGATAAGAATGCAACATTTAACCTCAAAGAGTGTCAATTAAATGGCATAACCAATGCATAATTATACTTGTGCCTTCTCCAATACCATAAGCGAGAAAGCACATCACTAACAGTGCTAGCATTTAACCCCAAACAGGTTAAACCTAGGATAAATAATGTTTTCCTTAACAACATATTGACTGTTAATTTAACCCTTTGGCACAATAAAATTTTAAAGAAGACACAGAGAGTAAAAAGGAGAAAGAAAAATCAAGTGCAAAACACAAATGCTTAAGAAGAAACAATGGTTAAAAAGTGTCAAAGCACTTAATGGTTAAAGGGATATAGCGAGGTCATTTTTATGTTGGCTCTCCAGAAATTAGGTGTTTCACTGAAAATAATATAGTTTTTAAAATAAAAGTACCCATTTTTTTATTTTGAGAAACTATATTATTTTCAGTGAAACACCTCATTTCTGGAGAGCCAACAAAAAATGACCTTGCTATATCCCTTTAAAAATGTATCTTAGTAAAATGACACAGTAGCCCATATTAATTAGTAAAACGTGTGCTTTATGAATGTTGATTTAAACATGCATGTACATGTTATGAAGTGTTTATGTAAAATATGAATGTGTTATATAGAGACCCTTCAAGTAAAGTGTTAGCACCTTTCATATCATAATAAACTGAATTTTCCTCCCTTTACATATATCCGCTATTCAGCCTATAGCAGTTTATTAACATGCTGAAGTTATAAGGAGTGTTTCATCCTAGACTGTTTTTCATTGAAGCACAATAACAACAACTGCCTGTTTTATGCTAAAAGATAATGAGAGGTTGGAATATGGTGATGTGAAAATTAATTATGGCTGTTTTTGGTAAATAAAACCACACACATTGTAGAAGTGAACCCCAAGGGAGAAAAATAAAATACATTAAAAATGTAGGATATGGGCCCTTTAAGGATCCAGTTTTTGAAACGTTCTTTAGGGAACCAAAATAACTCTTTTTGACACCTTTATTCTAAAGAGTGTAGAAAGCATAAAGCTTTGGTCTTCTAGGAAAAAAGCCTGATTTTCTCTGCATAGCACAGTGATTGAAATTCCGTATGGGATTATGGTGATCGGGTTATAGAGGCAGAGTCTCTGTCGCTTCCCAAAGAGGTTTGGTGTAGGATTTACTGTGGCAAGCACTCACTCTGACTGAGAAAGAGACTTACAAAGCCCTGAAAGAAAATCAGCTTTTGTAGAGATTTGATTTTTTGATTTTTTGTTCTTGGCTGCTCTGTGCTTTAACTGCGAAAAGAGCCCCTCTGTGCTAATACTCGACTGCCCCCTCCATGACTGAATGAGGTTACCCCCCCCTTTCTCTGTGCCTCATGACAGTCCATCTCCCTATCGCTCTGCCTCTTGCTCTGTCTCTCTCTATTAGCTCTGAAGCTTAAACATTCCCCATGTCTGCTGTTAACTAGGCTTAACAGAAGTCAGGACCTGCTGTCAGCAGCCTCCTCCACTCTGTCTTCAGATCTGCTCTCAACAGAATGCAAAAACTGTCTCATCAGTTACAGTCAGCTGTCTGTAGAGCTTTGATATTTTTGTGTGCTCCAATTCCAGCATCTTCATAGTGTCATATATGGTTGATGGCACCCCAGTACCAGAATTCTGACTGGTGGTAACATAATACTTAATACCAGATTCATACTATGGCAAAACATTGTTGTTGTCTAAACTGAATTGAAAACACAAAATTACAATTCTTACAGCTTAATTAACATCTCTAATTTCCAAATTGTCTTATTATTGACACAAAACTCTTCAACTGTTGAATAAAGCGTATTATCCTAGTAATGACTGATGTGATTCTACCTAATAACAACTTATGTTGATTAAAATTTTATAAACTATATAAAATATATTGAAACTGGTAGGCATTTTAAATGTTCAATTTAATAACTGAAGGTTAATTTATGGTAATTTCTTGTCAACTGCCTTGAGATTTGATTTCTACGTTTTGAATGTGAGACTCTATGAATGTTATTTTTATTACAACTTCATTCTAGATGTTATACAGCTTTCAACCATTTAAGCAATAAAACTTGAGAGGTGGTGTTATTCTGTGAATAACATCAACCTTGAGCATTTTATTGCTTTTTGTGGCAGTTCTGCAAAATAAAGAGAAAGTAAAGAAGCCCCAAATACTGCATAAACTGTGCCTTAAAGAGTAACCACACCCTAAGACCTTTTTTCCATTAACAGCTGAAATGCATTGCTTTGTAATAATAAAATATACCAGCTTTGCTTAAAATGTGAACACATCTTTCCAAACTGTGAAAAATAACGTTTTTATCATGATGTCTGTAACAACTGTGAATAACCCAATTAATCTAAGCTCAGTTTGTAATAAAGATGTTATGATTAGCACATTTTATTGTTAATGTTCAGTGTATGAGTAGGTAACCTGAGGAACCGATTAAGTGAGCATTCTTACAAGTCTTCATAAAGCTGCCGGTGTTGCATCCGATTCACGTTTCTCTTCACAAAGCAAACCCTTGGGCATGGATCACTGAACAGAAATCAACAGCAAGCAACACTGGAACTACGGAAAGCAACAAAGTTCAGAAAAGTTTAACGTTAAATGTTACTGACTGTGTCAAGCTTTCATCTGTAGAGACTATCTTTAGCTTTGTTCTTTGTTTTATCGAATATGGACCTGCTGAACAGATAATTAGAAGCTAGCGGTCATGGTTTTAGGGAATGTTCTGCCATTCAGACGCCTCTCCCACTTGCTGTTCTGGCACAATGTTAACTCTTCGGCAGATTGAGTCAGTGGCTCATACTGGTAAGACTCAAGATGCGCTGCCTGATCAGAAACACCTTCCCTCATCAAAGATAAGGATGGTAGTAGAGAAAAATCATCAGCCTCGTAAGACCTCTCAGTTGCAAAAGTACTGTTTGATTCTGTCTCGCTCCATATTTTCTGGTAGTTAACATAAGCTATAAAAATACAGCAGCCCAGCCCAACCGGTTTCCCTCCCAGCCCCACCTCCAAACCTGAACAGCACTGCAGTGCCCCTCCCAGCATCCCCCACCCATTTTTGAGCATTTTTCAAAGTTGATCCAGGGGTGGAGTTGGTTGAAAATAGTGGGGTGTAGTTACTCTTTAACACTGGCACTGGTTCCATCCACCAAAAAAAGTAGTGGCCTTTTGCATTATGGATTGAGCCATGAAACTGTCATAATATCAGGTTCAGCTTTAGCTTTTTCAGTATTTACCAGATTAATCTGAATGTCGCTTTGTCAGCTGCAGGTCAGATATTATATTACAGAAGTATCCAGAAACATTGTAACAGTTAGCTGTAGCGGAAAGTGGCCTGTTACTTAGCAACCAATGGTCTGTGGAATGATACAGTTATTGTGAAAAAATCATACAGTTATCACAACAGCACAGATGAAGCACATCTCAACCAACCAGATTGTATCGCCAGAACAAGCTGTTGTATAAAGCTACATAACGCACAGCAATCACCCACAACTCTGTTCAACATTATTAACAGTGACATGACGGTCTGACATTCAGTGCCCGCATTCAGTCACATAATGAGCATGTCTCTGCCCATCTGTGTCAAATTTGCATATGAAATTTGATTTGTTCATAAGCAGAATACAGTCTTGTGTCAGTCTAATTGAATTAAGAATTGAAACTTAGAATTGAATGGTTTACCATGTTAACCCCCAGGCTTATTAGATACTAAGGCTTATTAGTTGGTAACTACAGGGATGTCAGTGCAAACTGGTTGAGCTCTTCTTAGGTTATAGAAGTGTGTAATCTAACTTTGGGCCCAGTAGTGGGCCCCGGCCATTTAAGCAGCTAAATCATGCAATGCTATCCAGTGTTCATTTGTTAGTTTCCGGTCCTCTCTTAAGTTCAAAAGGCCACAACAACAGCAAAGAACAAACCTTTACACGCGGGGTGTGAGTGGTCTGTGGAAGTGATCAGGTCCCGCTATGGTTGTTGGTGTTAATTAGTGTTAGTGGACAGCAGCTGACCTCCATCCTTCAGATAAAAGGGTCGGGAGGACAGTGGACAGACACAGCTTCCTGATTTATGGTGGCCTTTCTCCAGGCCAGCAGGAGCGCAGAGTAGCCCTGCTGCTCAAGAAAGTGACCAAACAAAAGCACTTTGCATACCGCTGACCTCCGCATAGTGCTTTCACTATGAACTTTATAGTGAACTTTATAGTGAGCTCTATGTGCATGCAGTACATTTATGTAAATCAGTCAAGAGTAGAGCAGGTAAAGTAGCAGCATCAGTGAGGTGGGCAATGTGTGGATAATGTTTTCTTCATCCCAATAAATTGCGTCCTGATATGCTTTCTTAATATGCAGATATTGCTAGTACTTCTGGAACACTGACAAAGTGCATGCCTCACAACAAAGAGATTTAGACCAATTGTAGAGAGCCTAAACCTTGTTTTGTTACAATGCAGTGTCAACGGCATAGTGAGAAGATGCTGACTGAATGCTAGTTCATTATGCCATTATCTTAGTTACTTACGAACTGTTTTTCCTACTGTTCTCCATTAAATCAAATACAATAAAAATATGGTACATATTGTATAGTTTTTTTTAGCATGTTGCATATTATGCATAACAAATATGTATTCAAATATTGCAGTGTAACATTTCCCTGATATCATCCACCTTTAATCTGACTACTTTCAGATACTCCGACAGATCAGAGCAACGAGCCATTACCTAGGGAACGGGCACGTGAGCGGGAGAGAGACCGCGGGCGCTCACACGAGAGGAAGCACCACTCGTCCTCGGCTGCGGACAGGAAGCAGCGCTACTTCTCCTGTGATCGCTATGGCAGCCGGGAGCACTGCCACAGCCAGTCACCCGCACCCAGCAGATCTGCATCACCAGGAGATCCACTTGACTCCAACAAACTCAAACCGGTCTGTTACCCCGAAACATCTGACCCAACACCTCTGACTTTTACATTACATTAAAGTTTTATTCCAGGCTTTATTTGGCGACTCACAGCAGCACTCGCACACCGTATTTTTGCGTTTTTTTCTCCTGACTCAGTAATGCTGCTTCATTCAGTTTTAACAAGGAAATCTTATATAGTGCAGCTTTAAGGTTCTGTGAAAATCCCACAAATAATGTCAAATATCTTTCTCTGAATGTTATACTAGCAAACTACATTTAGAAATGTGATACTAATTAGAGCAACATTTAGGCACTGAGAGAAAGCTTGTCTGGGAGTTCATTGTTATGAGATTTTGTGTTATTTGCTTGTTTTAAACTTTATAAGCTTATTTACAAGCAGGTTGTTTTATATTTATATCATTTAAGACTTCTTTTTGACAAGTTTGACAACCATTTAACATTTGTCAGTAAACTAGACAAAACTAAAAATCTCATTTTTACCACATAAAATTATATTGGTTGATATTACTGTTTATTGGAATTTGTAGCTGTTTAAATTTGGTGTAAATTATATGGTGTAAATCAGTCTGGCCTTATTCACATTCTTTCTTCTGCATTTACCCCTCATAAGTTATCACTTCCTGTCTTTAGCTCTCCTCAGAATCATCTCAGAATCCCCTCTTCCTTACCTTTACCAGTCCCATCTTTATTTCTCATGCTTTTTTGACCTGCTGTATAGTTCATTTCCTTAATGTCGCTGTGCTGTATTGCAGGCCGCTAGCTCAACTAAGGGCACTGCAGTGGTCTTTACCTCAGGCACCAGTACACCGTGCCGGGGTCGCCGGCAGCTGCCCCAGACCCCCCTCACGCCGAGGCCTGCCGTGGCCTTTAAGACTGCCAACTCCTCCCCGGTGCAGTTCACCCGCTCTTCTGGCCCAGTACCCACCCGCCTCAGCCGCGGCCAATCGGAGCATGATGCCCTGCTCAGCGGTGACACCCAACGCCCTGCCCACGTGCCTGTCACTCGCATCAGCTCTGACCCCAGTCTGGGTCCCCTGCAGAGAGACCCCCAGCTATCAGAGGCAGAAGACTTCCAGGATGCATTGAGCACATACGGCTCGGGACGCTCCCCAAGGACTGCGGCTCCCCTTCACACGGCCACCGGGGTGGGCCAGCAGAGCCGGAGTGGCGTCCCCAATGGATATCATTTCACTTTAGGAGTGAGTGCAGCCCCGGGGTCCAGCACCAGGGTCTCCCCGAGCTACCAGGAGACGGAAAAAGACGATTGGTGCTAGCTCAAATCTGTCCGCAGGATGAGTTTTATCATCTTTGCCTGAAGATGGCAGTGCACGGCTCATACCTGTGTACTAGTGAGAAGCTAAAGTGTGAAAAGTGAGGGGAATGTTAATTAAATGAGTTTGTTTTCATTTGCTAATTATCCAACAGTGCCAGTATGTTTCAAACATGGCATGACATTCCCTCGTTATGTGTCATAGATGGTTCTCTGGTCACAGGTAGTGAAAATATAGTGCCATAGAGCATTTGCTGACCCAAGATGAGCTCTAACTGCCACTGAAAAGGAGAGAAGTAGTTTAGCTATGACTGCAATGCTACTTAACACTGCCCTCTACTCTCCTGAATCATATGAACAGGGCTACACTCTATAGAGAGCAAAGAGATGGTTATCGCAGCTGTAAGTGTTAAATGTGGTCGAAATGTGAAGTAAACAGCCAGGCAGCACAAGCTAAGTTGAAAATGCAGGTCCAGGCTGATGTTCGCCTAGATCTTCTGTCCTTAAAGGAGGCGAGTGTTGTCATGGAGGTTAAGACTGAGTTTGTTCTGAGGAATTCCTTGTAAATGTTTGTCGTGCTGCTGTTTATGCCATCTCTTCCTCTTGCGAGTGGCACAGATGAACTTCTCCCACTAACTAAAAAGGCCAAATTGTAATTAGTTTTATATTAGACTGCAGTAGAACTGAATATCTTTTCACAGTGTCCTTTTTTGTACCTTGTACATGACGAGTGTAGCTGGGCATCCTGTAAGGTCTACTCTTTTTTACTGTATGACGCTCAAGTGGTAAAATACCAAGTGCCTAACCTTCGAGATTTATTGCTGTATGGTTATGATGTTACTATCAGGCGTTATAACCTAAGAAAGGCAAATACTAGATACTGTACACTGTAGGTAGACGTCACTGATATTTGTTCCTTGTATGTACCATAGCATGTTATGAAGACAGAGATTATGATGTTGCACAAAATAGAGAATATAAAGTGAGATTTGAATGGAATAGTTTAAGTGGATGTCCGTGTGAAAGTATTTGGGACATATGAGCGAGTATTTCAGAGTATTTATGAAAATAATATAGACTGCAGGGTTGATGATGTAGCTTCAGAGAGGGACAGGAATGATGAACTAGAGGTCTAAATGAAATGCCATTGAAATTGTTTTCAGTAAGTCTGATATGCATGTTAGGGGGGTTGTACACTTGGTCGTTGGTGTCATTGTGAAATTACAGCCCATGGTGTACATTTTCTTTCTCTTTTTTTTTTTTTGCCAAAGAGTACACAGCGAACTCTTGCCTTTCTAGTATTAGACTGAATGCATTAGATGGAGCTGAGACTAAATGCTTCTTGTGACTTCCTCTTCCTGAATGCATCACACAATTCACAGATAGTGTCACACTGTCATTTGTTTTCAGTCACGTAAAACAATTTGAGTAGAAATATGAATTCAGTTCCTAAAATGGCCTACTTGAAACTGATAAACATTCATAAGGTCGGTACTTTTAAGATCACTGTTATCAAAATTGATATCAGTAGATATCAGTTGCTGTACACTTTTAGTAAGAAGAAAGATGTTCTTCTTCTGAAATTTGCCCATGTTTTCTGGGTTTGATAGCTTCCAAACACCTTATTGTTGTCAGTCACACTTTACTTGAACCCTGCTTTATACCATTGACATAACCAAGCTATAAACATATCATGGCAGATGTGATTAGCAGTCATGAGCTGTATGGTTATTAATATAACAGTAGCATGTTACCATTACCATTACTTGTGATGACAGATGTCATAATGTTTGATGCTAACTAGACACTGTTAAAGATTTCACCGCAAAATGACAGGAAATTACTGTCACAAGACTGCAAGATTATTGTGATGTAGATGAATTCTGTGCACAGTAATAAGCTGTGTGTGTATATATATATGTATATATAGTATATATATATATATATATATATATATATATATATATATATATATATATATTTTCTACCAAACTGGCACAGATTTCAAAACACATTGAACTTTTAACTAATCTTTTGTGCTTTGAATGTCACTATACCTTAATTATGTTTGCTTTATTAAAACAAATGACTGAACATTCCATTTAATCACTAGCAAAACAATCAGAGCACTACTAAAACTTTACCAAATTCAGTAGTAACTGTTTTGGTAGTGACAATTTTGGCTAATTCGAGCATAACTCAGTACATGAATAGCCAACACAATTCTGTGTTTGGGTAGTGACATGAAAACATGGGAAGGCATTTTTTGTATAGTTCTTTTTATTTACAAATTCAACTCATGCTAAATCTAAATCTTATAGTCTTTTGACTTAAATAAAATAAATCTAATTATTATTTTATAAGTGTAAGTTCAGGGGTTAGGGTCTGGGACAGCCACCTCCCAACAGAAAGTACCCTTTAAATGATGATTTTGCATATATTTCACTTATTATTATCCCTATTAATGCCTTTGGTTCAAATAGATAATTCTTATAAATATCTAAAGTCTGAAAACTTTATTGTTTTTTAGATTTAGTTTTTAAACTGTGGGACCCCAGTTTAAACTAATTCAGAAGAATGGTCCAGATATTCACCATGTTTTGCACTGTATATGCACATAATATCTCAAGTAACCAATGTCAACACCTTAGTGTTCCAGTATTAAACAAAGTGCAACACATGAAAAGTCTTTAAGAGAACAAAACCTGAATTGTCAGGAAAAAAAATCCTGGCAACAGTTAACACAGGATGTGACACACCCTGCCATGAAAATGATTGGTTATGCTATCATAACACTGTTACAGCTGAACTGAATTGTCATGACAACTCAGCATACAACATCTGCTATGACGTTTATGGTTTGGTTATGTCAGTGTTATGTAGCTGGATTCAGGTAAAGTGTTACCTTGTTGTCTTATAAGACAGAGTATGTTTATTAGTGACATAGATGGTATTTGTGGGAGAAAGCTTGCTGTTTAAGTCCAGGGATGAGTAGACTGTTGAGATAAAGTACAGCAGGGCTATGCAACAACAACAAAGACGACACTTTATAATTGCTCCTCATCCTCTGTAGCTTTACCTCCTGGACTCTGCAGATCCAGGCTTTAACATGAATGGGACCAAGACACCACTATTCAGTCAATACAAAAACAGATGCCAATGGCTAGTGTTGTATGTTGCATTGAAAACAGGCCAAAGGCCTGTTAGCAAGAGCAAAAACTGGACATTGCCTGAGCAGGAAAAAATGTATGCCATCGTCCTGCACTCAAAAATGGAATCAGAATCAGAATCTACAAAGTGTTTTCAACCCTGACAAATAGTTGACGGTTAACTGAAAGGCTCTGAATACGATTTTTTACAGTATGTGACCTCACAGTGATCTGCCTTGACCACTTATCGCCCCCTCTCATCCTCCTTTTTTGAGGGAGAGATGAGAATTGTGCACCTAGTAGACCTGTGACTATCCCAGACCACCCTTTCTGTAAAAAATATTATAATAACTTTCAACCAGGTGCCAAATTTATCTCCGCACCACTTCTGTCTCCTCATGCTGTACCTTGTCCAGTTGAACTGTGGCCTATCTCCTTGGACATTTTGTCATGTTTGCATGTTATGACAACATATGTGCATGTACAAAATTGTACACCTTCATATATGTTTTTTGCCCTGTTTGGTTGGTTGATTTTTAAAAATCACACTTTAATAAAAGCCACATGTTTGTGGGAGTAAATAAAGAAACCTCAGTTGTTGTAAAAGAGGTGTTACCTTCAGGCCACAAAAGCATGGGACTAATGCTGTTGCTTCTAAGCAGATCAGCCATCACCACTGTTCACTGACTGTCTGTTTCACTACCATTCATTACTATTTTGTATCACTGAATTGAAAAATATATAAAAAATAAAATTTTAAGAAGTTAGTTTTTGTTGTTGTGATGCCAGATCTGATATTTTTATCACTGCTTCAACACAGATTTCTGTGAATCCTTTATACGGGGTAAACAGGCTGTTATATTTATAAAGTGCTAAAGTTTGCCAAGCTGTTTGTCATTAAAAAGCAGAATTTCGATCTGAGATCATCAGGATTCAGAGGTGGGTAACAATTAATTACATTCACTCAGTTCCATGTACTTAACTATAGTTTTCTGAAATCTTTAAAAGGCCTATATAATGGAACAGCAAATTAAATTGTCCTCCTTTTTTGCTATAAAAGAGTTTGATGTAAACATTGTTAAAGTTTTAAAACATGCAGTTCATACAATCCATATTATAGAAACTGCAAAACAGCCTGTTTTGACTTCTGGACTACTTGTTGAATGAGGCACACAGGGCAGCTAATCAGAACAGTGTCATTTACATATATCAGTCTTAAAGGAACAGTAAAACGAGCCTGTTTGATTCTGTGGATAAACAGGTTGTGAAATGGTCACTTCAAATTAATTATGATTTGGTATAAAAAAAAAATCCCACAAACATCACAAATGGACTTAAGACTGACGAACTAACTAACTAAATGAAAAAATAAATAAATGTGGGATATGGACCCTTTAAATGATGAATGACATTACTTAAGTAAAGTCAAGGAATACAAAAGCTAACTGTCATTTTAGTCATTCACATTTGGCTCCTGGTGTTTTTTGGGAAGGTGTAATTTCATTCTGGCTCTGGAGCTGCTTAACTGTTACTGCGTATCTCAGACCTTTCACTTCTGAGCTTTTATTTTAGACTAAGGATACCAGAAAGAGAACAGGAGCTCATAACTAACCTGTTTATTTTTTATTTATTATTTTTTTTTAAATAGATGCTGGATTCGTGGGATGTTAAAGGACCCTCTAGAACAGGGCTGTCAAATTGAACCACTAAAAGGGTCATGTCAAAAATCTAAAAAAAAAAAAAAAATCTGTGGGTCAGAGAACGCCTATGTTTTTATTTTTATTTTTAAATAACATTTTTCTGTAACTTCAACTGGGCATTGTTTATTCAAAAGACGGAAAACGCCAAGAGCAGAATTTAGGCACCTGTAGTAGACCTTGAAATGTTACAGGAGTAATAGTACAATACTATTTACAAAGTATTACAATACTTGATATATTAAAAAAAAAATGTCCCCAGGAGGCGGGTCTTTTAAATCTACTCATTTGCTTGAACACTAAACACCTGCCATCTTTTCTATGCTGTAAGTTTATTAAATGTTAGGATCAGTTTCTGAGCTGCTGAGCAGAGTGTTTATAGCGTTTATATTGGTTGAACTGCAGCTGAAATGCAGCTGGTGTGTGTGGGAGGTGGCAGCGCACATTATGTTGGAGTGTATGCTGAGGATTGTAGTGCAGGGCATTGTGAAATGGGCTAATATGAATAGAACGCAGGGCCTCATCACTCCACATCATCTAACTCACCTGATGCAGCTCATCATCTAATTACTAATCACCAACGCCTTTAATGGACTGAACTGGGCGTAACGCAGAGGGAAGCTGCTCCTCTCTGAAGGGGCTGTGGCTCTCCAGACCCTATCACAGAGCAAAGCACAACTGATTTGGGGAGAGCTTTATGGACGTGAAATCATCGCAGATTGGCTGTGATTGGTCTGAAGGCAGGACGTGGGCGGAGTCACGTAAGGTGGTGAAAGCGTTATTTATTGCTTTCCCACCTGTATTCCGACAAATCCCGCCTTCCTGCGCGGTGATTGGCTACCATCCCTCCCTCCTGCGCCAGAAACACGAACTACTAGTCAATCGCAGCGGAGGATAGCCGGGCTTGTGGGAAAACGGGTGTGAAAGAAAAAAGAACGCACCAGAGAAGTTGGTTTTAAGGAGCTTTAACGAGAGCAAAGCTGGTAGATCCGAAAGGAGCCCTCAAACAATACTTACACAAAGATGCAAAATGTGCTTTATTTAAAGGAATTCTGAAGATGCCTCACAAGCCTTACATCCATTTATTGTATGGACACCCATCTACCAATCAGAAGACAGAATGAGAAAAGACAGTGGTGCAAGAAGTTAACTGTAAAAAGTTTAAATTCGTTTAGTCTTCGTCTCGTTAGTCCTGCACATCGACGCAATGTTGATCAAAACGATCTCGACCGCGTTTTTCATGTTTGCTTTCGTTAAAAGCGTCAGTTCGAGTCCAACTGGAGTCCAGACAAGTGATGCGGGCGAAATGGAGAACGGGTCAGGGATGCTGCAGATAGGTAAGGAGATGCTTCACTGCACACAGCTGAAAATGGCCTAAAATATGTGTGTAATAAGTTAATATATGTGGCTAGAAAACATGTGAGTAACAACTGATAAGTTGTAGCAACAGATAAATGTAGGCATTACCTGATGTGTGTGGTTTGTAACCAGTACATGTGAGTAATGACTGATACATGTTGGTAATAATTGATGCATGCAAATAAATAATGATACATGTAGATAATAGCCAATACATATGGGTTATAACTGATAAATGTTGGTAGTATCTGATTTACATGAGTAATATTGGATGCATGTGGATAATAACTGATACATGCAGGTAACAGCCAGTATATGTAGGCACTAACTAATATATGTGGGGAATAACTGATACCTGCATGGGGGTGATATTTGATATATGTGGGTTAAAACTGATACATGTGGATAATTGATATAAATAAGTGATATAAATAAGTGATATATATATATATATATATATATATATATATATATATATATAAGTGATATATAAGTTTAATAACTGGTATATGTAAGTAATAACTGATACAATATAGCTAATAACTGACATCTGGAGGTAATAACTGACATATATGCATAATAGTTGATATATATGAGTGTAATAACTAGTATATGTAGGTAATAACTGATACAATGTGGCCAATAACTGATATATGTTAGTAATAACTGACAAATGTGGATAATAATTGATATGAGTGAAATAACTGATACATTTAGGTAATAACTGATAAAATGCGGCTAATAACTGAAATATTTAGGTAATAATTGATGTATATGGATAATAATTCATATGAGTGTAATAACTGGCATATGTAGGTAAGAACTGATACAATGTGGTTAATAACTGATGCACATAGGTAAAACTGACATGTGGATAATAATTGACGCATGAGTGTAATAACTGGTACATGTAGGTAAAATTGATACAGTGTGGCTAATAACTAATACATGTAGGTAATAACTGACATATGTAGATAATAATGGATATATGAGTGTAATAACTGATACATGTAGGTAATAACTGATACACTGTGGCTAATAACTGATACATTTAGGTAATAACTGACATGTGGATAATAATTTATATATGAGTGTAATAACTGGTACAGTGCTGCTAATAACTGATGCCATACGACTAATAACTGAAATGTGTGGGTACTAATTGACATATGTGGATAATAATTCACATATGTAGGTAATAACTGGTACATGTATGTAATAACTGATACAATGCGACTAATAAGTGATATATGTAGGTAACAACTGCTTTGAATATACTATTCATTTCAATGTCTAAATGAACCTAATTTTACTAGTCATTAGTCTAATCACTGTACAATAATAACTTTTACAAAACCACGTTTAACACATATAACTGTTGTTTTATTCGTGTTCATGCTAGAAGTCAGAACTAATATTATGTGCTTGCCTAATTCATTATTTACACTCTGTTAATAGTGTATATTGTATGTACTAATGCTGTTGAACAGCCTCATGGAGCCGCTGTGGTGTTACACTCTGTAGTAGACGAACAGGTGCAGCAGTTTATGTAATTATTGCAGTTCTCTGTTGCTCCAACCTGCCTGGTTCAGTTGCACTACGTAGTCTCTCTGTTATCTGAAGATGCTAATTATCGACTGCACCTTTATTTGATCTTTGCTTAACAAGTGGACACTGTGTGGTAAGCAAGGAGCGATGATTCTGTCCTAAAGCATTCGAGCACTAGTTTTTGAAGGCTGTAACACATGTTAAACGGATCTGAGACAGATGTTGGTGGAGTTTTGTGCCAGAGTCATTTGTTAGACCTGTTAGGTGATGATATCTAAACTATGTTGACTATTTCCAATTACATATTATACAGAGGTAATCACTTTTCCTTTAGATGGCTATACTAAGACAATGCAGGGCTATATCATCATTTCTTGTTTTGGCATGTGGTTTATTCCTCAGCTCACCACTGAAAGGGACTTTAAAAGACTTAAAAGGGAGCTCTGTGTATTTACTTATTTGTATTTGCGGCATGTTTAATCAAGTCTACACAATGCCTTGGCAATGCTCGCAGCAAGCCTTGCGTGCTCCCTATTGCTTTGTCAACAAACACGACAAATTAATCAGCTTGGTTCCCACCGCAAGCTAGCACCATTAGTGATATTTAGAAAATTAGCTCTGCTCTTTGACTTTACAGCCTTCCATGTGTCCAGTGTTTTTTAAGGGCCCATATCCTACATTTTTCTTGTGTTTTTCTCCCTTGAGGTCCACTTTTAACATTTGTGTGGTTTTGAGCTCCAAAAATGGTCATAATTCTTTCTGACATGACAATTTTTTCTTTATCCCTAACCAATAAACAGTCTATGTTTGTTATTGTGCCATTAAGACCTATAAAAGACAGATGAGCTGTGAGATGTATTGTGCCTCATCCAGATAGCAGTCTGGGCTGCAACTCTCCTTATAACTTCAGTGTGAATGGGCAGAGCTAAACTGCTGCAGGCTGTATAGGTGGATGTATGTAAATTCTTGGACTGCTTTTGCCGCATAACTTCCATATATGGACTGTTTAGACAGAGGAATGAATGGTACGTTTTGAAACTTTGTCAAGTGAGGGGAAAGTTGGTTTTCCTGATATGGACCCTTTAGGGAAAGTGCCTAACGATACTCTATTGAGTGTACTGAAAACATATGGGAAGGACAGATACAGACAAAACATCTGACCCTGTTTATACCGTCCCATCTGGTCGAAGAAAATGACACTGCTTTATTGAACTCAGTAAGAGACTTTATTGGTTTTTTCCTTATTCTTCTTTTCGGTTGTTTTAATTAACTTACCTAAATCCCCAAAACTGTTCTCAAGAAGGTGCAACTGAAGTTTTATGGGTGCAGATTTTATGGTGCGATTGACAGACGAATCCTCCGGTGAGCTGAATGAATCCAGACCGCTGTTCATTGCTGAATGTTTCCACTACGTCCTCTGAGACAGCATTAGACGACATGGCATTAAAAGCCCTCTTAAAACGCTGCCCATTCTTACTTAGCTGGCCTGTGCCATTATGTAATAGTCCTCCAGGTACCTGTAGGGTCGAGCCCAGCCTTTGTGAGATGGGCACTAGCTTATTTCCAGTTTTATTACCCTCACATCCCTGTAATAAACCTGGCCATGCTCTCTAAGGGTTCTGTTCATTTTTGTTTAAGTAAAACTTGAAGATGAAGTGATGAAGAATGAAGTAATGTGAATGCAGCCCACCACAGCTGCGACTGAGTGGGCTTAAGGAATTCTGTTCACAGCCTTTAACACATCACATATTACTGAAGGCATAGTAACATGAGCTTTGAAGTCTGTGATGTCATACCATGGCTTAAATCACTCAATGGAGCGGTTATGGTTGATTACAACAAGACCTTTGTTGCTCTGGAAGTGTGTTTTTAATTATGCCAATTCCTGATGTTCAGCTTGAATCTGTTTTAGACATAGACATACACCATATGTGAAAAAGTTTGCCTGCTCATTCAACGTCTCTTCGGAAATCAAGGGTATTCATAGAGAGTTTGGCCCCAATCCCATTTCTTATTTTTACCCCTACCTTTTGTTTTTGAGTTTTATCTTGCCCCTTGGAATTGAGTTACAACAGGTAGTGGTTGAAATCTTCCCCTATGAAATGGCACAAATAAAGAAGAGCGTTTCTCCATTAACAGGCTATAGCGGTGCTCTGTAGGTGACCCTGCCAGTCTGCAGTGATAGCAGAGGAGGGTAAAGTCCAGCAACCTCACTGCTGGGCTTTAGTTAAATGTAGGGCATGAAAAGCCCTCAAAGAGGGGGGGTGCAACAATTCTTTATAATCGCCCACCCCTAATTCTTCGGTGATATGAGACTAAAGCAGTGCTGACACTTGAAGCGCCACAACGGAACTGCTGCTCCATTTCAGGTGGAATGGAAAATTCAAACAAGAAGCTGACGAATAGCTAACTTTAGCCTCATTTCTTGCTAATTAGCTACCAAGAAATCAGCACACTACTATTTACTATTACTGTTACGATTTTTTATGCTTGTTATGACGAAAAGGACCATAATACATTGAAACAACATTAAACCTCTGAAAAACCATTTGGAGGGCCAGTTAGGCCTAACACTTTGCCCTATCCCTCTATCTCAACAAAAATCAGGACACCCTACCCCTAGATGTGAACACGCAAAATGGAGGGGTAAGGGCTCTGTGGTAGGGGCAAGGGGTGAAATGGGATTGGGCCTTTGGCACCCTTTGATGCAGTAACACTTGTGAGAAGGCTTTACACTAGATGTTGGAACACTGCTGTGAGGATTTGATTGCATTCAGCCACAACAGCATTAGTGAGGTCAGATACTTATGTTGGATGATTAGTTCTGGATCGCTCCAACTCATCCCAAAGGTAAAGGATGGAGCTCCATCCCACCAGAGAACACAGTTCCACTGCTCCACAGCCCACTGCTGAGGGCTTTATACACCTCTCACTAATGTTTAGCATTGGGCATGGTGACATTAGGCTCATATGAGGCTGCTCCAGAGCATCCCATTCTGCTGTCAGTGTTTTTTATAGAGATTATATGAGCTATATCTGCACCATGAAGGGATTAGAAGCTGGATACAGTCAGTTGGTGTTTTGAGGATGGTGGTGGAGAGCGCCAACACACTAACACACTAGTCCAGAATCCCATAAGCGTCCAAATTGTTTGAGAGCTGGTGACTGTGATGCCATAGCATATTATTTACATCATTTTGGTACTCAACAAACCATTCAGTGACCCCTTTTGCCCTGTTGAGTACACTCTCATCGGCCTAGAAGTGTTTTATCACAGGATAAACATGATCAGCTACAATACGTTGTACTGATTTGCGGTGACCCCTCCCTCCAACAGACCCAAACCATACCAGCACAATGATTAATGCCCAGCATAGCAGAGCCACCGGACACTCACTGTAGGGATCAAATATTCGGGCCTATTCTGTTT